TTATAACTTCCAGCTGTGACTGTAAAGTGCTCAACTCCCAGTATTTCCCACTTTTCGCCTGTAGCAAACCCTATGAATTGGCTCAATGCATTCATGTCTGAAATATCAAATTATATGGAATGAACTGTTATATCTTTTATTAAGATGCGAGCCACCAAGTTTCAATTGATTGGCAGATTGTGACGTTTAGTGCCGACCAAATTCGCGGAAGACGGGCAAGCGTATTGGTAAGTCATTTCTGACAAAGTTCCAGTTAGATATTGGAGTCCGTGGGCAACCTGTTCAAATTTTTATTTCTAAAGATAAAGAATCTAAATGGACTTAAGAAGTTATATAGAACTAATATAAAAAGATGGTGAACTTTGAGCTCCGCAGTCTTGACCCCTGCTCTCCCCTCCTACACGTAAGGGAGAATATGTTACATTTCTAGGTACAAAATTTGCCATACTTTCATTATTTTTTAAATTCTTGGTTTCTTGATGGGTGTTAATTCGAAGAATTTTTGGGAGCTTTGACTATCTTCGAGCAATATTACTGAAAGACAAGCATTTAGAGTGGACTAGGTATTGACTTGAGGGTGCCAGAGGTGTAATGGCTTTTGCGGCTAACATTTAAAATTTAGGCCATTTTACGGCTAACCGTCAGTTTCTTTCCGACGTGGTCGACGAAAAAAATATTACGGTTAATCTATTTTTAAACTGACGGTCAAAATTTGCCAATTTTTTTTACGCCTGACTGCTGATGGGTTAACCACATGAAGACCCTCTGGCTATGGATATGGTTGAGTGGTGCCTAACACGCCGTTCATTGTGTTCAAGTGAAAAATAAATGGCTTACCATAAAGTGTGCTTGCTGTTAAGATTCCCATTCTTTTCCACTTGTGGTGTGCAATTAATTCCTTCATCACAATATTCATTTGTGTATCACCAGGAGACATGCGCAGCAAGTAACTATAACGACGAAAATTGAAGAAAAATTCTGGATCCGTAGCACTGGCACTAATTTGGGGAATTTGCAACTTAGAACATAATGAGTACGTCGCTTTCACGGCAACTGAAGTCTTTGGACCAATGATTGCAATCACTCCCTCGTTGATCAGTTGATTGACTAAACAAAGGAAGTAAGTGTAAAATGATGAGTTTATAAGTGACACAAAGGTTTTTTTATTCATTCAACATCTTGTCTTGAGTTTCAAAAACGTTGAACTGTTCAAAAACACCGTGATTTACCGGCTTTATTGGTTGTTAATGACTCCTGTGAGACTACTCGGGTTCTAGCGGCCTGAAAGTAAGATGTCGGGCCGGTCATCGTACTGTTTAAGCGTTTACACATGAGCAAACGTTTGACCGCTATGTTCATAATGTTCACATAACTTCCTCTGACTTAGCCTGCAGAACCGGCGTTAATTTTTGTGTCTCACAGGCGAACGGAGACAAGTGTTAAGCGAGTGCGAATTGCTAGTCGCGCGCGAGGGGAGTCCTCCTCCGTTTGACTGAAAAATGCTGTTCTGCAGGCTACCTCTGACTTGAACCAAAGCTGTATGGCGCTAGGAAGGATTCGCAATCACTGGCGCACCGAAACTCTCAGGGGTCGGGAGACAATGCATACAATTCTTTTCTCTTTTGCGAGACTTTTAAGTTAAAGGTATGATAAGGCAGATTTTTTTCAGTAACCTTGCTATGGATGATCATGGCATCCACTGACACTAAAAAAAAAAAGTTAAGATTCTTTTTTTGTTCGGAATGCATTCAGTTTCATCCATAAAAATTTAAATATGACTTAAAATGGACCACGCGATGAAACACCGCGTTCAACCTTTCACGAACAGCTAGGTAATTTTGTAATTGCATTCACACAGTAGGAAAGAAAATTACAAATAGTCCATTTTACAGTTGTGTGCTTGGTTTCCAAGGCTTTGGACAGGCTAAGGTTGACCTTGTTTTGATAAAAACCTTGCTGCTTTCGAATGCAAATTACTTTGCTATCATGCTAACTTGATACTGGTCTCTATCACAACAAGATCACCTTCAGCCTCACTCTAAATCAAAGGCTTGGCAACTAAGTACACAACTATTACCGAAGCCAAAGAAGGAGAGAAAAAACAGCATAAATATTGTGCGAAAATTAAGCATTGTAGCAATTTGAGATAATTTGTTGGCATTCAAAAATTAAAAATCTCTCTGAAGAACAGATGTTTCATTCACAATATATTGCTTTTACCATCATGATAGATGAGGAAAAATTTTGATTGAACAACGTGCCATTTGCCAAAAGCCACGTTTTAAGAAAGTGAAGTTTAAATTGGAGGACGCTTTTTAATATTTAACGATAAAATTAACTTTTCATTTTGATAAGGTGCACGAGTATTTATTTCAGTTTCTAAAAATGAGTATGTTAATCAATTTTAATTATACTTTTTCGCGTTTGTGAGGGAAAAAATTGTCACTATTTATTATAGATTAGAGTGTGATATGTCACGCTGTTTCAATGAGCGCCAAAGAATTGTTTCGCATTGACACATCTACCACATCCATTTCCTGTAAATTAACGGTTAGCCCTTAAAAAAGGGAAATACCGTTAGAGAAATGAGAAATGTAAAGACTTTACGGTATTTAGGTAACCTCAGACGGTCTTTTTCTCGTCGAAAGAAGACTTCGGATCTGTTAAAATTTTATGATCTGGGGTGAAGCACTTGAACAGGGTAAATTGTTCCAACATACCTTTATAAATATTCTCAAACGAATTATCTGCAGCCGCATATCGTATCGAACAGTTAAGAGTGATATTGGAGAGCCATCCCTCTTTATTCACGGCGTCGATTGCAAACCTTAAAATCTTTTCGTCTAAATCTGTGTTGTTCTTGGGGAAAATAGCACCTAAAATGCAAATACATGTATAAACTTGTTGTTAACCGCCAACTGGCCAGGTTAACTGAAACATTTCCCTTCAGACGATTTAATTTAACAAACTATACTCATTAGAGAGTTTCATTCGCTTACCTAATTTGAAAACTTGCCCTCCTTTCACTGGAAGAAGACGAAAGCAAACAAAGAAAGCGAGGAAAGTAACAAACACCAGATTTGTGCAAGACATTTTTCACCGTTGGACATTTGTAAAACTGAAGGCCCTTCGAAACCTCAACGCTGTATTTAATTCTCCTGTTCCTTTTTGATTCGTTGGTTGCAATTGTGTTTATTCATTTGTATGTCGTATGCAAATGTTTTCTTTTTTCTTAGGGCGATAAATGGTTCTAAATCAATCAAACTTGGCAAGTCCTTGTACAGGCCAAGGGGCTTTCCACAAAGCTCTTTGGGATGATAAATCATTAAATAGACACGAAATGCAATCAACGCGTTCTGATGGCAATTTCATTCTTCTTTGATAATCTACAATTGCCATCACTACGGTACAAATAGTGATTTGGGTTTTTAACAAATTATCTTGAATTATAATGTCATGTCACGAAATTGTCTGAACCGCGCGAAGGTCAAAATGTTTGCAGAGTAGGTTTCTCCAATCGCATTACCCTACTGACTTATTTCATGGCGTAAGTTTAAAATGTTTTAAGTCGTATTCTCTCTATCTCCTCACGCAAATGTTTCGATTTTCACGTGAACTGTAAAATCACAAACGTAGTGTGTAGATGGCTTTTGCTTGTCGTATATTTTCCTATGTAGAATAAAGAGGCCTCCATACCATAACTTTTCGCGAACGAAACGTATTCGGTAAAACCTTTTACACAGACTCAAAGGCAACTCAAGTTACCCACTTTGTGTTGTCTAGAATGTGCGCACCTTAATTTTGTAAGGTTCGCGCCGATTATCATACACTTCTCACGACCGTGATAAAATAAAACTGATAAAAATGTAAAAAATGTATTTATAAATTGGCTTCTAGTGTTCCGTTTTAAAAAGATCTCTTTATGGAAATGAAGTTAGTTCCTAATCTGATCAAAATTGTTTACGTGAAACTTCTCCATTCTTCATTTAACAAAGCGTTTATGAAAATAACGGCTTTAATCTTTCGAATAAATTATGGTATCGTCATAATAGCGAAGATTATTACTTATTACCGTGAGAGTCTGAAGTAGGTGACAGTTACCGCTGTCAAACTTGAAAAATGGGCAATAACATTTTTAAAAACATTGAATAGTCTGGAAGATTTTGCAGAATAGTGAAAATCAATTGAAGCCTTTTAAAACATTTTTTCTTACTTTGTCTAAATCACACTAATTTTGTTTATCAAAACTATTGGATGAGGTAGGAAAGATGTCTTGTGTTTGTATCAATTAAGCGAGCTGGCGAAGCTCGCAGCAAATAATTTAAGTGACGCAAGACATTACCAATTCACCATATCCTATTAGGAAAATGTTCTAGATATTCTATCATTCGACTAGCCGACTTTGATTAGTGTCATATGACTCTGGACGGATCACGAAAATAATATTATTTGAGGTTTTTAAATATTGCGAAGGTGACAGACTAAATGCGCAGAAATGTGCGTGGTCATAAACGAAAACAATTACTTTGTATCCTCGTTCTTAAAGCCAGTCGTTCTCACTAACCGTCCGCGTCCGACCCGCGAGGACGTAGGAACGAGAATGAGCATTTTACGGAACTGCACGCATGAGCAGAAACTTACTCCCTTTATTTATTTCAAGAACTCGGGTTGCGAAGCCAAGCCACCAGTCGCGAATTTATGTCAGTTATTTCTATTGTCATAATTTCAAAATATCTATATTCCATAATCAAACAGTAAATGGTATAAATTTGTTCTGTTTTTTGTTTTGTCTTGTTCTTTGTTTTTAATTAAAGTGCCTGTCACCTTAATCTCTTACTGCTCTACACTAAGGTTGGACACGCCAGACTCCTGCTGAGAACAACTTTTCCTGGGTTTGCCGACTCAAAGGACTTCTGCGAATCGCAATAAAAATGGAATTCCGAACAGTGCCTTCACCGCTTTTCGCTAAATTCCATGGTTTTCCATTTAACCTGGAAACTGATTTTGTAGTATTTTCTAATGTGCAACAGTCTCTTGAGACTCATTCCTCATAAGCCCTCGCTGCTATCGAGTGCCAAATACTTGAGGCAAAACGTAAAAAATGTGGAAAAGCCCCAAATTATCGGAGAAACGACTGGCACAAGCTGCTCGATGGCCGACGCAATTTATTATGCAAATTATCAACAGCTAGAAGGGGTGGTCAGAATGAAAACAACTTAGCCTTCGGTTTAATGGGAATCTAAGTTAGACCATACCAGGTTTATCCCGTCCGAAAGGTATTCTGAAACATTGGACACATAACTTGGAACGCAGAGGTTTGCTTGAAACAGCCTCATAAAGAGCGTTTTAAGAAATTATATTTGGTTCGGAGTATTTGCATAAATAATTACTTTAAGTACAATATAGGAGGTTTAAGCATACAATCTTTTAATTGATACCATTTCCTATGTAAACCAGTAAAATACACATGTTACACAAAGCCTTGGTAAGCGTCTGATTAAAGAAAGCTGCTCCAGTTACATCTGATTCAATTCCTACACGAGTTTGTTCTTTCCAATAATTGATTTAACCACTTTCCTACAGAAAATAAAATTCAACATAAAAATACACAAAAATATTATTATTCCTGTGAGGAGAATGAAATGTTTATTCGATTCAAAAATAGAATGAAAACTTGTATATAACATGAGGCAGTTGAGAAATGCAAGTTTCATCTTCGAGTATTTAAAGTGTGTATTACCCCCCAATGACTGCAAAATCACATACATTTCAACAGCAGAACAAGTATTTCAGAGCAACCTAAAATACAAATCAATGTGGTTGTAGTTGTTTTTCTCATAATTTTTGAAGAAAGAGTCAGAGATGACCACCTGCCTACTCTTCCTGTCATGAGGTTTTAGCAATCAATCAAAAATATACCAAAAGTGCTATGAGACAATTTTAGACGGCTGAAAGGATGCAGCAGTGAATTAAAACAATTCCAGTGGTTAGTTCACGCTGATACCATAATAATAATAAATCTTCTGTTGAATTCTAAGCAATCTTATTCTACTTCTTTATAACAAAGTTAGGCATACACTGTGTATCTCTTTAAAGGAGGCCTTTTTTGATGGATACCACATTTAACAAACAAAGATATCTCCACATAGAAGAACACAGTTTAACCATGAATGGTGAAGAACAGAGAAACTACTGCTTTTTAATATAACATTACTAAGGACATATTCTGTCTAAATGTATTTTCAGAGAATAATTTTTTATTTCTCTGACTTTGTGTGAACTATTTCATTGCAATCTCTAAAAGTTGAACTTTATGGTTAACTAACACAAATTTTATTTTAAGTCTCTAAATGCTTGAGTTGCTACCTCTTAAATATTATTAAAACAAGAAAACTATAATAATAAAATTTTCTAGAAGGAAAAACCTGTTTGCAATATTTGTGACTTATCAAAGTCATCACATACTGATAATTACCCAGAAAGAAACTAATATTTTGTTAAAATTAGCATTAGGTCAGTCTTTCCTTTCAGTTATTTTGAAAATAAACCATGGTTCCTAAAAACTTTTCTAAGTAAAAATTTTAAGTGAACCAGTTTCTTGAAATGTGAACTTTAGCACTATCAATCATACTCTCATTCTGAACAACACAGCAGTCACATGTCTGTGCATGAGCAAACACTTTATTGACTAGATGGCTTGCTTTCAGGCTGTCAGAACCAAGTTGTCTCACAAACTACAAGTAACTACATGAGCCAATGGGTCACAGAATTTTAGATGCATACAACTTTTTTAGTAAAGCTCAAAACAGAATGATAAGTCAGCAAGATTCTTGTACTTGAAAAATCTTTGTGTTCAAAAAGTTTGAGCTTTTCTTTTTTCTACTTTGGTTTCCTTTCATAAATTTATACGAACATATTAATTTTCTCTCTCTCATGTTGCCAGACAGTAGTTGTTTCTTATATTTTCCATAGAAATTTTGCACAGGGCATTGATGCCCAGGCACCAAAAATGGATTTCCTTTTAAATAACTACACTTGACTGCTGTATCCTTCTGAACAAACTTTAACTCCTACTGATCAGTGGATATGTCTCTTATAATTAAAACTAATAAATAATATATCACATAATAAATTATTCTGTTTTTGTACTTGCCCTATGGGCAGCTCACCCTATAATCTCTCATTACAGGTGACATAATTATCTGATGAGTGGTTAACTAGCAACTGATTGAAATAAAAATGATTTCCAGTGACAGGCTTACATGATTCTTAGACAATGGATGTCCATTCAGGCATATTCTCCAAACATTTCCTAAGGCGTTGACGAGGAGAATTGTTTGACAATCAAGAACTTCTTTATGTGATGATCACTTCCCTTATTCTTATGACCATAATGTTTGATCCAGGTGTAATATTGTAAAGAGAAATTAGATGCTGATCACTCTCAGGGGTCAAAGGGTTAGGTTATGGGAACAACAATCATCTTTAATTGGTCAAAGTTGGATCAACTTAAAAAGTTTTCATTATTGAATTACTGTTTCCAAATGATTGCATGTTTTCAGGGATTTATATCAATGTGAGAATCTAGTTTATAAACTTTACTGTTTGTTTACAAGGATGTCTTATCTGCTTATCTTGAAATGATTTATCAAAAAAGAAATGATAACAGAATTGTTTCACCAACAGAATGAATTTATAACAGAATACAAAAGCACCCAGCAATTATACTGAAAATTTATTCACCTCTTGCTCATTGAATATTTTGGAATAGTCCCTTCCACTTAGTCTTGGGGATCATTCAACAATATTCACTTCACCTTTGACAAATAACTGTTAAATAATAATTGAATCAGCTTGATGGATTCTTGTTTTGCCCCTGTTGTTCTTAATTTCAAACCTTCCATGAGTGACCAAGACAGAATTTCTCCTTACAATGCTAATACCATATCAAGCAGACAAGTGACAAGAATGGAGAAAAATATCAATTAAGAAACTATCTGTTGATTCAATACCAAATTCCCATAAGGAAAATCATATGAATTGCATGGCAGACACAAAGGAGAAGTACCAACTACATGAGATCTTGGGAATGAAAGGGTTAAATGATACATTCTAAATTAACATCCATTACCAGGGTCTCAATGGGGTTAACTGTTAGCAGTAAAATGGCAAAACAGGTTAGCCATTAGGCACAAATCTTGACAACTTTAACTGTTAATCATAAAAGAAAAGTTAACCGTAAAAATTGTCCTTTTAACCTTATCAGAAAGAAATTAACCATTAGTTGTACAATGACCAAATTTTTAACAGTTAGCCATAGAAGCCATCACCACACTGAGATCTTCCTTCACTAGAAAACTAATCACTGTCATTTAAAATTAGCCTCACTGTCAATACCAGTTTGTCCAAATATGAAATAATTATCACATGATGGGGAATGCTATTAAAAAATTGTTTCACTACAATTATACTGAAATTATTGCAAGAAATTAATTCTCAACTTTGACATCTTCTAAAGAAATTGAACTGGGGTCAAACTTTTCCCCTGTGATCCTCTCATACATATCCATGATATCTTCGCAGACAGTTTCAAAATGAGTAGTAGCATCGTAAGACTTCGAAATGAATATCTGATGAAATAAATGGCAAAAAAGAGTAAGTCCAAATTATACATCTTTGGGAGACATGGTGAAATACTGGTTACTGCAAAACAGGGGTTTTAACAAAATTTTTCCATGAGTAACTGCCCATGGTGTAATAGATAGCTGTGGCCACAAAGGAGCCAAAACATCACGGCTTGCACCTGAGGTCAACAAACAGCAGTGGGAGGTCTTATTGGCAGCAGTACACCACCTGTAACCACCTTTAATTGAAACCTCTGGTATTGGGCTCAGGATTTTAAATTTTTAAGTTCAAGCCTATGCTTTTTAAGTTTTACAAGTTACTTTCCTCCCACAGTCAAGAGGTGACATCTATACTTGAGCCAAGAGGCTCCACCAACAGGAGCTCCTCTTAGTTTCTAGAGCAAGGGTATGGTTACTTTTCCTAAATGGGATACCAGTCTGTCGCTGGTTACCCTACAGCATTTTGTAAGGCCTCCCTGACAATTCACTGTTACTCATCTATATTCCTGAGTGGAGAGAAGCACTGTAAGTCAAAGTAAAGTGTCTTGCCTTGGAACACAACACTATAACCTGACCTGGTCTCAAACCTAGCCTTCAGTTCAGCTGTAATTTTGGCAGGCATATACTAAGCATTGTCTTGGTGAAAATTATAACTGCCATATTTGATTTTTGGAGCAGCTGAAGACTGGGAAGAAACAGAAATTTGTACCCCCCTACACACAGACTGTAACTCCAAATCAAACATGGTGGGTTAAATAAATGATTGTGAACTTCTTAAAATTACCTAACCCTTGTGAGACACCTGCACTGCAGGCTGTCTCAAACCCAAAACTCTCAATCAGGGGTCTGGTAATAAACTTTAGATCAGCACTTGTTTCATGCAGTGCTTCTTCACAACAGCATATTAAACAAGTAACAGGAAACTGTCAGGAAGGAAATTCAACTAATTCCTGTAACTGCAATGGACAAAAATCTCATCCCAGAAAAATAGCAATACTCTAAAGACCTACATGTAGGAACAGCAATTTCATTTGAAACATTTTCTACTTTTGTATTGCCTGTCGCCAAATATCAGTCAGCAATTTTGGGAAGCAATATAACACTAATACATGCTTTGGACTGTTTAACCAAAATAATGAAACAAACAAGTACAAATTTTAAAGTAAAAGCATATAATTGTGAAAATAAATGATTCATGTACATGCTGGAATGCAACAAGATTGATCACGATATTTTTCTTCCTGCTAAAAGGTCAAGTGAGATATTAAACTCTGTTTACTTTGGTTTACTGCTGTTACAATTATTACTAACAGTAACACTGATATACACATTGGGGTATATTGAGTACAACGCCAAGCAGTCTACAGTTTACTAGGCAAATCAAAGGATAGAGATGGCTAATTTTTATGAAAATCTGAAGGTTTGAGGTTTGATCACCCATGGGACTTTTTCTTCGTCTCTTATGACAAGATGGAAAAGCCTCTTTCTCTAGTCAACAAGGCAGTTTGATCACTTCTCCCATTTCAATTCAATTTTTAAAAAATAAGCCAGATATATACAAGAGCCAGCTACAGGAGCAAAGTCCAAAAGTCTGCTTTTGAAAAAAAAAAAATAATTGCAGTTACTAACCAAATGTTTACTAACTGTCAATGTTAAATATTTTATTCTGCTCAATAACTTGTTTAAATAATGAGCAACTGCAAAGACATTGGCCATGGAAAAAAAAAACAGTTACAAAAGCAGTGTGTTTATAGCCTGTTCTCTTTCAAACACAAACTAGTTTGTAAAGTGCTTACAACACATTAAGATGGTCAAATGCTTCTAGGCTGTAATGTCCTCTAGATGTTTATTACTCCTAAGAGTTTAGGGTTAAATTGTATCTTTAATGAAGCAAGAGAACAGTCCATAAGAAGAACTGGAGGTATAATGACTACATACCTTACTTTCTTTACCATCATCTTTAGGCATGTACATATCACTGATCCATACAAACTTCTTGTCAATCTTGCCAAGAAGATTCAAGCCAGGCTGTAACTCGGACGAAGGGTCATTTGTCTCAATTTTGGTGCTAACAATGGCCAAATATTTAGCTCTTGGGGTGACTGAGTTGGTGTGAGACATACAGCACACATAGATATCTGGTAGAAATGGGTAAAAAATTTTTAAAAAAATCGGTAATGTCTCAGGAGTCAGACACTTGAGAAAATTTCTCACAAAATTGGATCCTTGATGATTAGGAAATTGAAATATATAGAATATCACCCATAAAAACATGATATTAGTTAAATTTGTTTGCTACCAATAAAAATATGGGAGATAAATAGAAATTTAAAGTTAGAATGAAAAGGAAGTGGTTGAATCACTGGTCTCAGTTGTCCCAGGACTCAAAGTTAACAGCCCATCAGAAAATAGGCAAAAAGATAGATATGAATTTATATATACAAACACACACACACATGTAAAATGGAAAGATAAACATTAAAGCTGTGCTTTAAATTTGAACTGAGGGTTTTAAATCTAGACTTGACAGCACATAAGCTCCCCACAAAGAAATATGAGAGTCCTGCTCGACAAAAAAGTTTCTTAAACCAGAGGTTGCACCAAATATTGAATGGACCTTTCCCTGACACAATCTAGGGTAAATATGAATTCCCTAAACTATCTGTGAAGCTTTCTTATAATCTTAGCCCTGAGAACAATATCTCCTTGTTGAATCTTTTGTATCTATTTTTGAGGGTAGTAATGAGTGGTCCTGATTCCTCTTCACACACAGATAATAGAAATATTCCTGCTTTGCTTATATTATACTTTGAACAACATTTCACAAATCCCAAACTTGAAATGGGAAATTCAACTCTCTCCTCTTGTGCATAAAGTTTCAAAGAAATCTTGAGGTTTTCATGAAATGAAAGAAAAAATACAGAAGGCAAATCACCTCTTTGGTTAGTTCATAAATTCACAGATCAAGCTTGCCTTCCTGTAAAGACAAATTTTGGCCTTCATTACCACTCACATAGGAACCCCTTGCCACCCTCAACAATATTTTTATTTTTTCTTCAAAATATACTGATATTGTAAGGAAAAGTCGTGTTTGGGCACTCTTAATGTAAAAAGGATAAAAAACTGTATGACACTGGTATTTCAACAATACTTAGTAAAGGAGCAGGCGATAACAACGACGACTAAAGCTTTGTGATAATGTTTACTAATCATGGACAGGTGTCTGTATCTTGTTAATATTAATAACTTCATGCAAATCGATTCGAAAGTCATTTAAATTTTTGAAATTTTCCATTTAGGAGGAGACCTGTGACTTAAACCTGAAACAAATAGATTTTGCTGGTAAAACGAACATCAATGGATTTCCAAAACATAAAATGCCGATAATTAGGTTCCCGTCGAAACCACATTATCTTAAATTTATTTGTATGTACACAAACTCATCCAGGTTATCATCTTTGAACAAAAACATGGCGGACAGCTGTATGACCCTAGTTGATAATCAGGAAATCGAATCACTTTCTGAAAGGTTTATGACACCCGAAATTGAGATAACTGCTGTAATTGTAAGGAATTTATCGTCTGTCGAACGAAAAGTCTTATGCGCAGTGATGGAAGTTGTACCTCCGCTTACCAGTGATTTAAGAAAATACTAGCAAGGATGGTAATAAAGCGATAAAGATATCAAACTTACCTGATTTTCGGCCAACTTGATTTTGGGGAATGATCAACTGGCAGGATTTTGCATCGTTTGTATTAGGAATTGGGTGAGACAGAATACAAATGCACCGAACAACTTGTCCTACTTTCTCTACTCTCTCGGAGAAGTACGAAGGATCGGCGATAACAGCTTTCGTTTTTGCAACCTCTCCTTCCGACTTCACTCCACAGACTACGCCGTTCTCCATGACAATTTCTTCCACTGGTTTATTCAACATGTATGTACCGCCATAAACAGCCGACAATCTGGCAAACCCTTGAGGCAATTCGCCAAGCCCGTAGAGAGGATACAAATAGGGGCTATGACCGTAGCGAGACAGAGAATCATAGTACAGCTTTATGCGCTGTAGAGGCTCCCCACACGGCTTTGTTTTGTAGTCATCATCGAGATACAGAGCGATGGCATGGCCTGTGAAGTCCTGAGTGTTCTGATCAAGACCGTACTTGGAATAAACATCTTTCATAGTCGAAGTCTTCGGGTCGATGCCTTCCCAAGTAGTTGGGTCTTCTACGTTGTACTTCAGAACAAAAAGAAGGAACGATCGAAATCGTCGTTTCTCAAAGATTCCCATCAGACTGGAGGAGAGAGCTTCCTTGTCATTCGCAGGAACCTTGTAGACGCTTCCACCGCGGAAAACATAGCTTCCTTCAATCTGCTTGAATTCCAAGTAACGCGTTACTTTAGTATGAACCAGCAACTTGACAAGACCACCATCTGCCATCAAAAACTTGGGAATCAAGTCGACATTCCAGTCCCGACTATTACCGAAGCTGTCGCCCGGGCCTTCGGATTCTTTAAATCTCTTGAACAACTCATCAAGAGGATGCATGGAAGTGCTTTCTCCACCGTAGTAAGAGTTGCGATCCATATGAAGAACCTTTTTCCCGTTTACGGACAACAGACCACTCAAAATACATTCCTTGAGTCCTGTACCAAGGATAACATAATCGTATTCCTGGTCCATGATTAGGAAACTATTGGAAAAGAGATCAAAGGGCGATTACTCCGATATTCTAGTAAAATGTTAAAATGATAAAATGAATGGGTGTTCCACTGGTTGAATAAAAAAAATTTCACTGTCTCAGGAGATTTTTCATTGGATGAAAGAAAAAGTGACCAATTAGAGATCTTGTAAGAAAATATCTCGTTCCTCATTAACCGCTGAATAGTATAAGTTAGGGCTCATCATATATTACTTACACTTGTGATTGGATAACCCCTTGTCCGATTCACCAATCGTAGCTCTTCTGACATGGGCAACACGTTTCAGATGAAATTGACCAACACTGAATTCATAAAAATTGTTCGTTCGACTGAAATCAGACATATACGAGAATTGTCCTTAGCCATTACGAGCATTAAAATCAGCTTAAAATCTTTCAGCCGTGAGAAGGATTTGTCTACATCTCATTACGGAATTTACATCATGTGTGGTGAGTATGTTTTGTTTTTTTTTAAGGAAAACAATTGAGTTTATACTGTCGATATTCTTTCTGATACAGAGAAGATTTTACTAGGTTTATGATAAATACTTAAGGCTTAAGTCTGAATCGTCATGTGTAGAGTATCCTGTACAGCCAGCTCCATTCTATAAGTACTGTTCAATTTCTTTACAGGCATATTTGCATATATAAACTTCTGCGTTCCTCGAAAACGTCAATACATTCTGGAACTCTTGATCAGTGGTCTTCAGCGACTCGAGTATCGAGGCTACGACTCTGCAGGTTTGTGCTTTATATTAGTCGTAAAATGGTTTTCTCTACATTTTATAAACTGAAGGACTAACTGATTTTAAACATTTCAGGGGTGGCCTACGATGGAGTTGGAGAAATGAGGTAACTCTTGCATCAGTTTTAGAATTTCCCGCTTCAGTTGTGTATTGCGAAAATTTCTTGCAATGATTGGATTGTTGTGGTGGCAACCGTTAGTAAAGCACTCGGAGGTACGGATTCTGTACGATCAAGCTTAACTAAATCGAGCAAATTTCTGTCTACTGAAAGAGGTTGAGTTAAGTCTACGAACAGACAGTTTTGCTACCCTCAGGTACTTTGCAACTGTTGAAGAATTAAACTGTACTTTGCAGTACAAATTTCCCTTCATGTTTATTCATGACCACGGGATTGCCAACGTGGATCTCTTCGTCCGATCAAAGACGATTGCACTCCTTTTACTAGTAATTCGAAGTTTCATTGTGCGAGTTTGTCCATTTAGTCTATCTTTTCCGTGAATTTTAGGAAGTCACCTGAACGTCCTCTATATTAAATTACTTCTTTAAAGTTATTAATAGTTGTGACGTGGATATTCAATACAAGAATCTCTAAATCTTCAAGCGAATGATCCTGAACTGTTGAACTTTACAGCATCTTATATCTATTGCTGATTGTTTTTAGATTGATTGTATTTTTGCGCATCATAATGGTTTTTATTGTGTTTTGAGAGCCAGATGAAGGAGGTCTATAAATTTGATTGATTAATTATATTGAGGGTTTCCTGCAACTGACATCGGCTGAGATTTTCTTGACTTGCAATCAAGCTTGAGGGGTTAGATGTTTGATGCCTCTTTTGTTCATGGGAGGCAGTAGTTTTTTAAAATAAATTGATTTCATGATTTGAGTTCAGAGGTCAAAGTAACATTTCTGTATAGCCCCACAATTCACTGTGGAGAAAGAAAAAGAATGGTGAAAACAATAAATTGCCTTTGAGACTACTGATCTATTTTACAACAGTATGAGGTTGTGCGGACGTCTTACTGAGGTCAATGTTGTTATTGGTGTGGCTGTTGAAAACTGCTCTTTTTGATTAAATAATTGTGAGACTATCACACATTAACCCATAAATAACAAATGTTGACCTATGCTGAAATGTCTAGAACAGCTCTCTTCTAAAATTTCTAAGTCAACATTCTCTTCTGCAGTCCAGCAATGATTTATTTCATTACTTACTGCCAGAAGCAAAGTCGTGCAGTTCTGAGTGAAATCGTCAAAAACATTGTTGAATTCCTTAACCAAGGGAAGCAACATTCTGTGTGATTCTTTTTCTGATTATTATAAGGTTAAAATGAAAAAAAAGGAAAGAAGAAGAGAAAAGAAAATCTTTCTCAGCTTAAAAATTAGCTAAGTATATGCTCTCTAAGATGCCAATTAGTAAGTAAACTTTGGTTAATTGTTGACGAGATCTTTGCATTCAGCAAAATAGAAAGAAGAATTTAAGCCTGTCATTAAACTTCTTACCATATTTCTTACTTATAGGATTGTGAAGAAGAGAGGGAAAGTTGCTGCACTTCAGCAAGAAATCCAAGGTACTGCATTTTAAAAGATTCAGTGGCAAAATGTGCTTATTAACCCTTAATACCCTAAGATTGGCATGCACTTTCTCCACTCTGTTCTATGTATATTTTTAATGCTACAAGAGCTTTTATGGTCAGCAATCATTTCCTTTATTCCCATGATCATAATGATTTTTATTCAATGGTGACTGAATACTGTAAGGAGAAGTTGGATACTTGTCATTCATTGGGCTTAACCCTTTAACTCCCAAGATCTCATTTGTAATTCTCCTTACTGTCTGCTATACAGTTCTCATGATGTTCGTTCGGAGAATTTGGTATTGGATTAACTTATAATCCCCTAACTGATATTTATCTTTATTCTCATCACTTTTCTGCAGATATTGTATTGATATTGTAAGGAGAAATTCTGTCTTGGTCTTTAATGGGAGTTAAAGGGTTAAGGAGTGAAAGGTTGGATAGTAAGTTCACCTGAGCCAAAGTCATCATTTAGAGTCGAGCTACTGAGGATTTTGTTAAATTTAAGAGTGAATTGATTTTTCATAATAATTTACAGTAAGTTGTTGTTCTTCTTAGTTCAGAGTGACTTTAGCTTGGATGAGGAGCTCCCAAAGCATTGTGGAATTGCTCACACCCGTTGGGCCACTCATGGTGAACCAAGTGGTGTGAACAGTCATCCTCAAAGATCAGACCCATCCAATGGTGAGCCATATCATGTGATTCACTCATTCATTCATGCTATGTGCCATATTGGTACTTAATTTTTTTAGGTACCCAATTTCCCAAGTTTGGCTATAGAGTATTCCATGGTGTTTTGTTTTTGGCAGTTCAATACATAGGCAATTATGAAAAAAAAAAAGGCATTGAATTTTGCTGTTCAAGCACTCTAAACTTCATTGTATTTTTGGAATATTCTGAACCTCTTAACCCTTTCACTCCCAAGATTTTATCAGTAGCTCTCTTTACTATCTGCCATACAATTCTTATGATGCTAGTTTGGAGAATTTGGCATTGGATCAACTAAAAATCCTATAACTGCTATTTTTCTTTATTCTCATAACTTGTCTGCTTAATAGTGCATTGACAATTTGTAAGGAAAATTCTCTATTGGTCATTCATGAACATAAGGGTTAAAATTCTAATATAAACTGGAACAAGCAAAACACATAAAGGGAATAGGTGCTGAATAATTACCAACATTTACAACCTGATGCAATCCAACTTCAGTATAAAATTGAAATCCTTAAATAATGTTGTTGATCTGGTTTCACATTGTAATCATTTTTCTTTTTCAACATTTGTTGTTTTCTCTTTTTTTATAGAATTTGTGGCAGTTCATAATGGCATTATAACCAACTACAAAGATATCAAAAAGTTTTTGGTAAGGGCTAGTCTGAACTAAATAATGAAAAAAAATGCATTGATAATTTATGGTCTAGTGATTGTCTCTTCTAGATACCATAAATTTTTTAAAATATATTTACTTAAGAGGATTTAGAGTTTTCCTGTCTGGTGGTCTTTTTTTTTCTGAAAGTGAGTATTGATCACTTTTTTGTTGAATGTTCAGCCAAATGTTGTGATCTGTTTTTAAAACCACTCATGTTTATTAGCATTTGACTAACAAGTTCTCCTCCCTTGTTTTTGATATAATGACTCTATTCACTAACATGATTGACATGCCCTCTCTCCAAACCCTCAAATATATCCGATGTGTATGCAAGTTGTGCATTTTGTATATGTGGTTAGGATGGATCAATTTTTTTGACTGGTTTCTTTTTTTTTTTTCTTTTATCAGGAGAGCAAAGGATTCCGCTTTGAATCTGAAACGGACACTGAAGTGATACCAAAGCTTGTCAAGTATTTCTATGACAAAACGGTAAATTGGCCTATGAAGAGTTAACACCATCAGTGCTGTTGTGTTCCTCCTTTATGTAGTTCATCCATTTTAATTGGATTCTAATTGTCCTTGATTATAATTGAACAAATTTCCAAACCTCCAGATTGTGTGAATTATCCCAGCCCTTGCAAAGTTTAATTCTCTTTTAATTCTTCTTCTGTTTAATTCTTTCGGAGGAGAATCTGGGCAGCCATCTGCCTCATTACTTTGGGATCCCAATCTCCATGGATTTCTGACAAATAAGTTTAACACTATTAAAATTATTGCAATAAATGTATTAAAAGGGTAGTTTGATTTTATTTTCTGTACAGAAGAAAGAAGGACAGGAACTAGAATTTAGAGAACTTGTAGAGATGACCATACAACAATTGGTAAGTTGATTCTTTTGCCTCTCCCTTTTTTTTTCTCTCTCTGCTATTTGCCTTTTAACCCTTTACACCTTAACATCAGTATCCATATTCTCCATACTCTTCTCTATGCATTTCCTTTCGTACTGACAAGGAGAATTTGTTAAGCAATCAGAGCTTCTTTAGTTGGCGATCATTTCCTTTATTCCTGGGATCTTAATGACTGATTCTGTTGCAAAGGCATAAATGAACTCCAGAATGACGACACAATGATTTATTAAAAAATAATAACAGAAAGATATTATGGTGAGACACAATCAAAACACTCAAAGATGCCCAGCAAATCCTAAAATCCCAACAACAGACACAGTGCAAACTGCATGATTTTTATCCGTAAAATCACTCAACAGCTGTTACTCTTTGTCTCACAAAAAAGGCATAATGCAAGGTAATGTCACGCAAAGTCACACTCTTCTCAACAGATTCAGCCATATTAATGTAAGAAGAAATTAGGTGCTGGTCACTCTGAGGGTTTAAAGGGTTAAACTGATCTATAACAAGACACAAACTACAATCCTCATGAAAACTGTTGAAACAATTTAATTTGCTATGTTACATTCCCTTTATCAAGGTTATTAATAGTTCATGTTTGTATCCTCAGGAGGGAGCCTTTGCACTTGCTTTTAAAAGCTCAAAGTTTCCAGGCGAAATTGTGGCCACCAGGTTTGTGTCAAACATTTAGAATAGGGAACTAAATTTCTCACTATCTGGAGTTTTTGTCTTTGTGATAAAGAAATATAGATGGAAAATAAAAGTTCTACTGTACCAATAGACAAATATCAAAGAGGAAAGATGAACCAAACAGACATAGAGTGATAAACAATTGTGAAACAAAAGGTGGCTGATATTGAACCATTGATCAGGAATTAATTGAAATAGAAGCAGGTTTTGAGGTGTTGTCTTCAAAGTTCTCTCTAATTGCACCATGGCTGCTATGGGATGGTATATTTTTCAAAGTATCTAGTGAAATACTTAAATGACACAAATTTTTCTTTTCCTCTCCTTCTATCTGATTCACAAGTCTGTTTATAACCTGTGTGCATTGAAATACTTCCAGTTAATAAAAACAAGCAAAATTTAATTTACATATTGGGAATTAGATCCTGCTAAATACTTTAAGTTTAACAAACTTCTAACTGCCATTGATATAAGTTTATTAATTTTATGTTAGTTTATCAGTAATAAATCATGATGGTGGTGTAACTTTTTTTCTGTCACAATTGTGTTGGTAGGCGTGGCAGTCCACTGCTTGTGGGGATCAAGAGTGAATTCCCACTAAAGACAGACAGGTTACCTATTGTGTACAGTTCAGGTAAATATGAATCATTTAGTACAATACAGTGAAAGCTTTGTTATCCGAAAAAGGAAGAAAGCACCTAGTAAGCTATTGGCAAAGAAACAGGGTTCATATCAAGTCTGGAGAGGTGTTCCTATAAAGAAATTAAAATCTTGAAATTTTTTATTTTATTGGTGTGCCTGGAAAAGGTATCCAGAGTAGTGAGAAATGCAACTTAATAGATATAAATAGAAAATGAGGTATCTCCATTTCAAGTGCTAATTGTAATCAATTTTTTGAATGAGGCATGCACGCGGTTTCTCTTTTTCTCACACATATATTAGGTGATACACATGATGAGGCTGGGGCAACAGACTCGGCTGTTAATGGTTTTGGTTGGTCGAGTTTGGCAACGAACAAAGACAGTCCAATTGAAATTTACTTTGCCTCTGATGCAAGGTTTGTATAATGGCATCAATTAAAGAGAGTCACTATAGCAGGACTTATGTTGCTTTGTACACCAACTCTGCTGTTGTTCAATATTGCATGTCCATTGAATCAATAGATTATCTAATTAAAACACATTAGCCAAAGACATGTATAAATTGTACATTCAGTTTCACCAGGTAGAGTGTGGCAATACTTTGCTTAACTCCTTCCCCCTGTTTCATTACATACCATTAATCAGGGGACATTGAAAATCAGTTGAAGCAATGATCTAGAAGTGAAGATAAAACTGAATTTGTACCCAAAATATACAAGGTATAAATTTTCTGGATTATTAATGAAAGTATTTAATCCTCAGTGCTGTTATTGAGCATACTAACAGAGTGATCTACTTGGAAGATGATGATGTTGCTGCAGTTTGTAATGGAAGTAAGTATTAATTGACTTGAAACTTCACTTTTTTTCATTTATTTTAATGAGCACCATATACTGACAGAGTAAATTTTCATAAATTGTCAATTTTTTCACTGCGCTGATTATTAAATAGAAAATTTATTGAGCAAAGGCCAATTTTCTTAAAATGCATTAAGTGAATTACCTGACTGTGTGATTAGTTGGAAAGTTAAAACAGAATTTTTTCCTTAACACCCATTGTTGCTACCAAATGAACTTAGGTGCAGGCAGTTGCCGAGCTAGGAAGCCTTTACACTGCAAGATTGATCCATAGATATTGAAATATCATGATCATGGTTTTTGTATTGTGTGCAGATCTTTCAATCCATCGTATAAAGCGTGGAGATGCATCAGAAGAGAATTATTTCAGAGAAGTTCAGACACTTCAAATGGAGTTGCAACAGATCATGAAAGGTAAATGTGCAGCTTGTTAACAGCTCTTTTATAGAATGATGTATGTCACTTGAGAAATGTTGCAAATTATTGCATTAATGAATTTAAAAAAGGTTTTAGTAGTGTTGGGAAGATGGCAAGTTATGTATTTGTAGATGGTACAGACTTTTCCTTCGTTAAGTGCTAAATATGCAAGAGTAGAGCTCTGTTATCATTCATGTTCAGGTATAACAGCATCCCCTTCCCCTTCCCTCCCCTCTCCTGGATCCTCTTTACTGGCTCCTCTCAATGAAGAAGAAGCAGTTTTTCAATAGCTGACTATTAACAAATCAACTTTGCCTACCCTTAGATAATGCCAGCCTTCACCCCTACTGGAAATTCCTGCCTAGTAAATCAACATCATCTAGATCAAGTTGGATAAGAGCTGATGTTCAGCTTAACCCGAATTAAATGAAAACAACAATTCACTCCAGTGATTGTAACTGTTTTTCTAGTTCAAAAGTTTGAAACCCATTGATGGGGCTCATGGATCTTTTCATGTCAGCATGGAGGTCCTAATGAATGTTTAATTGGTGATATTGAACTACAGCTGGATTTGACTTTCCTTTAGGAAATTACAGTTCCTTTATGCAGAAAGAGATTTTTGAACAGCCAGAAAGTGTTGTGAATACAATGAGAGGAAGAGTCAATTTGGAATCAGGAAGTGGTGAGGACATTTGGGAGGAACCTTGAGTAATGATATCCATTTAGGAGATAAACTTATAAACTTATAATTGCGTTATGAACCAAGCTAGAGACTGGAAAGTGGTTATGAGCAATTTCCCCCAAAAAAGAACAAGACCTGCAGGAAGCCATTCTGACTAAACAGGCTTGGTTAATAAAGGATTTGTGATCAGCAATAATCTTTTAAGATAGATTTTCACTCAACATTTGTGGAAGTTTTATTGTTCTCATTTATGACCCTGCCCTCTGAGTTCCTCAGAGCATTCAATCCTAAAACTACATATAAATAAAACTTGTGTACAGTTATTAGCCCTTCACTTCCTTACTTCAATGTGCATGTTCTCTATACATTTCCTAAGGTGCGGACAAGGGGGATTTGTTTAAAAATCAAAGATTCCTAGGTTGGCAATCATTTCCTTTATTCTGGTGACATTTATGTGTAGTTAAGGGGTGATTTTGTAAGGGGATGATATTGTAAGGGGTGACAATGGTGAAGGGTGATAAATGTAAGGAGAAATTTGATGATAGTCGCTCTTAGTGGTCAAACAGTAAGAAGACAGGCCAATGTGCATTGCTTGAAATGTGCCGAATCTGTTGTTGCATCATAGTTCATGAATTAAAAAGTACAGGAGACTATATGTAAAAGTTGGAATTATTTCATCTCAATGGAATTTTTTTTTAATACTGCTGTTTAAATTTTACATTTTCTTTAAATTTGGCAGTAAGACTTGGTGGCCTGATGTCTCATATTGATACAATTCGTCGATGCAGAAGAATATTGATGATTGCTTGTGGCACAAGCTATCACAGTGCTTTAGCAGTAAGTACAACAACTATCCTCGATTTTTATTAACTTAATAAAAGATAGCCCACAGTACTGCCCTCTTTTACGGTTCGAATTTCTCCCAAATAGTGAGTCAAAAACTCCAGCTCGTTGTTTTTTTCATCTGCAGACAAGACAGTTGCTGGAAGAACTCACAGAACTTCCTGTAGTTGTTGAGCTGGCCAGTGATTTCCTGGATAGATCAACACCAATATTTAGAGATGATGTGTGTTTCTTTATTAGTCAGTCAGGTAAACTTTCATTTTAATTGATAATGAAATAAATCACGATTTGATACACTGTGATATTTTTTTCCCAACCTTGGGATTAGATGTTAGATCTTTGCACAGGCATGATTGTGTTGATGCTTTTGGGTAGAAAATGGCCAATCACTTCTCAACTTGGTCAGAGAGAGACTCATTGCATTACACATTTTTGTTAATAAATTATTCTGTGTAGGAGAGACAGCTGACACTCTAAATGCTTTGCGGTACTGTAAGGAGAGAGGAGCACTCATTGTGGGAATCACCAATACAGGTATCAAAAACCAGCAATGTGTACAACATTGATTACAGAATAATTATTATAATACTTATTATTAATAATAACATTGAAATGTACATTTGTACTTCTAATTACTGGTAGTTATACTGTTGAATTGTTTGATTGTTTCTTGTCTCATCTCTTATTTTTCCCCTTCTATTTCTTTACTTATTTTACTGAGATTTGTTTGCTGCAAAAGAGTAGCATTTGTTGATGGAAATAATAGTGTTCACCTTTTTTGACAAATCTTTTGTATTCCCTGTTTAAGAGACCTTCATCATGCTCATGTTGATAACTACAGTAACAGTAACAGTAACAGTAATGTGTTGCAAATAAAAAAAAAATAGATTGCTAATTTTTAGTTTAGATATTGTAAGTTGTTACTAACACAGTATCAAAACATTTGATCACCATTATTTTATTGTTTTTTGTGTCTGTTTTTGTTTATTTTCAGTGGGAAGCTCAATCTCTAGAGAAAGTATGTGTGGATGTCACATCAATGCTGGTCCAGAAATTGGTGTTGCAAGTACAAAGGTGCTTTAAATGTAGCAAAATTTGTTTATATCACTTAAAACTAATTTCATAGCAAGTGCTGTCCAGCTAAAATGAAACATTTTATTTGGCAAGTTATAAGGAGGGAAAATATAATTTCTCTTCTTTGTAATATGTCACCGAACTATTAAAAGCCATGACTGGGCTGGGTTTTTTTTTCCTTCATTTGTTAACTTTTGGTAAGTGTGACCATATTTTGGTATTGTGTAGGCTTACACAAGTCAGTTCCTTGCTTTGACCATGTTTGCCCTGATGATGTCTGAAGATAGAATTTCCATGCAACAGCGGCGTCAGGAAATAATTGAAGGGATGAAGAAATTACCAGGTAAATTTGCAGTTTATGAAACAAGATTTTACATATCACATAGCAAAGTAGTCACTACTCAAGCTAAGAGGTCCACCTAGTCAGTTTCCTCAGCATGAAGCAACCAGGAGTATCACTACAAGCCCCTGGATGGGATACCAGTCCATCGCCAAGTTACCTCTCAGCATTTCATCACCCTTCCTTGACTATTTAGCAGTAGCCATTTATACATACTCCTGGGTGGAGAGAGGCTCTGTAACCCTTTAAGCCCTAAAAGTGACCAGCATCTATTTTCTCCTTTCAGTATCACCCCTGAACCAAACATTAAGGTCACAAGAATAAAGGAAGCGATAATCAACTGGAGAAACTCTTGATTGTTAAACAAATTCTCCTTGCCAGCACGTTAGGAAATGTATAGAGACCAGTATGGAGAATATGCATACTGATGATAGGGTGTAAAGGGTTAAAGTGTTTTGCCTGAGAATGCAACACATTGATCAGGCCAGGTCTTGATCAAGACCAGTCTCAACTTGGAGTCTAGCACACCACCCATTGTGCCACCACATGACCCACACATAAAACATAAGAAACTTGAAATACCCATCAAAAACTTCTTTGCAGGACCCTGACTGAACACAACAGTTTATTTATAAAATCCGGATTTAAAAGTTAGTATTTACATGTGGATTTAAGTAATAACATTAATAATTGTTACCTAACCAGTTCCTTTGCTTAACTCTCGCTGTTTTTATTGTAATTTTACCTAGAACTGATTAAGGAGGTTCTAAAATTAGATGAAGAAATCCAGTCCTTGGCACAAGAGATGTATCAGCAGAAGAGTCTCCTTGTTATGGGCAGAGGGTTTCAATTTGCGACTTGCCTGGAAGGAGCTCTGGTAGTGAACTTCATTTGAAATTGATGCAGTTTTCTCAGTAACTAGGTTGCCCTGTGGTTTGATTCAAGAGTTATACCATATGTTTGATCAGTTGGAGTCATACTTAATATGCAGTTTACATTGCTTTGAATTTTTTTTTGGTGAATGGATGGTTTTTGGTTTTTACAAGGTGAATCTGTACTGTGTGAACTATTACATGTATCAAAAAAGAGACTGCTACAAATTTCCTTACTTGTAAAAGCATAGAAACAATTCAGAAGTAGTTCTAGTTTTCTCTGTATTAGGCACTCAGTAAAAGGCAAAATTTACCTCAGGTTGGAGCACTTATTTCCCCTTTCAGTTGCCTAGGAGTGACTGCAATCTAACAATTTCAAGCTGAAAGGTAACAAGAAAACCGAAAAAATATAAAAGGAGGAGATCTTGTTTGATTTGATGCTAAATTCTCTGAACTAAATTATACTAAATGTATGGCAAACAGTGTGGAGAACTGAGATCTTGGAATTGAAAGGGTTAACAGATGACACTCTCAATTTACCAGTTTGGAAAACTACTTTAAATTCTATCCTGCTCTAAGTCAAGGAGAACACTGGGTAGTAATTTTCAGAATACCCATCATTATGATAGTTTTAGTCATTTTTAAGCTTTTTTTTGTCAGGCATTAAATCAAACTTTTACCTAAACTTCTTTTTTTTTCAATTTTTATTTCCAGAAAATTAAAGAGTTGACATACATGCATTCAGAAGGTATCCTTGCTGGGGAACTCAAACATGGTCCACTAGCTCTTGTGGATAAGAACATGCCTGTTATTATGTTGGTGTCAAGGGATGCAGTATTTGCGGTTTGTTTAGAAAATTGTTTACTTTTTCACTTTAGTGTAGGCTCAACTAAAAATGTATAAAGCCTAACAAAAAAAGCAGTGAGACTTAAACAGAGTAGTTCCGATAGCCGTATATTGGGTATTCTTAGAGCTATTCTTCATTAATTATCAATAATAATCATCAATTTTAACCTTTTTTATTAAAGAGACTAGCACCCATTTGAAGGGTAGCCAGGTTGTTTTTGAATTATTATAAAAACCATGGTGATATTTGTGCATTAATTAAGTGCAATGAGTTAGAAGCTTCTGATAAGTGTCTTTGATTCCCTTTCCACCAAAACATACTTGAGCCTCTTGGTAATTTGTGGTAATGAAAAATAGTCGCTGATTTGCAATCTGTCTCACACTGATTTTAATTCTGCACTCTTCATCCTCTTAATTGTTTCATATTGTTTTTAATATCTAATTTTCTCACCATAAACTGAAGGTTTTTTTTTTTTTTTTTTTGCATGTTTAAAAATTGTTACCAAAAGTTTGTGTCCTATGTATGACTTTATCTACATGATTTAATTTTTTTTTACAGAAATGCATGAATGCATTACAGCAAGTGACAGCACGCCAGGTAAAAAGAACCTCATCTTAATTCTCTGCTTGTGCATGATGATCTTTTGATTTTGAAGAAGCCAAAACGTTTACAAAATTTGTTTTTACAAGTCAAGTCCTGTTGACAGCTTTATTGAGTAAACTGGCCATTCACTCTAGGGGTGAACAAAGAGAAATTTCTCACTGCAGCATCAACACCTTTTCCAGAAATTGGGTAACAAGAATTTGATTGAGGAGACAGAGAAAGGGAACATTTTGGAATGCGAAAAACAGGGAGGATTGATATGAAGCTCCCAAGATTCTATTAGTTTGTATCTATCAAAAATGTTTAAGGATGTTTATGACAGAGTTTTCACAAGTTATAAAAATTTGGAATGCTCTAAAATCAGTAAAATTTAGCTCTGAAGAGGTTTTTCCACACCTATCAAAAACTTTTTATTTTATTTTTTTATGTTATTTTTTTCAGGGGCGCCCCATACTAATTTGCAATAAAGGTGATGAAGAAGTAAAAGACCACGCCTTCCGCACTCTTGAGGTGCCCAGAACTGTTGACTGCCTTCAGGGAATCTTGTCAGTCATTCCACTGCAGTTGTTGTCTTTTCACATTGCTGTGCTTCGTGGATATGATGTGAGTGAATGGCTAACATTCAAGACAAGACCAAATACAAACCACAACATCAGCGATTTAATCCTCCCTGTAACTCTACATCGTGAATGACAAAATTTGCGAATTACTAGTAACAATCGTTTAAGGTCACATCTGAGGCAGTGAATGCATTTGAGGGCAACCATTCTACACTGACAGTTTTTCTTTGGTCCCTCTAACTCTCACAAGTGATCAATTTTAATATTAATTGTCTCCATTGACTATTTCATTATATACATGTAGTCATGGAGATGGACCTGATAATTTTACCAAATCTTAAGATATATTTATTTATTTTAAGACAGCAGCATCAGCAGGCAAGACATAGTAAATCCTGTTTTTTGATTGGTTAAACTTTCAGACTGCCTGAATTGCCTAGCACATACTTATAAATGTGGCTTAAAAACACTGTGACAATAAAACAACCCTTGTAGTGTGTTTGCATACTTTTTGCATTCAGGGGAACTAAAAAAAGCAGGAAGATGTCTTTAGGTAGTGTCAGTGGCATTGAAATTGCAAAACAAGTCCAGAGGATGATCAAAACAAAGAGAACCAGCCAGCAGATAATATTATTGAATTTTTTTTAGCAGTTCTTTGATTTAATCTTTTGCCAGAAATATATACTTTTTTGCTCAAGTTTCAGTGAATTCTTGTTATTGTTAGACCCATCCCCTATAATCTCCTACAGGAGAACTGTGCATGGGCTTTTGTCAGTGTATTTCTGTAGCTTTACTCTGTCTGACAATGGCCTGAGACAATAGAAATTATCTTTTTTATGATCCTCTTTAGCTTTGTTATATATTTTGAATTGTCTCTTTGACCTCATCTTTGCAACTACTCAACGCTCCATTCAATTCACCTTTAGCAGGCAGCTATTGTGGATTGATGGTTGTTATTTAAAAATGCTAACCTGCTTGCTGGCACCATTTTATACAGAGAGCACAGAGCTGATCTCCTTTCATTTGAGAGTTTACACCCTCACCTCCCCTCTAACCAAGGTTGTGATATTGTTATTAACAAATGTAACAACGTTTTTGAGCTTGCTCTTTATTGGTCTTCTGCAGGTGGATTGTCCACGCAACTTGGCCAAGTCTGTAACTGTGGAATAACCAGCACGTGCACAAAGGATCACATGCCAATCTTCCACTCAGAACACCTTCCTGTTGCATAATTCTAATATATAAATAATTATAGATTATAACTGTCTAATGGATTCTAATGCCTAAGTAAATTGACTTAGAAGTAGTGTGATATTTAGAACAAAGTAAACAAGCCAACTTGATAACAAATCTTACGTTTTCCAGGCAGATAGCTATTTCAAGGAGGAATTTATCATAAATAGATTATTAATAGAACAATATTCATAACATTATTTGATCCATGCACATCCACATATAGAGAAAAACCAAGAGGATATGGTGATAGGGGGTAGAACAATTTTAAGAAAGAAATTCAGGCCTAAAACAATGCTGTTAGTGGTTAAATTGAGCAGGACCTTTTTAGTGACCTGATTATGGTGAGGAGGTGCACATTGGATTTGAAGGCTCCAGCTTTTTAGCCCTCTACACCATAACATCATAATGCATATTCTCCATAAAGGGTTCTCTATATGTTTCCTAAAGTGATGACAAGGAGAATGTGTGTCACAATCAAGAGAGTCTTTAGTTGGTGATCATTTTCTTTATTCGTGTGATCTTTATGTTTGATTCAGGGGTATTACTGTAAGGAGAAATTCAGTGTTAGTCACTCCAAGAGATCAAAGGGTTAGTTTTTTAATATCTTTGAATTATCACCCAACATACATTGTAGTCCTTGTCTGACGTGTAAGTGAATATATGAAAAAAAGTCTCACCATATATAATAAGAGAGGTCATGTGGCTGATTTTCACACTTTGAGTTTCTTGGCTCTCCATGTTAGGGTTTCCTTATGGTGACAATTGCTCAGCAAAAAGCTATCATGGTAAATTAAAAATTATCTACATAACTCATCAATTGTTTACTAAGCTTGAGGTAGCTTCAGGTGATTATCAGGGGCTTTATTTTGTTAGTACCAATTTATTTGCTATGCAAGAGACAACAAGAAATTGTACTGCCAGAAGTACTTTTGCAAGTTAGTGCCTTGAGATTGTGATCACTTTTAATAGGTTGACTGCAATAAGTTCTTATGTAAGCAGAGTATGCACAATTCTGACAATCATCTATGCGCATAAATACTTAGCAAACCTTATCGTGATATTTTATTGAAAAAAAATTTGGAGTAATCATCTCATTCTGAAATGCTTTAATTGATGACTTCTTAATTTTTTGGTGGATAATTAAATTTCATTTCTGGGGATACCTTTATGCAAGATGGCAACTCGTAAGAAAGTTCAGCTTGCAGCCCCAATAGTGGGTTGTGAAGCACTAGATGATGGATAGTTGAAATAAACGGTGAATGGTATATCGTGTATCAGAGGGCTTTGGATTCTAGGAGAAGTTGAACTTTCAGAGCAAGATTTGAATTCAAGTCTAAGTATTTGAGGAACTTTTTAGAGCAAAGTCTTTTGCATATCATTTTGTGGCAAATTAAAAATTCTAGGGTATGTTGTGGAATTAAACAAGATGTCAGTGAAACTAGAAATGACCACATGGCTCTTTGTTTAGTCAATAACTATGTCTTACAGCAGATAGCACTGCATGATTTCAGCTTACAGTCACAATTATTTTCCTTGTGATTTATGAGTGAGTAGGTGAAGCATAGCTACTTTATGAAGGAGGATATTAGCCCCTAACTTCGTCATACAAAGTTGTATGTAGAGCATCAACCAAATTCCTCCACTTCTTTCAGTCCCATGCAAGCAGTGATGCTGTCTCAGCTGAGGTTATGAGTCCTGAGTTCTGAATTTGGGACAGCCTCAATTCTTTAATAGATAATTACTGAGGTTCGCAGCATTATACCCAATAATGCTGTGAACCTCAGTAATTAACTATTATAATTATTGACCCTCATAAAATCCTATTGTTCTCTCTCTGCATTACATCGACGATTTCAGTCGCCCCTTCATATTGATGTTTTGGTACACCAACAATGCAACTGAAATCGCCGACATAATGCTGAGAGAGAACAATAGGATTTTATGAGGGTCAGTAATTATTTCCCCTTTACCCTTGAGAGCAAGTTTAGTGATAATGGTGGTTTCCCCTCCAAACACTTGATTTGACCACCGAGTTATGCAAACCTCACTAGTTAGCATCCAAAGATGGGTTTGTTGGTGCAAGTGCTCAGTTGGTGACTGAGCCCACTGAAAGAGACAATATGTTCACTTCTCTTGATCAAGGTTTGAAGATGGTGAAATTGTGTATTTCAGCAAATTCAGCAATGGGGCTGGTTATGGTTTTACATATCCCCTCCAAGCACAAAACAAATTCTAGGTCTTCGAAAAATTCTATTGGTGGTAAAAGTATGGATAAGCTACTATATGAGGTGTTTTCAATCAAACCATCATTAAAAATTTGAATCAGTTCAAATCAGTTTTGTTTTGAATCAATCAATCAGTTCTGTTAACACATTTGTGGTTGTGGTGTGTCATTTGCCGTGGAAAAAGTTTTGCATTAACAAATTTTCACCCAAAAATTGTTTTACATTAAGTACTACTTAAAAAACAGTGATTCAAATGCATGACTGTGTCAAGGCCTTACTGATCTTGGAGGTAAATAACAAAAGATGTTCTGAGTTTGAGTAGTCTGAATCAGAGCATGCCTTCAAAGTTATTTACTGTTTTATTAAACACTCTTACTAAATACAAATACATTTATTCAATGAATGCACACCTGAAACTAGCGTCCCTTTCTTCACTCCAATACGATTTTCAACCTTCTTGCAAGTACTTCACTCTTCTGACTCAGTCTCGGGATAAAGAAGACATTGTCAAACTTTGATAAGCTGAACATGGCTTCACACACAGGTCCAATAAACTAGTTAAGTGCACGGGCACTTGAAGAAGGAAGTGAGATCCGCGGGAAAAAAAAACTTCTACATTCGTAATAGATGTTGCCCCTGCGGTTTGTAACTCATAGAAATGCATTTAAACTAGTGTTTAAAGCAAATATTTCTTAACTCCAACAAGGAAGGTTAATATATAATTTAAATCGCCTACTTTTAATTGAAAGTTTTTTGTCTAAATATCGATATCTACAGTTGTTTGATGCAATCCCAAGCATGTGCAAATATAAGTTAAACACTACAACGAAAAAAATACTCTGAATTTTTTCTTGAACAAAGTTCAGTTCCTTCCCTGCATCGCCAGCACATCGTTAATGTCATTATTAAACCGCCGAGCCAAACAGAACCCAATGAGCTGTAACACGGGTAGACAAGCCGCTATAGACGCCATTAAGATGAGATTACTTCGAAACCAATCCTCCACACCTTTCAAGCATCCCTGAGTGTAAATAACTTCACTGGCTTTGTTCTCTGGAAGCGTCAAAACACCAAATCCACATTGTGAGTTGACTTCGTCGGTTTTGCAACAAGAATAGGGGACGCCACAACTCTCGATCGACGGAGAAGAACAATTGTAGTAAGCATTCCTTTCCCAGTCGGCGTATTTTTCAGAACCACAGCACTTCAGCTCTTTTTGTGTAGTATCTATGATGAGTTGTAGATCTGGGTCGTCCAAATAGTTATCGATCATCTTTGTGAACGCTTTATGCATCTCGGCTTTGACTTTTCCCGAATACACGTAGCCCAAGATTGCGGCTGTGATCTCCAACAACAACATGAAGCAAAGAGAGAAATAATAAAACTTCAGCAGACACGTATTCTCTCTCAGTGCACCCAAGCAACCAGTGAAGGAAATTAAAAACATTATGATACCGACGCCCAACAAAATCGCCGCAGGATCGGTGGTCATACGGCTTATTTTACCGTAAATTTCTTGTTTTTCCACCATAGCATAAGAAGCGATTGCCAAGATCAGACAACTAACGAGCCAAAAGATAACGTTCATGAAAAATATGAAGTATTTGACACAGTAAGTGGACTTTTCAGGGTAAGAGTCAAGTTGGCTGTCCGACGGTCGCAGAGGATGAACCTTCGTTGAGCGACGCATGTTTCCCTCGAACAGACAGAACAATAAAAAGAGCTCAAGGGTATAAATTCATCATACAGAATGTTAAGTATGCTCAGGGTAGCATAATCTGAGCTCTTTCGTTTACTGATCGGTGAGACAGTGATCCTTTACGTCACAATTATCTAACGGAAAGTTTGATTGGATATCGGCCTGAGTACCTCACGATGACGTACCCCGTCGATCCGCTTGTCACGCTAGAACGAAAACTGAGTCACGCGATCTAACCATCGTGTGTTTAGGGTAAAATGCTGGAAAAATTACTTACTGAAATTCAAAAAAGTTGCTAAAAATAACCAAAACTCCAAAAGGTTGCTATCTAAATTTCTTCATCAGCTTTATATCTCGATGTTTACACTAATTCATATTAAAGTTCACCTCGTCAGAAAAAATACCGCTAATTAGTGATCATATAAAAAGGACCTCTTGTTGCAGCGTTTAGATCACCCCTGATGAAGGCACCAGATAGGAGTGTCGAAACGTTGGGTCTATGAATTGTAACTTCTTCGGTTACATTCATTAAATCTGTAAACCAGAGTAGCATCAAACCATGTCTTTACACTAATTGTTAACATCGGTTAAGAAAAATAGCTTGGAACTGAGCTTTAAAGAGTTGCCGGCAAATATGGGCGAAAATTAAGTCTAACAGAACAAAACACGTGGTTCATTTGTCGAACGTCATTTTAGCTAATTATCCGTTATAACATTAGAAAAAAATCGTAACAGACCTGCGAGACATTGTCAAGTGACAGGTTATGCGTTAATTTTCAACGAAATCGTTGAATTTTTTCATGCTTGTTATGTGCTCTAAATCCATAAATTGTCAAAAAATTACTCAGAAAGGCAAAAATTGCCCGAAGTTTCCAGAAACCGCAAAACGTTGCTCAAAACGCCGAAAGTTGCCGAGCTCAATCGGGACAGGCTTAGTCCTAGATCTTGAGAAGATATGTGGTTTCAAATAGCCTGAACAAAAAGATAAAAGAACTGGATAATAATTCTGATTTAAAACAAACTTGTAAGAAATCTAACGAGCCAGACAAGTTTTTTAAGTTTTTCAGAAGACACATATGGGAATCAAAAGGAAAGAAAAGTGTGTTCGATTTTGCGTATATTTTAGATAGCTGTTAATGTTTAACATTGTTTCCTTACTCGGAACTGGTTAGATCAAATGACCACCACAAACCGCATAATATCAAGCCAAGCTTTAATAATTATTCGATCTAAAAGAAATACATTTATAATTCGCAATCAGAACAAACACAAATCAAGTCTTTATCTTGTAACTAAATTAAAAAACTTCAATGTAAACTTACTTCTGTGGCGGGTCGTTACAACAGTCTCACTTTACAAGTAAGCAGATTCTCCACCAGGTAAGCAGATTTAGAGACAGAATAATGACAACAAAATGACTTCTTTCTCACTTCGATTCCGCTAAAAAACTGATTTGAAACTTAATAATCTAACGCTTTTAAATCAATGTATTGAAATAATGTCACTCACGATTCTTGTTATTGAATAAATCTATCAACAAGAGGCAACGCCTATTTGATAAATGAAACAAACATATCTATCTCTCGTAAGTATTATCTTATGTTATCATGATTTATCTATTCTTCTTGAAAACCTCTGCGATGACCCTAACAATCGGTTACTTCTACGTGACCTTTTCCGTCAAGTTATGTCTGTCTTAGTCATGCATGGTTTTTTAAATTTTCCAATCCTTCTTCACAACATGATAAAATTTCTTTTACAGTTTAATATACTTTGAAACTTAAGATCGCCAAAGAAGAGGGGATGGACCAGAATTAAAGTTATTGGGAAAGGTAGGGGAGGCGGAGAGGCAAATTGCGAAACAAATCAAATATAATTACTCGGAAAATTTGAGCGATAAAACCTTATGCACAGTTAAAAAGCTTAATAAAATTTCTTTGCAACAGATTTCCCATGGGAGAAAGATTAGTATAGAAATGTGAAATTTGAACAATTTCTTGTTCCCCTTTAGTTATCCCCGCTCTCCCTGAAGTCTTTTAAGTAAAGCTGATGAGAAAAAACATGAATACTAAAGAGCAGACACAGCTTTTCTTTCGCAGTTTCAGTCTCATAAAGCTTTCATCAGAAGTTGACATTAAACAACAACATTTGTATTTTCAGTACTCTCCTTACGGTCACGCAACGCTCCCCTCTTTGGAGAGCTATACATGACATCAAATGAGACTAAATTTCCATATTTTCCCAAGAAAATTTAATGGTAAGCATCCACACGGTTTTAGAGGAACCAGTTATCAGAGAAATAATGCAAACTGACACGAGATTGGCCCGGAAGTATGAAAAAAGAAGAACAATTATTGCCTTCGCTGAAGTGACAGCCTAGTCTCGTACCCAGACCTTTCACAGCGGCGAAGTGTTGATCAGTGGCTAAAGCTCATTTTCGAAAGGACAAACTTTTAAACCTTTTCAATTTCCACTTATAATACAAATACATTTTCAAGGAAAAGTTATACGAGAAATTGAAAAATTGCAAACAATGGGTTGCTGTTTAATCTTACTTCAAGTTCTCAGATCTCCCGGTTCGCAGGAGAGGAGGAGCGCGAAAAAAAGCCATTTTCTCATCTTGCTCGTACTCCCGCGCATGAATATCTTTCCTCATGTTTGCCTCCGTTCTCTTAAAAAACAAAAAAAAAGTGTTTCATAAGTTGCAAGTTACTACAATTAGCAACTCATAAGATTCACTTGGAGTTTGCACCCTCCTAGCATCTAAACATCGATTCTCCCGTCGCTTGACATACATGTATTTTTTCAATTTTAGATCAGAGAACTTGGAGCCTTAGCCACTGATCAACACTACAAAAGATATAACTTTTCAAGAACTCTTCGTTATGAGCTAGATGAATTAAAATCAAACTGACAAAAATAGCTGCAACTATTAATAATACACGGCCAAGCTAAAATAATGGGACATCATTTTCTCTTGGCACAGCTGATTGCTTGGGAGTTTACAATAAAAAAAAAGTTAGAATAGTCGATAACTTTTGTGTAAAGGTAATAGAGGCTATTAATGTAACGAACTATCTACAATAAAAAGATAAATACCTCTGAAAATAACGTTGTCGGAACCCTCAGAATCAGCTAAGAGCTTTCGATTTTTACAAATTTTATACGTGATACGTAATTTGACAACTTATCTATTGTTTCAGTTGTAGGTCAAGATGTGATAGCTTATGAAATTGAAAACAAGTTTTTGTTTGCTTTGTGGGGAAATGAGAAGTTTTGAGATGAACACGATGCATTTTTCTAATTTTTCCCCCTCTAGTTTACTTTTTCTTTCTTTCCTGTCAATTCAAAAGTGTGATAACTTATGAAACTGAAAACATTGAAAAGCAACATGTTTTTGTTTTCGTTATGGGGAAATAAGACGTTTTGAGATAAACACGACCTGTTATTCTTCTTTTCTCTTTTTTCTTTTTAAGTCATCATTTTTCGTCGCATAAACCATAACAGCGTGACATTTTTTGGAAGCCTTTCGAAGAATTTTCAAGCAATTCATACTTGACGTGACAGAATGACATGTCACGTGAAACCGAAAGGTTTGTATGTCGTTCAGAAATTCGAGGGCACAATGGCGTCTCGTCTTTGACTAACCCGTATGTTGTTTTGAGTCAGGAAATGGCTATATTTTTCCACCAAGATGTTCGAGACCTTTTTCAAAACCGAAAAATTATTGTTATTGGTGATTCCATCCAGCGTTCTGTCTACAAAGACCTTGTTTGCTTGTGGACTCAAAAAGACAGTCGTTATCTGATGCAGAGAGAATTACGCGCAAAGGGTGAGCTTGCATTCCTCGGTGACAAACTTCTTAACGGTGGAAAGCTAGAAGGGAAAATGGTGAATGGCATCGAGTACAGAGAAGTGCGAGAATTCAAAGAAAGCGAGGTTTTTTTCAAGTACTACTTTGTAACTCGGGCTTACAGCGAGCACATGGCATCGATTCTGAATGAGTTGAAAACATGTGGGCCCGACATTATAATCATGAATTCAACCTTTTGGGATTTACACCATTATGGCGACGATGATTTGCAGCAGTATAAAGAGAACTTAGACAAGCTTTTAAAGGAAATAAATGAAATGTTTCCTCTTAGTGTACTGTTCATTTGGAATGCCGCCCTTCCTCTGGCTGAACGATGCAAGGGAGGATTCCTTCGCAAGGGATTTCTCACAATCCCAGTGGATAAGATCATGGCAGCGAATAATTTCGCACGGCTCGCTACCACAAAACAGAAGAAAATCTATTTGGACTTATTCAACGAGTTGAAAAACAAGGATAATTTCACGCAAGCCGAAGACGGGATTCATTGGGGAATGCGAGCACATCGCAAAATTTCAAATCTTATTTTGACCAATATCTGCACGTCGTGGAAAAAGAAGTTACCCGATCCTCCCCAGCTGCCAAACCGACCAAACAACAGGAAATCCTCTCCGATACCTTGGTCGAACTATTACCCAGTAAATAGCGACTCAAACGATTGGAATTCACCACCTCCATCTTCCTACAACGGTGTGTACGATGTGGACATTTTGCCATACTGGGATTCGCATTTCACATCCACGGTTTATGATAGATATCAAATCCCTTCACGGCTCCTCTCTGGTAGCTTGACCCCTTATGGCTACGGCCGTAATTTCAGCGTGGGTTACAATGTCCCCTATGTCTCGCAAAGAGTTCAGGAATATCAACCCGTTCAGACAGTCATTCCCTATGTTTTTCAAAGTCATTATCCACCAGTGCAACAGATGAATTTTGACTTTGGAACTCCAGGGGGTCCTTACCATACACCTAAGTATCTCTTTAAACCTGCTTATTCTGATCCCTTTCCAGTGAAGTCTTACAGTCCATTGACCAGTAACCGTTTCAGCTCTCTCCTAGGGAGGGGTCCTGCCTTGTTGCCTACCCCCCCTGGAACTCCATCTTTTGCTGTTTATAGAGATGGCAGCTCTAGTTATAGAGATCGCTTTAAGAAGTTAAGTAACCCAAGTGTGAGAGGGCATAGATTCAAGGCAAGCACCTCCACTACTTCAGCTGCTGCTTCTATCAACACTGCTCAAAATAGACACAGTCAAACACTGCAAAATTCAGTAAGTGATAAGAATTTAAGTTCTACTTCTGCTGATTCATCAGATCATAACAACAATAAGGAGGAAAGAAACTCCATTGATCAGTCTTTCTTAGAACCAAATGACAAAAATGTAGTTGTTGAGACAGGGGTACCCCCTACAGATGAACCAAAATCTCCCTTGAGTTCAGATCATCCAGGGGGGAGCAGTGATCCTGCATCAAATGTGAATGCAGAAGTCCCAGATGGCACAGATAGTGGTGAACAGAAAGTCCAATCTTTAAAAGGTAGCACAGAGATGTCTGGAACAAAGAGGGAGGTTGATGATGAGCTGAAGACTGCAGCTGTTATGGTCAATTCAGCAACGTGTGGAACAAAGAGGAAACTCGATGCTGACGAGCATGCTATGACAGAAGATATTAATACATCTGCAGCTAAGAGGAAGCATGAAGATGACAAGATGGCTTTGGCTGAGGAGTCAAAACCTTGTAAGATTGCTCGTAATGACAGTTTAATTGCTGATGTAGGCAGTTGTGGGATGAAGAGGAAGCTGAAAGATGTTGAAGAACCAACTGATTTAAAAGATGTCCTGGAAAACGGGTTCCCCCAAGATGATGTAGATTTTCATGATTCAAAGAGAAAACACATACTGCTGGAGGAAAATTTGTCTCAGAACAACAAGGTAGAGCATGAAGAAACACAGTTAGCTAAGAATCTTGCTGTCCATGATCATGTAAGATGTGCTTTGACATATGATAGCTTTATTTAGTACTTTCAGTGCAGCCTTTTTTGCATTTTTCTGAAAGTTTATATTTTTTTGATTTGAGAGATGTTAAGAAGGATTAAAAATTAAGTTTTTTCATCAATTTCCCTTTTGTATGGTAAGAAAGAAACTGTAGATTTCTCTTAAATACAGTTCAATTGCTTTCTAGAATTGACCTGCATGAAAAAGATGATGTGATACTTGAGGCAAGTTTGCATGCTCCTTCCTCAGTAAACTTAACTGATGCATCAAAGCTCTAACATCTATATCAGATATGAGTGCAAAAGATATTTGATCACATCCTTGTAAATATGGACACTATATTATTTTGTTACTTTTGTTAAGCCAGAGAAGTCTTTCATGGTTTTACAATTGACATTGAAAAATTAAATTTATGGATTTAAGTACAAAATTAATTCATATGTGCACTTTGTTTAGAGTAATGAAAAATATTGTATTTTTATTGATATTTCTAAGATTGTTTAAAACAAGATAATTTTCCTGTATTTGATTACATATTGATGATAGTGATATACACTATTCTGGCAAACATTTGGCTTTAACTGTTACTGGTTCCAACAGATAACAAAAACTGGATTGAGATAGCACAGCTTCAGAAACAAAACAGAACACTTTTTATGTTTGGTTTAATTTTTTTCTCAAACTTAGAAATGAAGGGTGTGAACAAAATGACCCAAAAAAAAAAGCAGAAATGGTAAATTTCCTTAAGATATCCAGGTTGATCAACTTTGGCACAGTGCATGAGGTCATTCATGTAATGCTACACTTCCTAACATCAGTGTACATGTATTTCCTTTGATACTGTTAAGGAGAATTTGGTTGAAAGACAAAGTTTCTTAGATTGGTAATTTCCTTTATTCTCATAATCTTTGTGAGTGATTCAGCAGTAAAACTGTAAGGAGAAATTACATGCTGGTCACTCTAAGCGATTAAAGGGTTTGGGCAGCTTATTTACATGAAGTTTAACCAAAATCACAGTTTAACACAATCAGTGGGCCTCAGGCTTTCTCTGTGAAAGGGTTGATTTATTTGAAGAAATGTCCTTACATCATTAGCCTTTACCCTCTTGACACTGATCATAAAAATAGGCTCAGATAAAAGGTCCAGCTAAATTGAGAATTGTTTAGGACACGGTTTTGCTAAACAGCAGATAAACTATGTTTAAATAACTGGCCCTTAATGTTTGTGAAATTGGTAGATCCCAAAGTGAGGGCTGCTTTTGTTGCAACTCAAAACTCCTCATTTTTTTGTTGTCATTGTTTTTGTTTCTTGAAAGGGTTACATTTGAGGCCCTTATTTGGGTACAGTTTCTTTTAAGTCTACAGTTCTACCTAACTTTGCATCAGACATGTTTAAAATCTAGATTGATATTGGAAACAAAGTGTAGAAAAATGTAGTCATTATATTGGCAGAAAAATTAATTTATTTAATCATGTGATAACTTATGGTGTGGTGTTATAGTTATAAAGACTGAATCAAAAAGGCTGGTATATTTGCTTGAAGTTAGTGTAAACCACATTTAAGTAAATATATTGAATGAAGTGAACTCATTTTTTGGTATCTGTGTGGGATATACAAAAACAATTATTCACCTTGGTTTCAGTGAAAGTGGTGGATATTTACTTCTCCACTTAAAGGCTCAGTAAATATCCACCTCCACTTTGGGGAAGAATTGTTGATTCTTCTTCTTCAAGTATTAAAAAAGTAAACAGAAAAGCCTCGTACTAAACATTTTGTTCTGGCCTTCTCCAAAGCTGAAAATGTTATTAGATATTTGATTAATCTGGAGATAATCAGCAGATGCAGCAACTGAATTATTGTATATCTCCTGGAAAACACTTTTCAAGAGCTACCTTGGCTTGTTCTTCAACAGTGATTTTTGTATTATTTTGAAATATTTAATTCATTTGGTCTTAAACATAAATATTTCTGAAACTCTCTGAGATTCCACTTTGCATTGCATTGAAGATTTCTGTGAAGAACTTTGAAGACTTGGATTTAAACAGATTTAGAGATTGGATTTTATTAATATTTCCACAACAGGGTTAATGTGTGCTCGATTTACTTTCGTTGAAATGAAATTTTTTGATAAGTAGACCGGTTACCAGGAAGTTTGATGTAACACAGTGTTTGAGTGTGGTTTTTTGTTTGTTCCTTTTGTTGTCCCATGAAAGTGGATGACCATTTGTGAAGTATTTACCCAGCCAAATACTTACACAACAAACCTTTTTTTTTTCCAAGCACACCTTAAAAAAAAAAATTTTTTCTGCTTTTGTATTTATTTCCTTTTTTGAACTTTTCTGCTTTGTTTTCAATTTTCCTAAGTTTCTCTCTTACATTCAATTTCTGTTGGAACTGCTGGCTTAATTGTGGTTAAATTTGATTTGTGTTCATGGTGTTATGGAAAGAAAGGCAACTACTTTTGCAGGAAGTTGAAATAAGTTATTTTGTGAAGTTATAAATGCTTGCCTTTAAAATATTCATTTTTGCCTTGAGAGGTTGAACAATCTTGTTGATGTTGGCATTTTTTTATACATCTGGTATTTCCCAGCTCTAAAGTTTACACTTAGAGTAGAGACTTAAAACTTGTTACTACATGTTCCTTACTTGAATAAATTAATTTGGATGGCAATAATAGTTATAGAAAGAACATTAACAATTCTAAATTTATTTACAAACCTATTTGTAATAAAATATTTGTCTTTTTGAGCTTTTGTTGTATACCTCTGGGAATTGTGTCATTTAATAGTGAGAAATTCTAGTAGTAATGTTGTTTTGTCTTGGAAAGGCAGTTAAATTCAAGTCAACTGACAAATCATTCGGTTGGGTAGAGCTCTCTGGAGAGAGATTTTTTTGCAAATTTTCCTTTAGAGAAACTTGGTGGGGGTTGAAGGTGATTGTCAGGGATTATTCAGCGTTAATTGATTTCCGGTTGATAATGCGCGATAAGTGACAAATGATTTAACAATAGGATCATATTATGTATTTAAAATGAGGGGGAGATGAAGTTGATTTTCTAAAATAAAACGTGAAGTTTCGGAACATAGCAGACTCTCTAGTCTCATTTCTGACATGATGAAGAAACAAGGATAGGCCAGCGGCAGGTAACTGAACAGGGTGTAGTGGGTGGCCTTTGTGAATCATTAGTCTGTGGTTTACCTGGAGCCAAAGGTACGGAGGAACAGAGTAGGATAGGACAATCTTTTTCCTTTCCCTTTTCCTTTAACTACTTTCTTGGGTTTGGCATGATTACAGAAGCAGGATTTCTGACGCAGAGACCAGATACCCGAGCAGGTATTACAACAGTCCTTGCGCGTACACATATTTGTGTGTCTCAACCGTTTGCGTAATCTCATATCTTGTATATAACGACAGGGACCTCGGAGGAAAAAGTTGCAGCTTGTTCACAATCTGATACTGCAGTTTTGAGGCTGTAAGGTGACAATGCCTCTGAAATACGGCTCTTCAGTGGGAAACACTTTCTCTAATCCTTCATGGATCCCTAAGAGTGACTAGCATCTAATTTCTCCGTACAATATCACCCCCTGAATCCCACATCGAGGTCAGGAGAATAAAAAAAAATTATCACCAATTAAAGAAACTCTTAATCGTTAAACAAATTCTCCTTGTCGGCACCTTAGGATATGCATAGAGAACAGTATGGAGAATATGCTTACTCATAATGGGTGTAGATAATTACCGGAAAGAAAAACAAGAAAACCAATGCAACAGCCGTTACGAATTACCACCTGTTAGTGGTGGCTGCGTTAAAAGAAATATTAAGATGGGTAGTATTTCCATCTCGTGTCTCTTCACTGAATGAAAATACTTTGTATTATTTTAGTAATACCTGATCAAAAGCCTTGACTAAGTATTGTTGATGCAAATTTTCTGAAAATGATCACGATAGCTTTAAACGTTTGATGGTTTGTTCGACCTCCGAAGCTAGGCAGCAACTTCGTGTATGAAAGCTCTTCTCACGGCGTTGCACAGTTTTTCTTTTTTCGAAAAACATTTCATCATAACAAAATTTCCTTCATACACGCGAGAGATATTTCTGTAATCAAACATTTATTTCTTCAAATCAGGTACAGATGTAGTGAGACTGCACAGATTACGAGAGCGACGTCAAGGAGACCTTGCACGCGCGTTTTCCCGGTTTCCTGCACAGAAAAGCGCGCTTTTTATTTGCGTATCGGACAGTCAAGTTCAATTTGTGATGGACGATCTTCTTCGAAGTCACTGTGTTGATTGCATCAGGCCCAAACCACGCTAATGAAATTTTAAAAATGCATGCCGTTTTCATTTCAAAAGCAAAGCGAATCAAAGTAATCTAACCCAAAACAGCGTTACTGTCCAAACTGCTTAGAATTGATTTTAGAACGCACACGTTTGGATGTGCAGTCGACTATTTTCCACCGTCAAACACGCGAAATGAGAGCAGATGAGGGCCAGCAATTATGCAAGTGAATCATTCTGCTGGAATTAGTGCGGTTTATCTACTCTCATTGTTCATGTTTTTTTCTTTATTATTTAATTTTAATCGCCGTCTGCAGGATTTAACATCAATCGCTTAGCGCAAGGTGACAGGGATCGGAAATGGAATATTACGTTCATCCAATAGAATTATAGGTTTTTTTTCGATTCGTGAACGTCTCAATGTAATCTTGTAATGCACGCGTGTTTGTGAAATCCAGAGAAGGGAGTGCAAAAAAGAAGAGTGCTTTATACGACTAGCGACCGCGAATATATCATGATCTCGAGACTTATTAGATTGTGTTGGCAGCAATCGAGTAATTCCCGACAATTCTTCACCTTTGTTTCTCTTATCTACACGTGAAACGGAGCGGTTTTTTTTTTTTTTTTAATAAAAACGTTTTCAAAACTCTCCATTTTTTAATTTTTTATGGTTGATCGCAATTATGCGAATAGGGTATCCGCTCTTTCGTTTTTCAGTGATTACCTATTGAACACCAAAGCGAGACAGTTTGCATTACTAATGCCGACGATAATTATATTCATGCAAGAAATTTTACCATGCACGTTGAACGGGTCAGTTTAGAACAAAATAAGCAGAAACATGAAATAAATTTCAAAAGTTGAGCGCATAAAATTGTATAGTACAGTCTTACAGCCAATGACATCACCGACGGCTAAACCGAACAATCAGTTTTCACAAACCAGACATGGTACTTTCGGCTGGCAAAAACCATCCACTAAACACTGATGATGACTTACGCTTAGGTAGTCGAAACTCTGACAACAGTCCTTCTTAGGAGTACACTCGCCCGGGCGATCAGAATACACTTTCGCATATTACCCCCAGGGCTGAGACCATTTACTGTAGTATGGACAAGAAATCAAATCACGCAATTTGGAATGAATATAACACTTTTTTTTTTCCGGCGAAATTTACATGCGCTTAAATTCATTCCACATTGCACATGAAATCGTGTGATCGTCTAGACAATCTGTACACTGAGAGATTTAACCCCTCTGGATTTATCATGCCGAAGATTATTTCATTGTTGTCGGTTTTTGTAAAAGAAACGTTTAAAATTCTTAATCCTCGAGGTTTATTAACTTTAGTACAGTCTTGCACGATCAGTTTTAGTATTTAAACAAGCCCATTAGAAGGTTCAATTCTCATGAGTGCGTAAGTTGTGGTGATAGAGCAATCTTAATGTACTTAGGAATTTACGGCAAACAACTTGAAAGAATAGTAAAGAGAACCACGCGAGATAATGTGAAAAGGTACAAAATTTAATGACGCTTTGAGACTCTTTGTCCTGAAGACAAAGGAACAATGCGAGATCGTTTGAGCGATATTTACAGATTATTAGCTGTCTTTTCAAGCAAAGCAATGAGCTTCGGTATTATTTTAAAAGTTTGAAAAGAAGTTTTGTCTCAGACATGAGAGTCAAGCCCTTCCATCTTTCTTTCCTGTTAATTACCAAGGTCTCCAAAGAGGGTCGTTCTCCGGTCTCAAAGCCTGAGCATCTGGAACTTTTAGTCCTTGAAGCGCTTGGAAATCCACCGTCGGTTTATTAAACACGGGGATTAGATGAGGAGTAGAAACCATCGCCAAGGGAGTGTTTTGGCTCGGTACTAGTACCGCGGCGATTTTTCCGTTAGCCAGCTGCCCTGGAACGATTTGAAATTGAGTCGTGTTTAGAAAACTTGGGCTTGTCTCTAGACTTTTTGATTGATTTGAAGTAAAACGTGATAGCTCTAAAGGCGAGGTCACTGGCAACGTTATGGTTTGTGATTGCGGCAATGGGAGTTTTTCTGATGTCGTTGTTGTTGGTTTCATGATCGGAGGACAAGGTGTACAATAGGAAGCGAGATGTGAGAGCAAACGCGCGCGGACCTGAACATCCAACCCTTCCAGTGACATAAGATATCGGCTCACTTCATTCGCGCACTCGTTGTATCCCGCGCGGTAACGCGCCATTGTATTTGGATCGCTTGTGTTACTCGCACGAGCTGCGGAAATGAAAACAAAGTGCATTAGTAAGCATTGATGAACATCCCGGTGAGTCTACTGTACATAAATGCTAATAAAAGACAAGGTGCGTCAAGATTCATACAGTTGAAAATGTACAAGCGTTTAAATCTGTAAATAATTTTCTGATTTTTATTATACAAACAGTACCTATCACGCTGAGTTTCACTTCAGATATTCACCAATTAAAAAAAAATTATCTTGTGTCGGACTTACTTGCCGCACTTTGAGTCCTCATTGATCGCAAATAACGCACGGTCATCTCTAAAATGTCAGCTTTTTCCAATTTGGAATAGCAAGAGGTCTGAAATAAAGAAAATCCTGTAAAATTTTGATGCAATGTCTTGTCTCGAAAAAGATAAACGCGTCAGGCATTAAACACATGTAATAAACGATTCAACAGCTAAGGCCGTTCGCATTACACATAAACAAAATTTAGCAACAAATTTACACCCTGGAAACATATACACGCTTTTGTTTTACTGTTAATCAAAGATCTCTAATAATTGAACAAAACCCGGCGATTCTTGTCAAAAGATTTTGTGGGAAAAGAAAAAAATTGTTAACCGTTTTTATAATAATAGTTTGGCTTACATCTTTTTTCATAGCTTCCAGAATGAGGTTTTTTAATTCATTGAGGCTTTGATTTATCCTTGCCCTTCTCCTTTTTTCCATTAAAGGCTTGGAAGACTGAAATAAAATTTTGAAATTAATCTTTGGTTAGTCTATTATGGCTTTCACTGAGCACTAATACAGCATATTATATATTTCAAAACATTCAATTTTTTTTTAAAGTTTGAAACTTTTCAAACCCTTAGTACCTTCCGTCTGTCCTCGGTCGATGGGTTCCTTGTTGGACTTTCAAGACCCATTTTTCCACAACATAAACCTTTCCCTCGCACAATTCCACGCTCAATCTTTTTCGCGCCGTAAACGTAAAATCAGCCACACTTCGTTCTAAATCCTTTTTATGCCAGCAATTTCTCCGAGCGTGGGAAAATTTTCGGGGACATTTTGCCAATTGAAAAGTGTTACCTACGAGCCAATGAGATCACTTGTACCATTCGCTGTCAATAAACCTTTGCTAACAGAGCGTGAGAACGTTTGGCTGCGATTGGTCGGGCGATTCTCAGCGCGTAAGGCAAGTATGTCTGTGCTGTTGTTTAAAAGCAAATTACATTATGGCTTTGCGGTGATCCTTGCGCAAACAATGATTCTTATTAAAACTTCATTAAGCAAAAACAGACAAACCATTGTAATTTCTAAACCGTGTCCGTGGGAACAGTCGAAGCTCATTGGCTGACCCGCCGAAAAGAGCTCGCGCATGACAATGCTAATAAATATGTTTAAATAAAACGTTCCACTGCCACAATGAGTGTTTATTTCCGCACGTGCCCATGCATTGTCATGGCATGATTCGAACTCGATGGGGTTCACTTATAAGGTGACCCGACCGTGAGCAAAACAAAAGGCGCTGAAATTTTCCCACGATCAGTCCTGGTGCGAATGTTTATTCATGAATATCCGGAACAATTGTTGCTTAAAAACAAGTCTAAACACAAACGCGAAGAATTTAAACAACGCTCTGTAAAGTGTACAGTACAATCTCTGTTTAGAAGGCGAGATTGTTGAAAACTCACGCTGATCAGAAAGGGTAACTTAAGAGAGACAAATTCAAGGCATCTACAGTGCACGAAGCTATTAAAATGCCCGACTTGAGTTAATGAGAGAATGGCAACCGTCAAAGAGGATTTGAATAGATCAGTCAACCTCTGGAATATTTCTATGACGAACGAACAATGAATGACAATGTTATGGTTGCTCCAAAAGGTGGAAACCCCTCAATTAGATTTAAACTTTCTATAAATTGAATTAAATCTACGAGGACTTTTCACGATGGAATAAAGTTCGTCTCTGAAAGTCTTCTTTTTTTCTCTTTTTTTTTTCCTTTTTTAACTGAATAAACCCCTGCCATTTTACTTGCAAGAATCACCTTAAAGAGGTGCATTAAGAATTAATAACATGTGTTAATTGACAGTTTTCTGTTTTGAGAGCTTCTGTGAGCACTAAAAACCCGCCAAATGGTTCATTTGCCATATAACTGTCGAAACCTGTTTTGTTTATATTTAGACAATTGCACATTCTCTACATTCTACATCACTGAGTCATTGCATAGAATTAAATATAAAGCCTTGGTTGTTTTAAGGTGGGATAACGCTATCCATTGAATAAATCTCTTTCTGGTAGATATCCAGTGGATAGCGCAGTACGTTTTACAATCACTTATCCGCTGGATAGCAATTTATCCGTTGGATAACATTGTCTGCCCTTTATACAACTGCGCCCAGAACCGCATACAGGTGAAGTTTATAAAACAAAAGCAAAGACTGCAAACGAAAAGTGCCATTAGACAGACTTTCGGGAAAGTCAAAAAAGCAATTGTAAAGTTACCTTTGGGTCCATTTTTAGCTTCTTTTAATCCAAATTAATAAGATTATTCACTTTGTCAAAGCTTGCACACACGCAAAGCCAATTTATACTTATATTACGCTGGAAAATTGGTGTGACCTGAAGTGAATCTTTCAAGTAGTGGAATCTTTAAAATTGATATTTTGCTAAAAATACGACCACTCTAAAGAACTCTCGATAATTGACGAATACCATAAATTCAGGGTTGGAGTTTCTATGCGCGCTCTTAAATAAAGGCTATTTGAAAGGAAAAAACCCGTGGCATTTCTGATTCATCGGGTTACAGAAGGCTGAGGTAATAGGCACTGGCATGTAAGATCCACCTGTATCATAAATGTTGTTTCTAAAGCACTTCTGTTGCTGTTTTAAAAAATAATCAACTTCTGTCAATTAATGCGACCTGTCAGGACATGAATTTCAACAGCATTAACGCTTGTTTAAGTTACCCTGGAAAAACAGACCCTTGAGTCATGTTTCCATCTTTGGCTTTCTTTTTTCATTTGTTTATTTATTTCCAAGGCAATACCTTCCCAGTTTTACTACATACATGGGCTCCAGTGAAACAAAAGCAACTACAAAGAGTACGCAAACACCAGCTGATCTGCTGAATTTATTCATCTTAATATAAGTTGTCATTTAATCAGTAATTCATTCTTTATAAAGAGTTAAGTTATTCTTTCCATTAAAGGGAAATTTTCCTCTTCGATCGACCAATTGATCTGTTGATACCTTACATAGTAAGGAATATTAAGAAGGAAAATCACACTGTAATTGATATCTAAAACAATACTCTCAGAAAACGATAACTCAGCAAAAATACGTGTAAATAAACCATCAAATGGTTTGTTAAATAGAATTTAAATATATTTTTTTTCTTAAGTGTCACTTGGAATATTAAATAATCTCGTAAGCCATGCACTCGGTGTTTTAAAAAGGCTCATTGTTAAGAGACATTCTGTCAGGTTTGAAAATCGACTCTTTAAAATCATTTGTAAGAATTTGACTTGATTATCATAACAGATCGACTTGTTTTGTGACAAAATCTCTGAAATATGTCTTCACACTCTACACTACAGCATCTCTCATTTCTTTCGCATGTGAAAAAAAGCGAATTTGCTACCTAATAGCTGAATTACATATGTCGCTAGCATGTACTCAACATTAATTTTAAAAAAAATTACGTTAAGTTAAACCTTAATCAAACCATTGAAATTAATCCTTTAAGAATCACAATGTAATTAAAATAAAAGAACTAAACACACTTCTCGTATAAAAGGAAGACCAGCTTGGCGAGTTTTCTTAGTCAAGGAATCGATTTCCAAAAAACCGGCCTGGTGTCTAAGCCTAAAGGCATCATTTCCGGTGGAGACATACCGTGCTTTGGTTCTTTACTAAATACGGGAATAAGGCTAGGTTGCGAAGCAGCGGCTGCGGTGCTTGAGTCTACCAAAAAGGGATTGACTGTTGGTAACAGAACCGCCACTTTGCCATTTGTTAATGGGTAGGAAGCTAAGTGATACTGAGCTGAGGGAAGAAAACTAGGACTGCTTTGAGGCAGGAATGAGAAATTTGCCGGAGAAGCCATTGTGGAAAGCGGCGGCTTAGGTAGAATTGGTTGGTTTGGAAAGGAAATTTGAGGTGACTGTGGTTCCCTTAAGTCAGCAGCTTCTGCAGGTTTGGTAATAAGACAGCGGGACGCAAGATGTTCTAACAGCCTACTCCTAAGTGCAGAGTCGGTGTTACCCAGGCCTGTCAGTACACGGGTGATTTCGGATGCGCATTGATTAAATCCTGCGCGATAATTGGCGAGGGAGACTGGATTTGAAGATGGATTACCTGTTGAGAGAGTTTTAAGAATTACATAAGAACCCTTGATTTAATCGTCACGCGGACGGCTCGGAATACTGAGACTTCCCATGGGGAGTCTATCTATGAATAGTTGTAGTGGAATTCACGAATTCCAGGGCCTAGACCTGAATCTTCCATCTTATTTCCTGACTTTTTCTCGCTGCAATCATCACAATTATCAAGAACCATCACGCTCCATTTCAGAATTTTCGTTTTTTTTTTTTTTTAAGTAAGCCATTAGTCTGTTTGAAGGAATTCATGAAGAGTGAGACTACCCCTTAGGGATAACATTCAACCTTTGAACAAAAAAGTGTCTTCAGGAGCCTCCAAAATATTGATTTGAAGGAAAATTTCATGCTAATAACTTTATAAAAGGGTTTTACTTCCTCATAAGGTCCATAGCCTGCTTTAAATTCTCACATTTTGGCCCCTAAAACTCAGGCATAACTTTCTTATTGATCTGTGACATCACAACAGCAAAGTGACTCGAAACCCCTCATCATGATTATAAAGTTTGAGTCAGATGCAAATAATTCAGGGAATGAGGAATTTGATTTACCTGTGTTTTGTTGATTTTTTAGATTTTTCAAATGTTGAACCGTCATTTCCAGGATATCAGCTTTTTCTAACTTGGAGTAACAGGAATTCTAAAAAAAAAACAATCCAAAGAAAATGTAGATTCGTTGCGATAATAGTTAATTTTGATCATCAAATGTATTGAAATTAGATTTAATATCCCAACAACTACAGCCGAACGGGTTAAGTCTCTCAGCTCTCCCTTAAGATAGTTATGGTGTAAGTATTCTAGTTTTTGAAAGAATTTAAGCGTTTTGAATCGTTTTGAAAATTATCTTTACTGGTTTATAATGGTTTCCTTTAAGAGAGATTTGCCTAGACTTGAAATTGACTCCGTTCTCCATCACTTCTTGCATAATACCCTTGAAACTTTGAGCATAACATGACTCTCAAGCATCTGCTAAGATATGACTATTCTCTATGACAAAAAAACCAGATAAGGAAATCTAAGTATTTCTAATTCCATTAAAAGCGATTTGATTGCTAAGGAATGTGCCTGTGAGAATGCAAGCGTCAGTTATTTCTAGATTTTTTCCTCTTGTGGAATAAAGAACATTGTTCTTGGGTTTATGTCTTCAACAAAAGCGAGTTTAACTGAGAAAAACATAAAAAAAAGGAGTCGTGTGTAGAAGATGTCAACTCCGGTCAACAACGCGAAAGTGCTGGGAACTTTGCGAAAAGTTGTAACGTTTAAACTTTTTATAGTTCTTGCTGACAAAACAGTTATTAATGAAACGTCGAATTAATTTTATCTAGTTTGCTGAACAATAAAGAAATGTACAATTGGGATTTAAGCCTAGAAGAGGTGAATACTTACATCTTTTTTCATGGCCTCTAGGATTAAACTTTTCAGTTCGTTTAAACTTTCATTTATCCTGGCTCGTCTTCTTTTCTCCATGATGGGTTTCGACGCCTGAACACGGAATTATAGAGATCGTATTGCATTTGCTATCGTGCTCTAAATAAAAACAAAAATTCAAGCAAAAATTTTTTGCTAGAAAAAAGATAACTCAAACTTACCTTTCTGCGGTCTCTGGAGTTGGTTTCTTCGCTCATTTTTGCTTTGGAATTGAATGCCCTTGATGATGTATGTGGAGTGATGACAGCTAGGTATCGACTGTTAGGTGCGGAAATATTTTCAACAGGTCAATCACGGGATTCACAAGTATGCGAGTCTTTGTCTCAACCTTTGTTTATGATAACTGATCCATTGTAATGAGCGTGGGAAAAATATCCACAATCCTTAACAATGCTGAGCAGCGCGCTGAATCGTCCAATTAAATCCCGCTATCTTGTTTAAAAACAAGCACTGTCCACAATTGAATCCGCATTTGAAAAATGTCGGGGCGAGTGAAGGTCGTGAGAGCGCTGCGCGCTGATTGGCTAATCTTAAGATGAGCACGCTTGAGTGGTGGAAGTCGCGTGCGTGTAATAACTCAGCAACAATATTGTGTATAGAGAATCCAGTGTTGTGTCAAGTCTCTCTTTAGTGTCTGCTCAACAGGGTCGTGGGAACAGAACATGCTCATTGGTCAGGCGGTCCACTCTGTCTATGCCACAGGATTTTAATGGTTTCATGGGTCACGTCTCACGAAAAGGATTTTAGTTTTTATGTTGTCAGGCACACTCCTTGTATTGAACTGTGTGTAATACTGCCATAAATAATACGGCAAACAACGTCAAACAGTTGATTCAGCCACACGAAACCTCATTCTCTTGAAATTCCCTCACTAAGTTAGTATTGTTTCATCGCAGCGCGCTTGCCACATGAAATCTTACTTTTGACGCTAATTAAAATAAGAGAAACTTCTGAAAGAGGCCGTCTTCTGCTGTGGTGTAAGGAAGGAAATAATCCTCGTTATTAGAAAAAGATTACCATTTTTGCTGTGGTAACCGAATGAAATAGACTGGAAATGCCGCCATTCAACCCAAATAAAATTCTAATTGGATAACTTCAATTAACCTGCACTTAAGATTGCATTAATTCAGAGTTTGAAAAAAATTTATAAGCCGTTCACGAGTGTCAACATTCATCCGACATCGTTAATTATTTTTTATAATGGCGCGACGTCAGTAACAAAGAAAAAATTCTTTTACAACTAAATCAAAGGCCCTGAAAATCTGTGTTAGAATTTGTATTTAATAAAGCTACTTTCCCGAGTTCTTCACCCTAAACTTTTCGATCTGTCTAATATGTTATATGTGCTTCATGATTTCTTTACTTCTCGGCCCCCGTTTCGTGAAGAGGCTTTCTATGAATGACCATGTATGCTTGTAAAGAGAGACTATTCTTCTCTCAGCGGGAGCAGTATAGCGTTGGTTCCGCTAGGATAAGTTAGATGTCTTTATTTCACTTAATCACAATTTGTCTTCGATTTCTTGTAATCTAAATTAGAGATAGAGTATTTTACAGGTCGTGAAGTGTTTTTTACCTAGAGTACCTACTCTTCTGTGACGATGGAAAGTGTGTCACTCCTCAGTCGTCGAGAAATTACTTTTTCAAATGGACATAAAAAACGTCATCTTTGATATAAAAAGAGACTAAACAATTTCTAACGCAAAGTTTTGGCTGGCTTAATGAAACAAAAGAAAGAAAAAAATAATAATATTGTGTGTAATTTGATGAAGTATGCAGCTTCTGTTGACTACAAAAAAGGTTAAGTTTAGTCAAATCATAGCTTTATTTGTTCAAGTGACGCCACTTGCCTTGGGCTACGATCAATTATGCATAAGTTGCGCAATTTGTGCCTTAGAAAGACTCTCAGATCCAGAGATTTCTAATTCAAGCCGATTGTCAACTGTAGAAGGTTCTATTTGTGCTTCTGAAGTGTTTACACACTTAGCCTTTTCAATTTTTAGAAACAAATGATCCCCTAGTCAGCGAGGAGGCAAAGCAATTGAATTAGAGGACAAAATCACCAATACTGCAACCTCCAACAAGAGATAAGGAATCAAAAAGTGGCTCTTTACTGAACTTTTAAGCAAGTTTCTAAATATTTCGAAGGCGAACCAAATGAATCGATTCCGTGCAATTCGTTCATTTTTCCGCTCTCCGTGAAAGCCCGACATGCTAAATTAAACAAGAATTTTGCCATGAGAATCAAACAAAACAGTTTAATTATAACACGTAGACGTTAAATTCCTGTGTATTTGCCAGCTTGAATCAAACATTGGAGCTTATAGACATAAAAATTAGGATTAATACTTTGCTCAAGACTTTTGTCTGCTCATCAAGATTTCATAGTTTGGCAAATATGACGCTATTTTAAATCATGGTAGGGTATTATTTGCTTGCGTCAAATTTTGCACTTATATAAGATTTGACTCAAAGAGATGCTTGTTTTAAGAGCCGACGGTTCTAGCGTTATTATGCATCACTCAGTACTTTACTATTGTTAAAATCTAATAGCAACCTAACTTAATGATTGTCTTGACAGCAGTCAAATTAAAATTGGGAAATCAAAAGTTAACGAACATTCTGTCAAACTAGGTTTTCCTGGTGATCTGAGTAATCATCGGAATTTTTCAATAATGATCCATTTGAAAATTCTCCGTGCAGGACTTGGCTTTGTGAGCCTGTGAGATGAATGAAAACTGAAACATTCAAAGAAACCTAAACATAACTTAAAGCAAGCTGAAAATTCATGAGAATTTAAAAAATTTCATCGATGGGTCATGAAAACTTTCACATTTTCTAGAAATCAATTTGCGGATCAATGGCGCTTTCACGGGAAATCCAGTGAATACTGTCCGTACTTCTATAATTTAATTTCAGTCGCCTTCAATGAAAACTGAAAAGTTCCGAGTTCTTATTGTGAAAAGTTTTCCTGACCCACCGATGGAATATTTTTAAGTCTTATCGAAAATATATTCATGAGAAACAACCACTCAATTCCATGGCTACTACAAAAGGCACGCAAACTCTACCACTATGTATGTAGGACCTAAAAATATCCGGCAGTTTTCCGTTTTCTAGCGAGGTCCAGAGGTTTTAAACTCTCTTACTCCTGAGATCACTGGCTCAACATCTCTTGCATCTATAAGAAAAAAAACTCCTAATGTCTATTCTAAACAGCCACTGATTCTGCTATGGACTATTACATGCCTTTTCAACACGTTATTTACTATGTCTGTTGTCTAGATTTAATGGTATCGTACTAATTGTGGGGGAACCTAAGATTGCAACCTCGAACGGCCTTTATTAGGCTTCCCCGCCATGAACACGTTTTTTTTCCCTACCAGTTGCTGTAAACTTTTATAATTCTACATGTGATAAATGGTAATCGAAATAACATATTAAAAAAAAAAACAAAATAAACAGGGCCTTGAGAATATCCAATATTTTGTTTTACCAATTGCAGATGTTTAAAATTTAGAACATAATGAAAAATAGATCGAAGAGAAGACGATAGGAAAGTTATTCCCGAGTTGCAAAAATTATTTATAAGGACAGGAGCCAAAATTTCTCTTTTAAAATGAATTAAATTCATTTGTGAATGAGAATACAATGAATCACTGATTATCATTTGCATTTGACCTCGTTTTTCGATGAACATTTAACCTCGTAGAGTTTCGAACTCCTTGGAAGGCTCAATTGACCAACCATGAAACGAAGAAATCACGTGAAATCACGAAGCATTTTGCGACACAAGAAGAGGGGGGGGGGGTGGGGGTGGAGAAGGTTGATGTGTATGGAAAGTAGCGCAGTTCCAATGAATGAGTTGCCAGTAATCGGATCTTTGCGTTTGCGCACAGATTTTTGAGATCGCCACGGGGCAAAAAAATTGCAACTCGCTAGAAAGGAATGTATGGCGAAAGTTTGCTTGGACGTCCTAAAAAGCGATTTTGGCGAGAGATTACGGCTTTTTCGCCACAATTTTATAATAAATAGATTAAGATTATGTATATACGAGGGAATTGCAAATTTTTGTTAGAATTACCATGAAATATGCTATAAAAATATGAAAAACTCCTCTCCTTGCGTAAGGTCTATCGTGAAATCGTCATCGCGCGTAATGGTCTCGAAATATTACCAAATAAGCCATAACTCGCTCAGAAATAACTCATTAAAGTCTTTTCAGTTGTATTTATATGTGTATATAGCCTGTTTTCATTCTTTTTAACGTTTTTCATGAACAAATTAAGACGTTTGAAATTTTACCTCCTAAAATAAGAGATGTCGTTGTCAGCGGAGATGGATATTATTTTTACCGAGATGTTGCTCACTGAAAGGATAAAATAAGCGATGAAAAACGCGAGAAAATCCCAAGGTCAAGAGATAGTTTGTTTGAGAAAATCCAGAGGTCTTTGAGCTGCAACTTTTCTTCTAGAACGCCGTAGAGGATCTTGTCAGGAAAAGCAAGATCACGGAAACTACGGCAGAAACTGTGGACATATCATCAGTTGTGCATTGCTTCTTTCGAGACCAATTTGCATTACTCATCGTCGCAGAAGATAGGGTTCAGTTTTGAGCCGATTACCAAAGCTGAATCGTTCTCATTGATCACAAAAAAGAAGCAGTGTAGGTGTTTATCAGTTTAATGTACCACAATAATAATATTTAATGCTCAATTAAGCCATTTCAATCTCATGTTGCCTCGATTTAGCCTTTGTCCCAACATTACCAAGCCACGAAAAAAGCTAGAAGTAGACTTAACACGTCCAAAAACTGAAAAGGCTTTGTTGAGTTTTTTTCGGCGATATACTACTAGTTTTTCTAAATTTCAAGGCCATTACACGATGTCAAATTCATAATAAACCTTGCGCATGGAGACAAGTTAATCGGTAGATTTTACAACATATTTCATGGTATTTCAAACAAAAACTTATGCTTCCTTTGTCATCAGCACCACCCAAATTCATTTCTGATCAAAGAGCAGCGGAAAAGCGATAATCTCTCACTAAGATAATTTTTTTGGACGTTGGAACAACCTTTTGCCATACGTTTTCCTTGCAGTGAGTTGCAATGTTTGCCCCGCGCGCAAACGCAAGAATCCGATTACTGGCAACTCATTCATTTCCGAGTGATGACCGAGAGAGATGTATGTTTGTCAAAAACATTATATTTATCTCGTTAGTTTTTAGTCATTCATTTGTTCTTTTCTAGCATACGAGAAGAAGCGGGTTTCTTAGTATAGACTCACTCACCCTAAAAACTAGGTTCGATTTCCGCCGCTCTCTCGTGTCCGGTCTTCGCTCCTCCCCGAGAAGGGTGTAATGATTTCAAAAATGTTTCTGGCAGTGTCGTGAAAACATGATTGATAATAGGAAATGTCCTTACAATAGTGGCGCCATTACACAACACACACATCTCACTCAACAACAGGACTTCCAGCGGACTTAACCGAACTCAAACACTAGCATTCATCAAAGGGCTCTTGGAGCCAGCCAATTCATGTTATGGCTAAAGTTTGTATTGATATCTTGGACTTGTTGAATATAAATACAGTTGAATTCGGTTTATGTGAAATTTCAAGACTTATGGAATAAATTTCCTTTTCTTTTTGGGTAGTTGTGTGATGAGAAAACTTGTGCATTTGTCGTGATGGGAATTGGATATAAGGTTGTGTAGGTTCGAGGTGGGATGGGCAGAGGTCATCAGGCAGACAGTGCCCTTTTTGTTGGTGTGTGTGCCGTGTTTGTTGGGTGGGTGGGGTGGGCATGATCATGCATCAAATGTTGCTCTAGCAGAAAAATATTTGTGACTATATTTATTATTTGCACTATTCTGAAATGTTCCTTGCCCGTTTCTTGATATCTTTTGTTTTTAACAAAGCGGCCACAATCGTTCTTAATAGAATTTCAAGCCTTCATAAAGTCTGATTTTCACATATTAAGGGCCTGCTGGGGGCTGGAGGTGGGGGACCCCAGGTAGGTGAGGTAACCCGCCTAGCCGTGGTCGAAAAGTAAAACGCATTTACATGCAATCTTACAGCCCCGGGGTACTGGGTTGAGGTTTCTTGAGGTTGTTGTTGGGCTTGCAATTAAGGACTTTGAGCAGAGGCGTCCCAAATTCACATCTCGAAAAAGACGAAAGATTAATTCTCGGACACATATGTGTTTATTCATGGAAGCGTCACGCGTTGTGTTACGGTGTTTGGCTTTGCAAGGAACCGTTGACTTAATACGACATACGGAATAGTTTGGGAACCAAACATGGTCGATTTACAACGCTAAATATTCTGAAATGTGAACATTTTACACTCCTTGTGTGTCCGTTGCGGTTTCTGGTGATTTCTGCCACAAGACGGTAAGGAAATGTACAAAGATTTAAAACATACATGTTTCGCTGTTGAGCTTTTTGCCATGAATGCGACCCCGGCTAGGCGGGTTACCCCACCTTGACACGTTTACATGGCAAATTGTCACCCCGGCTGACAGGGTTACCCTACCTGGCAGACCGGGCAACCCGCCTAGGCGACAATAGTGCAAATAATCGTAAAAGATGATCGCGGAAAAGCGATTGCGTGACGCTCGGTAAGTTGTAAGATGACGTGTTGTTATCACGTATCAGACGAAAAAACAGTGTAAATTCTCAGTCTGCATTTTGTACCTAGTCTGCATTTTGAACCCGGTCTGCAGTCTGCATTTGTACTGACCGGATTGGTAATGCTGTTTTTGTTTGAGAGGCGGAGCCTCAAGTCCGGACCTAAATAATGGAGCTATGATTGATGTGTTGACTGTATGTTGAAGAGCTCCCGAGGACAAGCACAATGATAGAGCAATGATTACATTATACCAACTGAAGATGAGCGCAAATGTGCGGCTTGCCAATAAGGCTGCCTCTAATGCTGATGCTCTTCTGCGTGGTCACAGCGTGCTTTGAAATGAACCCGCTACGGGTCCCCTACTGTAGGTGTGAACATTTCGGTTTTTCGATTCAAGTTGCATTTTTAGAAGTTCAGAAATGTGATTTGGGGTTGTTATTGTAAAATAATAAAAACATTTAATTTCTTTCCAAGTGAGTTTCTGAGCTTCATCGAAATTAATTTTTACTTTCACTAAGTGGGGGGTAGCATGCGAGACTACTTCCGTTCACGGTCCACAATGCAACTTCCGTCCACGGAATACAACTTCCGTCCACGGTCGACAAATTCCGTCAACATCTACCTCACCACGATATCTCATTCATTGCTGTCAGCCTGAATGAGCTAAATATGAATTAAACACGAGTAATGTTAGAGAGCGTTGGAGAGAGTTAAGACAAAGCTGTTGAAAAAGGATCAAAGCGGCAATTTAAATCTTCGAAAGCCTTCAAACTACGACGTACATAAAATTTTGCTTACTTGAAAACCGGTCTCAATTTACATACCAGACAACAATGATTGCGTTTGTCCTCGAACGCAACTGAACACGCAACAAATACGTACAAAAAATACTTCTACCGTTCAGTGTAAGTAAAATTACATTGATCTGTGGCGAAAGGAAGAAGAAACGACTTAAGTTTTGGGAATGTTCAGTCAAAATCTGCCGGTTTCGGCCGCTTTCACCGGCATATTGAAATTAATGCTACCACAATACAACGCAGTCAGACTGCGCACACTTCTCGGAAGGGTTCTGAGTTTCATGTTCTTCATCGTGTATGCAGAAGCAAAGGATGATACTCGTTTAGCCACTACAGTGTAGCCATAAAACCAGGCGACCTCAACGATCGGAACTCGCGCTTCAAGGCCCCTCAATAATCTACGAAGAACTTGAAATTGAAATTGAGCCAGTAGTTTAATTTCTAGTCAGCCTATTGACGATACTTGTTGTTGAATGCACATAGCTGTGAAATGGCTTTAGCCGAAGGACAAGATATCTATCTCTCGTCACTCAAACAATTCCGAAAAAGATCCAATATAAGACAAGTAGTTGAGAATTTTGCGGAAGATATTGCATCTCAGACAATGAGTTATATCTCCAATAGCTGCCTCGCGTCTTCCGTTTTTCGTGTTCTTGGTGTTGGCAGTGGACATGGGAAAACTGATCTGAGAATTCTGAATTCAGTAGCAACAGCTATCGAATCTTCACAAAAGAAGAAACCAGTGATACACACGGCTATCATTGAACCGAGTGATACGATACAGGAGTTCAAGTCATCAGTAACACCACTACCGCAGACATTATGCAGTTTGGCTGATGTTTCGTTCGAATGGCACCAGAAGACCTTTCAGCAATTCATCGCATCTTGTCCACATGAAGATTATTTCGACATGATTCATTTCGTTACGTCCTTGTACTACATGGATGCCGAAAGCTCCTTAAAAAGCTCTCTTAAGTTGCTTGCTAGCGGTGGAGCCATGTTCTGCATACTTTCATCAGAAACATCGTTTTTCCCGAAGCTGGCCAAGAAACTCAAACCGGATTGCGTCAACCTTTGCTCGGCGAAGAAAATTTACACCCAGATGGATGTTAGGAAAATTGCCCAAAGGAACAACTGGAAATACGAAGAATTATCAAGGGCTCACTACAGTGTTGACATCAGCTGCTGCTTCGATGAGTCTTCAACAGAAGGTGGCTTACTTCTCGACTTTTTAACCCATCAAGAAAACTTCCGTGTTAATGCTGAAAGCGCGGTCTATAGAGAGGCGATGGAGTTTTTGAGCGAAGAATGCAGTGTCGATGAAAACGGAGCGAAATTTATTCAGCCCGAATTCGCTGCCGTTGTAATTTACAAACAATGATCTTTGTCAATTACACATTGTGCTCGTTTCCTCAAGAGAATCATCACAGGTTCTAGCAAGAATATTTTTTCAGCGAAAGGGGTTTTGTTGGCGATCAGCGAGTGATTAATTTAAATGGAACTTTCTTTCACTGTGACTCAGTGATTGGTCTACAGTACAGTTCTTTGAGATGTCACCTTCTTTCAAGAGGTTTTCTGTGTGACTTTTGTCATGTTATTCAAATAACGCCAGAAGCTTTTGTACTAGTCACACAACGAATTGTAGTCAATACCAGCCCGAGTAGGGGTGGTGTGGTGTTGTAGGGGAAAGAAGCTCTTCCTTGGCCCTATTCCCCCCATCGTTGGAATGCCTGCTCAAGCTAGCCTAGTCTTACAGGAAGCAGACATTTGTCACCAATTTCTGAATACTGGGGATGTGCGGTAATTGGGCCTCGGACAAACTAAAAGAAATCTCACAGGAACTGCTTGCACCCGTCTTTAATGCTTCACAATACTCACGAATGAAAGTCAATGCAAAATGCGTAGTGTAAATCGCGATTGCTCAACCTTCTAAATATCGACTGTGAATGTTATGTGTAATAATTATAATTATTTGTGCCAAATACTTTTCGATTTTGTATTTCCTCTTCTGATTTTGTTTTGCGTTTCGTGTCTTTCGGAGTTATTTTGATTTAGATATCTCCGATTTCCTGTGGCCCAAACGTAAATGGTACAATCAAAGTTAATTATTATTCTTTGTACTGTTCATCACGAAGTTCCTTGTGCCACTTGGTATAGTTAGGCCCAGTTCAGACGTCGTTCTTCTTCCGTGCCGTACTTTACTGCAATTAGGTTTGCCTATGGCGCGGTGGAAGCACGACTCTGATTCAGACGTCGCGCAATTTTCGAGAGAAATTCAGCATCTACTGAAGCATCCTCGTGACTACCCCGCGGTAACGCAATCCTAGCCGACGAAATACATTTGTATAATTTAGGATTTTTTGTGTGACACGGCATAGGTACGACGTCTGAATCACTGTCTTACCAGAGTCGTGTAGCACAACAGCGCTTGTCGAACCTAATTGTTTTGCCGAACTAATTAGAAAGTTTGATTCAGATGCCGCGCTTTTGCCGTGCTTTGGTCGAACTTGAATTAAGTGCGGCACAGCAGAAGTACGACGTCCGAACTGGCTGGGCTTTATTAAAGAAAAAAACATCTTTATTTGTAAGTGTTCGGGAAAACCGGCTTTTAGTTCAGGCGGTATATTCATTGATATTCATCGTGTTTACATCAAGCTTCATAGGGTAAGAGTAGCTAGGACTTGCATTCCTTTATTCTGAGCAAGAATTTCCTCTATTGAAGAGTGTTATAAGAGAGAACAAAGGGATTAAGGAGTAAACTATTTTAAGAAGGTACTCAACTTGAGCCCAGCAGCTTGCTAGCTTGTAATCAACAGTTTAAATCAAAAACCTCAAATAGGTGCGAAATAATAGATTTCAGTTTGAGAGCGTGAGATTGAAATCGTTTGCGTGAGAATAAAAATTAAAAAAGGGAGGCGAATTATCGGGTTTGACTCCGATGAAACCAAACTCTTTGGCAACGAACCAGTGTGATCGGATCTCCAGATATACAAAGTCTGATGTAAATAACCAATAATGGTTTTTGACGTGTTTTGTACAAACAAAAGGTCGCAATTTTTCTTTTCAGAAATTCATGATCAGTGAAGCAGCTTGTCTTAACGCTTGACGACATACTCTCAGGGGGTAGGATGGGGGCAGCTATTGAGGAACAACTCAGGGACCAGTCAATATTTGTCACCGGGGGAGGGGTGGGTCCAGAGGATGTTGATTGTATCACTATGAAATTTACCAGATACCCATTAGGCTTTGTAATAATCTTTGTAATGATTCAACCCCCTTCCCCATTTAATAGGAGTTAACAAGCAGTCATCATTCCATAACCCCCCCCCCTTCCCTTTATACTCTGTTGGTTACGACCGTCCAGCCATATCGGTGATCCCCTTCCTCGGTGCGCGCCCTACCCCCTCCACCCCCTCTAATGATAAATAATGGCTGCTCCCTCAGTAAAATAGAGTAGCTGAAGCGCTCAGAACCATAAAAAATATTTTTATTTCATTACACTGTTCATGGTGAGAATAGTGAGCTGGAAAACTCCTCTTTTTCCAGCTTTGTTCACGAGGTACGCCTCACTACAAGAAGAACGTTGACTTAACTCGAACTACCTCTTCAAACGTCTTTTTGAACCGAATATAATGAATAAAATGAGGATTCCACTGAGATAATATCACATAAAACCCATTTTATAAAGTATTTCACTCTGTCACACTACCAGCACCATTGAACAGTAATTGTATACATAGTGCCCATACACCTGAAAATCTTTTATCACTGCATTTAAGACAGAAGTGTATAAACCTCATTTATATTTGCTGCTTCAACTCCAGATAGGCATTAGGATTTGTCAGCTGTACCCCAACAGTTAAATTGTACCATGGTCATGGTTTTATCTTTGCTACAATATTCTGCGTAAAATTGTACGGCGAAGTGACTACCCCACGATATAGGCATTAGATTTGTTAGCTGCACCCTAACAGTCAAATTGTACAATGGTTTTATCTTCGCTCCAATATTCTGCGTAAAATTGTACGGCGAAGCACGTAAGACGAAATTTGATACAGAATTTCATGAAGGATAACATGTTTGAATCATTGAGGAAGTAAAAGCTAAGGCAGTGAGTAAATATGGAGGTAGAGTCTTTTTTTTTTTTTTTTTTTCCTAAGCATGTATGTGGGACAGAATCTTAAATCCTAGAATCTGATCTGCTTACCCATCAATTTTCCTTTAGTATAACCAAATACAGTCGCTCCTGTTTAAAGCGGTCACCCTGTACAAACCGGTCGGTTTTCAAAGTCTCGAAATTTTTTCCCCTTCGTAACTGTAGTTTTTCACCTCTATTAAGCGGTCTTGGTCATCTTAGTGTGAGTTGTAACGTCCTGTTTGTATTGTTTTATACCTGTATTAAACGGTCACTACGACCGCTCACGGCCAAACAATTTTCCGTTTTGGAAACGACAGAGACTAGTTAATACCTTTAGAGTGATAACCAAAAAAGGCAATTAGCTGCTCCATAACAGCTTTAGAAATTTTAGATAGTTTCTCGGTATTAAATAAAAGAGATCTGTTTTGCCATTGAAAAACAGTGGAGTTCCTCAGTTCCCTAGTGCCACAGTTCCTCAATTGCACCTTCAAGGAACGACAGAGAGACAATTTAAACAATCTAGTTTATCTCCCAAAATCAATTTAAGTAGTATTTTTTACGAGTGTTAGGGGACATCAAGAGGTCAATTATGGCGCAAAATGGTGTTTTTAGAGGGTTTCAAAGGGGCGATGGCTTTTACAGCCACGGGTTAAAATTTGGGTCATTTTTCCATTGTTGTCACCAGAAATATTTTTACTGTTATCTTTATTTACGACTAACAGTTAAAATTTGTCACTTTTTACGTCTAATGGCTAAATTTTAAAGCCGTTTTTCGATTGACGGTTAACCCTATCTTAAAAGACCCTTTCTGTATCGATATTTTTTATAATACCCCTATTCTGTGGAACCTGTCTCACGCGGTCAAACAGTATGACGAGGTCATATCGTCATTCCCCTTGGGTGACCGTTAATACAGGCTCCACTGTTTGATGAAAAAAAAAATTTTTGAAAACTTACTTTATGGCATTTGTAGGCCATGAACTTGTCGTTTCTGTTGTTTGTCAACCTAAGGGTTTTTTTTTCTTTTTTTCAGGAGGCTCATGAAGCAGTACCACGACACTTAAGAACGATAAGCCGATGTCATTCACACGTGACTAACCGTAGCATGAATATAGGAGGTTGATTTTTTTGTATTACCAATGCCAATCAATATTCCCATTCAATGTTGTCTTTGTGTACCTAACGGTTCATGGAATCATGATAAAACATTGTTTTTTCTAGGGGGGGGGAATAGGTTAACTTAACAAGGGCAAAAGAGAAGTATCTCAGGCCTTGAGTGGTGTGATTTTTTCAGCTATATCAACGACACTACCTTTTTCTGTGAAAAAATTATGTTTGATCCCATCTTTTTTCAAACTACAAAAGACAGAGTTGATTCTTTTTTCTTTAGCTATTTCCTGTGAAGTACACAGTAACCATTACAATAACAGCTGTACATTGCTATGTGTTTCCTTTTTATAAAGTTCACACAATTTTGTGGGTACACAGTCAGTGCAACATAATATGTACAAATTCTTTATTAAATGATTCCTGCCTAATATGTTTTAATCTATTATATACTTAACATTTAGTTGTCAGTGGTATCACTGTCATCTGTGTCTTTGATCAGTGCACCTTGAAAGTTAGACAGCAAACAAGCAACTGTATACAGTTGATTGACAGATTCCAGTATAGACAATGAAATGTCAGAGTCAAATAAATGAAATTCCTTTATCCTTCTTATTGCACGTTCCACATGGATTCTTACTTTTGCAATAGTTTTTGTTTGCAAAACATCCTGGGCTGAAAATTGAGTTTGAATCTGAAGAAAGGGAGGCAAATTCAAAGAAACTTGTTTACTGCTTAAAAGATCTTCAATATCAAACCCCTTATCTGCCATAACACTGTAATGTCACTGTCATCGAAACCATCGAGCGACTCGGTGCGATGGCTGCTCTTCGTGGACTCACATAAAATGTAGTGGCGTGCTACCTAAAGAGTATCACCATATGAAGTCTACAGGAAATTTCTCACGCACCTGCAGATCCTGTCTGGCATAACTATAAAACCTTCCATTTGCGAATTCGACTTTGAATTCTAATAGCAATTCAGAGCCGGAACCAATCACAGAGGAGCAAAATATTACATCAATGTGGACTGAATTTGACAATACTGCTCAAAACTATCGTTTAAATTTCAAGCTTGGGAATGTCAATGCAAACAGTATTGGGGGATTCAAGTTTTATGAAATCAGAACTTGGCTGCTCTCTGGTAGATTTGACATTCTTGTTATTTCAGAGAGTAGGCTTGATGGAAGTTTTCCAGATAGTCAATTTCAGGTCGAAGGCTTTCGCCTGTGTCGAAGCGACAGGAAGGCCGATGGCGGGGGACTTATGATCTATGTGAGGAGTGATATCCATTTCGTAAAAGTAAAATATCTAAAAGGAATAACTCCAGAAGAGTGGGCTGCATTTAGAACAGAGACGATTATCCTTAAGTTCAAACTGGGCAGGGTGTATAAAACGTATACAACAGGACAACTTCGAATAAAGACTGTATTCCAGAATAACAATATACAAGACAGCTTTCACGCACTCCTTTTCATTTCCTTTTTAGAGTTTTCATCAAGAGTTCAAAGTTAAATTCGTGGGGGGTAAGAAACATACAAAAATCCACGTGACGCTCCCGGTCCAGTTTTCAACACACTCCCCCGCGTTGATTGATATCATCAATCAAAGTTCAGAGTTCAAAGTTCAATTAATCTTACGAATACAAATCATAACATGACAGAGTCAACTTAATAAATCTATCTTAATCAGAATTCACGACAAAAACTGGGACATCCTCGTCCCTCACTACTCTAACAGGAACATTTGCCGCTTGGGGCACAGGATTGGCAGCTTCAGTTGAACCTGAAAGTATAAGTAAAGATGAATTACAACAAAACCTGCAACTTTAAGTAGTACTTAAAGGGAAACAAAAGATTAAAGAAACCTTTAAGACGCCTTTACAAGTAGAAGTTTTGGTAATTAAAGACGAGTTTACGAGAATTAGGAGGATTCTTAAAGTCAATTAAATGGTTATTTAGGTTTGCTTTCATGTGATCCTAAAGTGTTCATGAAATAGTTCATAAGGAGACTTTAATTGACTTCTGAAAGTTCAATTAAAGATTCATTTCAGAACTTTCGTATGTCACCTAAAGTTGTCTTAAATACTTCTAATGTTAACCTTCAAGTTACCTTTAAGGAAACTTAATTTAGTCATTTCATCCTGTGTTTTCTCAGGCTTTATTTTTCACAACTGCTTAAGTAGTGTACATTACTGCGAGGATCACTTTCATATTCACGTCTTTATCCGCAGTTCAAATATATGACTTTCATATATTCTTAGCCGTTTACAGATGAGTCAGTTAAACTTAATGCAATAGGCCATCGAGTCATAGCATGCCAATGTTTAAATTTAGCGCACGATTCCGCTGACGCGCTCTACAATTTCGCGCCTGCTGTCATGGTAACTGATCCGATGAACTAAAGCTCCGTTCCTCTGATGCACCGTGATTTGTGTGATCTTGGATCACAAATCCAAATCCGGAGCCTCTTAAAGGAACGCACCCAATGTTAGCGTACATGTAGGCCATGGCCTACTAGTTGTTTCCGCTGTTTGTCAACCGAAGGGTTTTTTTCTTTTTTTCAGGAGGCTCATGAGGTAGTAGCACGACACTTACGAACGATAAGCCGATGTCATTCACACGTGACTAACTGTAGCATGAATAAAGGAGGTTGATTTTTTTGTATTACCAATGCCGTGAAGCCCTTTTTCTGGCCCATGGGATCTTGAAGGATCCCTGATTGATTTTAACATAGCTTTTCCATTCTTAATGTAGTGCAAAGTGCCGTAATACATTATGCAGTCTAAATTGTATGGCAAATTCAAACTTTGAAACTCTTTGCGGTGGCCAATTTGCGTTATAAACTCAGTTGATAACACTTAAATACCCTGTTATACTCTCCTATTGACGCAGCACCAGGGTTTCTTTAGAAACTTACCCCCTTTACAAATTTAAAGTCTCGTACCCAGACCTTCTACAGCCAGTTACCGTTAAACGGTAGGATCTGGGTACGAGATTTAAGTTTAAAGAACATTGCATCAGTTGTGTTGGCCTGTTCCAGGCCTTCAGTAAGTAAAATGGAGCGAAATGATAAACGGCGGGATAGTGGTGGAGTGAGAAAACGATAGCAAACGTGTAGCAATACCCCACCCCCAAGGAGTAACGGAAGGAATGTTTCTCCATCGGGAGTACGGCTACACGAATGTACCGTTGCATTTATGTCCTCTTATTGCAGATATGTCCTCTGACGTAATGTGATACAGTGGCCAATCATATCCTGCGATCTATCGAGCGACACGCGGCTTGGGACTGGTTAAGAGACTCCGTTGTGGTTATGTCTTCAAGCAAAAGTACTCATTCAAGGGGGTCGGGATAAGTGGAAAATTTGACCAGTATTTTCCGGTAACTGATCTGAGGAAAACATGCTGTTTGCATGATCACTGCGAACCGGATCATTGGCCTCTCATATTGCTTTCCTTGAAGTTCTATCGTTCGTTGACGCAGAGTGATCGCATCGTTTTTATAACCTAAACTTGGAAGAACAATTTGCTGCGCGTGAATAACAAAGCGACTTTCGACCAAAGGATGCATTATTGTTCACGTTTTATTTGCAGCCTTGCTTTATTTACAGTCTTCATTGCTCGACTTGCGACGTCAATGACAACATTTTAGCCACAAGCTAAGACAAAAGCACAATGTGGCGTCATATCACAATTGCTTTATTTTCTTTAATAGTTGAAGATCATAGATTATGGTTCGTCGACATAAAATTATATATTTTTGACACTTCACCTGATCTGCCGGAGGTGAGATCGACTGAGAAGTCCAAGTTGTGATTATTTGTCTGCGTCACGAAGTCTTCTTTCAATCACAGAAGTTTGGCCTTCAGTTGTTTATTTTGAATACTGTTGGTTTTTGCCGTATCGCACTAAGCCCTCCGTTAAAAAAATTGAAGTAGTAGATTGTGATTTTATTGCGGTTCCGCTTTTTTTTTTTTTTTTTTTTTAGTACTGTTTCTAAATTATTGTAGGATTTATTGCACTTTTGGGTGGATTCGTCCTATTTTACCCTGTTTATGACAAATTCACACAATGATTAAATCGAAAATGGGGCTAAAGGTGGCTATGGCAAGTCAATAGGATAGAATCCACCTAAAGGATGAATTTCACAGAATTTATCCCGTTTTTCTAGAATTAATTGGAAAAAAAAAATGGAAAATCGGGTTGAAGATTGGATATGGCAACTTGAGATCTATTCCATTTGGAGAATAACTTTTCAGATTTTACCCTGTTTTTTGTCAAATTCACTGAAAAAAATGGAAAATCGGGATAAAAATAGCATATGGGAACTTCGGGTATTATTCACTTGTAGCATGAATACTCAGAATTTACCCCGTTTTTCTCGAATTCACTTATCAAATGGAAAATCGGGGTAAAGATGGCATATGGGAACTTAGCGTATTGCTATCACTTGCGAGATGAGTTCGCAGAATTTACCTCGTTTTTCTAGAATTCATTGAAAAAAAATGGAAAATCGGGTTGAAGATAGCATGTGGGAACTTAGGGTACTATTCACTTGTAGTATGAATGCTTAGAATTTACCTCGTTTTTCTCGAATTGCAACACAATACAAATTATTGAGGCTGGAAGAAAATCACAAGTTTTTGATCATTGAAACACCGAGAGCTGTCCTGGTTTTTAATCGACGTGTAATATCTGGTGTTGCATGTCCCAAACAAAATAAATAAAAAAGTCAGTCCTCGACACAGAAGGATTCAATGAATCCAGGTATCATGCAGCTACATGAAATCTACTGGAATTTAGCACAAAACTTGAACGCGATCTTTGAAGAATGGTTGTAATATTTAAAATTTAAAAAAAATACTAGCATGAAGTGCAACGAAAACCTTACCTTATTGTACTAGCTCCAACAGAAAAGTAAGGAAAGCCATGAGGCAATGTCAAATTCTCGTCTTCCTAGGCTTTCCAACGTATGGAAGAAAATTTCCCAAATACCTCGCACTTAAAAACGCAACCAGAATCTTACTCTTTCACCAATCCGAAGCGTCCCAAAAGGTGTCAAGGATAGCCCATGAAATTCTCAAACTTCGAGCGCGGAAATCTTAACGATCTTTTTACACTTTTGCTTTGCATCCCTCCCCTAGTTGGGAAGTGACACGCAGAAGACACGATCACAACGCACTTTGATTGGAAGAAGTAAAACTGCATTCTATTGGTTATAATGTGTGAGGACATAACCACAACGGAAGACACAACTGCAACGCTACACACGAAGGCTGAAAAAACGAGGGAGGCTTGGGTCGGATCGGGTCGGGTTAGGTCGGGTCGACCCGACCCACATCCCCCCGTTTTTTTTATACCCCTCTGCTACCATACCACTGTTTAATTTTCCTATCGTGCTTCTTTTTTGCAAGCCAAACGCCTGGAAGTTGTGTGTCTTGTGGTATATACGCAATGCAGGAGCTCATTACTTGCATGCTGGGCCCCTGCGCAATGCTATTAGTTGTGTTTCGCTATCAAATGTCAGGGGAAACTCCAATCAGCGTCAAAATTAGTTAACACATCATGTTTAAAGAGAGTCCTATTAATATGTAGAATAACACTCCGTTTTCTAGCACATTCTAAATCAATGTTCCCATTCAATGTTGCCTTTGTGTAGCTAACGGTTCATGGAATTATGATAAAACATTTTTTTCGGGGGGGGGTGAGAAGGGGGTGAATAGGTTAACTTAACAAGGGCAAAAGAGAAGTATCTCAGAATATCTCAACTTATCAATCATTCCCATGGTCTTACTTACTGTGGTGATAACACAGTCAACGTGGTTTTTCCAAGAAAGAGTTTCATTGAACAAAACACCGAAATATTTGATGTAGCCCCCCTATGTTCTAAACTGACTCCTCTTGGTCAAATGAGCAGGGTGAATACTAATATTATCATTTTGCTAAATCGCCTGCAGTATTTAACATATCGTGATATCTTATGTTAAAAAGAGATAACCAGACTCGATAAAGCGCAACTCGAACGAGTTACTAAGTAATCCTTCGTATTTCCAGATGTTCCTTTGGGCTATTTTGTTCACGTTTTCCTGTTATCCACCTAGGTGTAAATTTTCTTCGCCGAGCCAAGGTCGACGCGATCTGGTTTAAGATTCCTGGTCAGCTCAGGAAAAACAATTTTTCTAGTCAGTGTGTAAAACATAGTTCCACCGCTTGCAAGCAACTGAAGACAGACAGGGATTTGGCGAAATGAATCATGTCGAAACAATTTTCTCTTGGAAAGGATTCGATGCATTGCTAAAACGTCATCTCGTGCTATTCGAACGAGATGTCAGTCAAACTACGTAATACCTGCGGCAGTGGTGTTACTGATGACCTGTACTCCTGTATCAAGACGCTATTGGGTTCAATGATGGCCGTGCGTATCACTAGTTCCTTTTCCAGCTGTATCCGATCGATAGCTGTTGCCACTGGCAACAGCTATCGATCGAATTATCAAATCAGTTTTCCATTTTACTACCAACACCGCCAACACCTAGAACACGGGAAAAGGAAGAAGCAAGACAATTATCGGAGATATTATTCATTGTAACATATTCATTGCAAGTGTCGAAAACGTGAAAAAGCTGTACCACGCTTCCTTATAAACTCATGATTTATTCGCTTGATTCAACAATTTTGCTACTATGCGGCTTCGGTTGACTCCCACTCACAACTCTCGGCTTCTTAGAAGGAAACACACTCAACTTCCCGTTGTAAGCACGTGGAACAGTGCCATATATGGGATGCTAAAACACGTGCTGCATACAGGCTTGCTTAGTTATGTATAAATAAACGAAATCCCTTATAAATTTCAATCAAATTGAGAATAATTAACGTATCGTACAGTTTCCAACACAAGTCCTACCTAATTCCTAAGGAGCTACCATGGTATAAATCTCACCTCTATGTACGCACAGCCGTGCCTACACAATATGACGTGCACAAATTTCTTCAGCTGCTAATTCCCGTCGATTTTAGCCGCGAGGTTTCAAACCTTTTAAAACTTGTTTTCTATTCCATCCCGATTTAGATAGACCTTTTAAAGCTCAAAATGACAATTAAATATGCAGATAGTTCTCGTCTCGAAAGACAATGAGCATGTACCTCTTTAGCTTTGGACTTAACGAAACTTCAAACTTCAACTGAGGCTTTGCGACGTTAGGGAACTCTTCTTTAGAACGGTAAATATTATTTTTAAGTGTCTACCACACGGGTCTCGTAAATGCAAGAAATAAATACGTTTTTCTTTCGTTTTTCAAACGGCATATATCATTCTTAGGTTTTGATGTCTTAAAAAATATTGTTTATCGTAAGTTTTTAACTTCAAAATCGTACGTTTTCAGAATTTTCAAAATTTTCAACCCAAGCCTACGCAATTTTTTTGCCGTGAATTCTAATAAACAAGAATGCTGAATCGTACGTGCAACAAATTCGTTCGTTTTTCGCTTCTGAGAAAAAAAATTTACAATTGGTCTCGAAATATTCCTTAGTCGTATTAAAGTTCACATGGCAACCAGGTGGACAATCAGACATGGTTTGATGTTGCTCTGGTTTAAAGATGTAATGAATGTAACCAAGAAGTTACAATTCATAGACCCAATTGGCACTCGTCGGTCGATTTTGCCATGTCATTTATTCACAGAATAAACGATTACCTGATAAACTCCGACACAGTTGTGATAATTCTGCGAGCTTGTACATTCTATAATACCGTTGTCGACGCTTCTGTACGCTTCTGCTTAGACTGCCGGGCACGGTCTCGAATAGACTAAACACACGGAAGTTATAAATTTCCACTAAAGTGCCACTAAATGGTTCCTTGAAAGTTCCCAAGCGATGTACATTTTAGTATGCTCAAGTTCGAAAAAATTTTCCACTAAAACCTGATTAATTTTTGGAATCGCTTGACATTTCCGGCTGTACCAAAATCTGATACTCTTAAAAAGTTTCAAGGAATATTTCAGTGGCACTTTGGTGAAAATTTCTACTGCATGGCATTAAGTCTATTCGACTAAAGAAACAACAGAACAACAAATACAAAGCTTACAGGTATTCTTGTTCGTCAGTTAAGTAATCTGGCAACATTCAATAATTTCATATTTGAATGCACTATATCTTGAAGCTCGTGAATAGGCTGTTTCTAAGATTCTCGAAACAAGGAAGGTTTTGCACTACTCTAAACCAGCATGGTCTCTTGTTGAATAACTATTAACTCTTAAGTGTTTTTCTACCGTCTGGAACATCTTTAGATTCGCTGAGATTTGATTAGATAGATGTTCTAAAACAGAAAAACACAGCTGGTGTAATTTGCTTATTTGGTGACAACAGAAATGGCTTTGTTGATGATGGTTACTGAGTCAAACACGTTAGTTTGCTGTGGTAGGTACTCTTCTGTAAAACTTAAAGCAAATTTAGTGCTTTAAAAGGTACAGTAAAGCAGAAACTTTGCTATTTTACACTGATCGTTTCGTTTTCTGCGCGCTTCGGGCTTGGGCTATAAATCCGGAAAAAAAACTCGGTCCATAACTTAAAGTATGGATCTCGAGTTCGGTTAATAAAAGGTCGGTTCACGTAGGGGTGAGTTTCTCAATGCTCACAAACCATACAAAGCAACCACAAGTTACATTCTCTTCCTTTTGGGAGCATCACGCGTACCTGGCTTATTTTACGTTTGGAACCTCAAGCGCAGCGCCTTTTCGAGCGCAGCGCATAGTTAAGAATTGGAGGCGATACTAATTACTTTTCGAAATAGTTTTTAGGGAGCTCTTTTAATTTGAGCTTCATTAAGCTTGTCACGGTCTGGTTATCTCTTTTAACACAAGATATCATTTGCCTCTGAAGGTGGAAAGTAACCTTAACACAATTCTCATTTAGTTTTACACTTATGAAATTATGTTGTTTTGTGCAATCTTCTTTCCAGGTGCTTTTCATTGTGTAATTAGGGCAACAGACACCTAAGTGATTTTACTACCCTCGTGTTACCTTCTCGTAATAAACCTTGTATCATCCTTATACCTGAAGTCGGGCAGTTTTGCGCGAAAATGATTTCAACCAAAGGACAAGATCGCTATCTCGCTGCACTTGAATTATCCTGGAAAACATCTTCATCAAGGAAAACACTGGCAAATTTTGCAGAAGATGTTACAGCTCATACAATGAGTCACATCTCAAGTCTTGCGTCTCCCGTTTTTCGTGTTCTTGGTGTTGGCAGTGGAAACGGGAAAACAGACTTGAGAATTCTAAATTCTATAACAACAGCTATGGTATCGTCACAGATGAAGAAACCAGTGATACACACCACCATCATTGAACCCAGCAGTGACCTCATACAGGAATTCAAGTCATCTGTAACACCATTGCCGCAGCCATTGGGTAGTCTGGCCGATTTTTCCTTCGAATGGCACCAGAAGACCTTTCAGCAATTCATCGAGTCGTTTCCACTCGAAGACTGCTTCGACATGATTCATTTCGTAGCAGCCCTGTACTACATGGATGCCGAGAGCTCCTTAAAGAGCTGTCTTAAGCTGCTTGCCAACGGTGGAGCCATGTTCTGCACAGTTGGACCAGAAAAATCGTTTTTTCCGAAGCTGGCTAAAATACTTCACACGGATGGCGTTGAACATGTCGAACTTGGCTCGGTGAAGAAGCTTTACACCGAGGTGGATCTTGTGGAAATTGCTAAAAGGAACAACTGGAAGTACGAAGAATTATGGACCGTTCAGTGCAATGCCGATATCAGCTGCTGTTTTGATGAGGCATCAGCAGATGGTGCCTTGCTTCTCGACTTCCTAACCCACAAAGAAAATTTCCGAGCTAATGCTGAAAAAGCAGTTTATAACGAGGTCATGGAGTTTTTGAAGAAAGAGGGCTTTACTGATGAAAGTGGCAAGAAATTTGTCACACCGGAAATTACTGCAGTTGTAATTTACAAATAAGTGTTACTTTTCATAGTTCGGTTTTTCATTTCAACTTTATTCTCAAGGTCTATGCACAGGCCTCCCAATCGTGGAATTTGAGTTTTTTTTCTTTGCCTGTTTTTGTCTTATTATATGAAATAAAATGTAATTAATAAGTTTTTTTCCTCACGGAGTATTTTACAGTCTCTGTTCGTCATGTTGTGGAGCACTGCAATACAGATGAGTTATGAATATCCTCGCAGTAGTGAACACTACTTAAGCAAATAAACCCGTGAATGAATGAATAAACGGCTAAGAATATATGAAAGTGATATATTTGAACTTCATACTTCACGGGTTTATTTGGAACCAACTTATTGACCAGCTCCCAGTTGGCTTGTTAGCTCAGTTGGTAGAGCGCTGCACCGGTATCGCAGATGTCATGGGTTCAAATCCCGTACAGGCCTGAATTTTTTTCAGGCCTTATTTTTCACTACTGCTTAAGTAGTGTACATTACTGCGAGGATTACTTTCATATTCACGTCTTTATCCGCAGTTCAAACATATGACTTTCATATATTCTTAGCCGTTTACAGATGAGTCAATTAATGCAATAGGCCATCGATTACGCCCTTGAGGTGCGGTTTTTTAACGCAGCGAGCAGCGATCATGAAATGAAAAAGAAATGCAGAATAAAACTCTCTTACCTTCATTTCACTGTTTCCAGCTTCGTTTTATTGAGTAATGTTTTTTAAAAAAATAACATCTATCTTAGTATACAGAGAGTGGTATGTTGCTCGCACCAATCAGATCGTTCAGGGTATGAATCTCGCACCAATCAGATCGCCGCATCAGGGTATGTATCTCGCACCAATCAGAGCGTCGTTTTTGTTCTTTGGTTTGAGAGGTGTTCAAATTTCATCGAAGTAATGGGGGATTCGGAGGGAGCAGTTCGCAAAATGGAATCATCTTTTAGAATGAGAAATGTTGGCTTTTTTGTGTTTTTAACATGTGTTTAACCGCCCTTTATGAGAAATGCGATACTACTGGACAGATGAAAGATATCAGTTTACCTATAGTAAACGTGTTACTCATGCTGCGAAAATGGTGGATAGTTGTTCGAGAGAAAATGCAGTCCTGTGCACCGTAGCACGATCATGGTTATTGTTCCTTCACGACGAGAGTGAGGGGAACAATTTTGAATCAAATATTGTCTGAGGTGTTGATGAATTGCACCAAACATTTTGATTCAAGCAGTTCTTCAACGGAAAGTCTGCAGTCTGTATTTCGTACTAACAGGTATCCGTGGCATCAATACAGTTTATTTTTGGTTACAGCTATTCAAACAACACTCACAATCTACCACAAAATACCTGTGTGTGAGTTGATTCGACATTTTCGTTCTTTTCCGCGTTAATACTCTTCTTTCCTTTAGTAAGAATGTAGACATCACTTGGTGTTTCACTTAATCCACCCACCCCAAAAAAATCTCTCTTGCATGCATAGCATGCCTATGTTTTGTAATAATGTTTAGATATCTTACCTTTTGTGTTTTCTTGCCAATAGCTTTTAGATAATTTCGTATATTGGGTCTAAAAAACTCTGATTAAGAAATTTAAAAAAGTATAATGTTATCAGCTATTAATGAGATTTCCTGATCTAAGGTTACATAAAAAAAATTTTGGTACTAAGGCCAAATATTGAGCTGACAACTGTCGTTTTCATTAGGCAACAGCTAGAGAGCAGGGCAAAGGGTAAAATATGGACCGGACTGGACCGTTAGACCCTTGGACTATTTTTTCGGACTATTTTTGGACCATTTTATCGGGGGGGGGGAAGGCAGACCATTAGTACTTAGGGAGGGGTGGGATGCAGTCTATCAGTACTCAGAGAGGGATGGTAGGCAGACTCTTTTTACTTAGGGTGGGGTGGAGGACGAACTATTAGTACGCAGGGAAAGGTGGGAGGTTGATGAATTAGTAACTGCTTCTGATTTATGGAGTGTTCATTGAGTCACGCAAATTATTTTGAGCGGTTTTTCGACTAACTATTTGCGTGTAAAAATTTTGGCGCTGGGCTGTAGCGTTTCTTTAATTTTTTGTCATGTGAATGCGAAACTATCACGCAAACACTGGAATATAGTTGTTATAATTGTTGGAAAACAAACCTATAGGGTAGTCGCGAGGAATACCTGGTCGCGATTTCTGGTGTCGGTGATTAACTCCTTTGTTTGCGAAACAGATAAAATCAATATTTGCGCTTTCCCATAATTGCATATACAGCAGTGTTTTTACCGAGTTAAAATCTAAGGACCGGAAATTCCGTGATCTCGTCTGATAAGATCACTTACCAAAGAAAGATAGATAAATTTAGTAATTTCATACTGTATACACAAAGGAAAACGTGAAGCAACTGATGGTGCACAAGTCGACTCAAAAGGCACACGCATAACTCAGCGGTGGAGGATCGTAAACGCGATATTTTCAATACAAATTAAAATCCGGTGTTTAGGTGGCAGTTTCACATTCGCATGACAAGAAAATGAAGAAACGCCGCGACCCAGCGCAAAAATTTTGACATGCAAAAAGTCAGTCGAAAAATCGGTTTAAATAACTTGTACGATCGAGCAACAGCTCCATTAGCCAGGAGTGTTTACTATTACAACCACCTCCCACCCCTCCCTGCGTGGCAATAGTTCGTCTCTCATCCCTCCTTAAGGAATATCACTCTGCCTCCCACCCCTTCCTCAGTACTGATAGGCTGCACCCCACCCCTCCCTAAGTACTATTGGTGCACTTCCCCCCTCCCCGATAAAATGATCCCAAAAAAAAATGGTCCAAAAAATGTTCCAAAAAAACAGTCCAAAAAATAGTTCAGTCCATATTTTACCCTAGGCCCGAGACAGAATTTCTCCTTACAATATCAATACAATATCAAGCAGACAAGTGATGAGGATGAAGAAAAATATCGACAAGGGGATTATTAATTGATCTTCTTGATCCAATACCAAATTCTCCGAACTAACATCACAAGAATTTATGGCAGACAGTAAGGAGAATTACTAATGAGATCTTGCGAGTGAAAGGATTATTTGAGGCTTAAAATGGCTTCCTTATTTGAGGGTCCAACAAAGGTTTTGCGGGATGCGGGATGCGGGATGAAGCTTAAAATCGCGGCGGGATGTGGGATACGAGTTTTTTTTTTCAAGGCGAGATAGGTTAAGAAGTCGAGAAGCACGCCACTTCCTTTGAAAATTCATCAAATCAATTGCTGAAGTCGACACTGTAGTGAACCCTTAATAATTCTTCGTATTCCAGTTGTTCCTTTGGGTAATTTTCCAGACAGCTTCCTCGATGTAAATCATATTTTCTTCGCCGAGCCAAGGTCGACGCGATCCGTTTAAAGAAAAACGATTTTTCTGGCCAAAGCTTGTAGAACAGAGTTCTATCATTACTTATTAGTAAGCAATAATAAGACAGATCTTTAACGGTTACAAAGCTGCAAATCTCCAGATCTGTGTACGCAAAAAAAGGTACACGCGATATAATTAATGATATTTGCATAAATTGAAGTTTTCTGTGACATCTCTGACTTTTCCGTGCTTGATATGTGCTGTAAACCTATGTTTTGCTCAAAGTTTGCTTAGAAAGGTAAACATTGCTCGACGTTGCTAAAACCGCAAAAAGTTGCTCCAAAAGCCAAAAGTTGCCGAGCATAGTATGTACGGGCCTTAAGTTCCACTGTTAATTAATTAATTAGGCGATGGAAGCACGTAGTTTCACACTTCTCGCTTGTCACACACACCACACACTATTTTTTTCTTATGTTAATCATACAAAATATTCCTTTGACTTGCAGATGGCAGATTCTAATCTGATCGAGGAGTGTCCATTTTCTACTTAATTAAATTAAATGTAACTTAATTCAGTTCTAAGTGTATTAGAAATATGGCAGAACTAGGATCAATTTGTATTAATTTTACAGTGTTTGAATTTTGACATTACCTCCTTAGACTCCAATATAAGAATCTTCAGTCGCTAGAATATTTAAAAGAGCTCTTTTTGTTTCTGTCTTTGAAGGATTTCTTTGACAAATTTTTGTATTCATTATGTTTCTTACTCCACATTTTGACTACAACACGCGAAATGCCTTTTTTTTTGCATTTTTAAACTTTAAGTACTTAACGCACAAGAGTTGTGACGTTTATGAGTCGAATAGACGTTTCCTTCGACTTAGTCTTGAGAAACATCATGACTCGTGAGAAAAAAACTGACTAGTTTTCCAAGAGACCATACATTTAGTGCTTTGTTATATATTTAGACAATCATATAGCAAAAACATGCTGTTGTATTCGGCCCGCGGGCAACAACTGCGCAATTGTATCCCGGCCGGGATGCATTTGAATTTGATCTGGGGCACGTGACCTAGAATCAATCAATCACAGTGTTCTTTTTGTTGAGTGAAAGTTTAGGTAGATAACAAATTGTGATATCTTATGCTAAAAGAGATATCCAAACTGTGACAAGCTCGATGAGGCGCAACTTAAACGAGTTACTTAATAATCCCTCGTATTTCCAATTGTCCCTTGGGCAATTTTCATGTTTTCCTAACATCCATCCCGGTGTAAATTTTCTTCGCCGAGCCAAGGCAAGGTCGACGCGATCTGGTTTTAGTTTTCTGGCCAGCTTCGGGGAAAACGATTTTCCTGGTCAAAGTGTGTAGAACATCACGGCTCTACCGTTAATTATTAGTAAACAGCAATAAGACAGCTCTTTAACGGTCTCTAAGCTTCAAACCTCCAAATCTGTGGACACAAAAGAGGTTCACGTGCCATAAACAAAGAAAGCGAAATTGCCTCCATGAACAGCGATACTCTGGCTGTTGCGGTGAGGTCAAGTCTCTCTACTTAATTTGCATTTTTAAGCAACAAATCTAAGCAACAGCGAATAAGTTCTTTTTTGGAGAATTTTTGGCTTTTGGCGAAGGAAGTTCATTTTAAAGTTCCAGCTTCTCACTTCGTTTTAGGAGCGTCCATAATTCTTCGTATTCCCAGTTGTTCCTTTGAGCAATTTCCACAAGATCCACCTCGGTGTAAAGCTTCTTCACCAGGCCAAATTCGACATGTTCAACTCCATTCGTGTGAAGTATTTTAGCCAGCTTCGGAATAAACGATTTTTAAGGTCCAACTGTGCAGAACATGGCTCCGCCGCTTGCAAGCAGCTTAAGACAGCACTTTAGTCTTTTCGACATCTATGTAGTACAGGGCTGCTGCAAAATGAATCATGTCGAAGCAGTCTTCGAGTGGAAACGACTCGATGAATTTCTGAAAGGTCTTCTGGTGCCATTCGAACGAAAAATAGTATAGTATAGGTAATTACCGTAAGCAATTACCGTAGTAAATGAAAAGTGCCGCCCCCGAATGAGCGCCGCGGTCCCGGTGCATCGCTCATTCGAAGAATTCTTTGCGCGATCTAATATCTTGAGGGATCTAGATGAAAATCCTTTCGAATGCAACCATACGTAGAAGAGGGTTACCTGGAGCGCGTAAACTCAGATCATAAAGGGGGTCAGGGAAATGGAAGTTGAGTAAACACACCACTGGTAGAGACGAATGTTGAAAATGAAAAGATTCTGTTTAAACCTACAAATTTCTTTTAAACGGATTAAGAAAAATATATCGTTTTCTTAAAACAGAACATTTCTTTGTCGCAACCGAATCGTGAATGTGCGCCGTCCTCAGAAAAGTGCCGCACTTGAGAGATGCTCTCTAAAGGAAGAATGGATAATTTGTGGTTGCTTTGCATGGTACGTGACCATTGCGAAACTCACCCCTTCTAACCGACCTCTTATTAACTAAGCTCGAAGTCTGTACTTGAAGTTATGGACCGATTTTTTTTCCGGATTTATGGCCCAAGCACGAAGCGCGCGAAAAAAACGATGTAAAACAGCAAAGTTTATTCTTTATTGTGCCATTTAAATGACTAAATTTGCATTAAGTCTTACAGAAGAGTACCTACCACAGCAAAATAACGTATTTGGCTCAGTAACTATCATCACCAAAACCATTTCTGCCGTCATTAAATAAGAAAATTACATAATCTGTGTATTTATGTCGTATGACATGTATCTAATCATCTTCGATAAAGGTCATCTGCCCAGGTCCGCCTTTCTTCATGTAGCGTCTGGAAGTACGAGAACAAGATTTAGCGAGATGAAATAAATTAATCAAAGCAGTTTCACAGTATCATTTAATCAGTACTCATGGTGCAAAACTACCTCCTTACTGACTCCAAGAGTGATCAAAAGGGAACTTTTCGTCACATTATCAGCACATTGTCGCGCAGAAAGGTGTTGATAATAAAGAAAAAAATTTGACTAAGAGATACTGTTGGATTTAACATTACTCTCTCAGATATAAAATTGTTCAAGATGCAGAGCAGACAAAAGAGGAGATTAATGTTGAGATATTGGGAGTAAAACGGTTACGAAGCTGGGAAACAATACTGAGCATTACTATTCGGTACTAAACGAATCTAAAGCTGTACCATAGTAGAGAATCACTTAAGAGTTAATAGTAATTCAGAAAGGAGCTGTGGTGTTTTAGAATGGTGAGAATTGACGCGGATTGCAAAGGAAAATTATTCAAAAAGTAGGCTAAATTTTCGACGCAGAACGAACAGTGATGGACGAGTTCTTTAATTGGCGGGGCGGGCAGCCCCACTTTCAAAATGAGGGCAGGTGCGAAACCTGTGATTGCATTTGCTTGCATAGGAATACTTGGCCTCGTTTCAGAAAAACTGAGGCTTTCGACAATCTTAGAAACAGCCTATTCACGAGCTACACAATATAGCGCATTCAAGTATGAAATTGTTGAATTTTGCCTGATTACTTAACTGACGAACAACAATACCTGTAAGCTTTGTATTTGTTGTTTTGAGCAAGTTTAACCCTCATCTCCTCTTCTTGTTCTTTTTTAAATTCCTACAACAGAGAACAGAGATGAATGCTGTCAGTTCCATATTTTTTCGATTGAACCTTACACGCCAGAAGCTCCACTTCAGCACCAGAAGCAGAGGCAGTGTATAGACTCCTAAATTGGCGCTTTTTTCAAAATGGAGAATTTTTTTCCCCTTGAACAATGTCAATATTTTAGAGGACAGCAGCGATTTTGCTTATCCTTTGGGTTTCTTTCATAACTTGGCTATTCTTCTTTTCTCGGAAATTATACTTTTTATGATTGATTGGTAATAAGATTTTGTGTCGTCCAATTCGATCTGTAATTATACTGGTGATAAAAAAAGTCGGAATCCTGCTGCGTGGTCGTCCGATTTTGTTATCACTCGTATGATTACTGACCGAATTGGACACGAATTAGTCCTATTACCATTACTTACATTGGAAAAATACTGGAGGTATCGGAAAAATGAGTTGCAACACATTTGGCGAGCAGATTACTAACGACCGTGGACGTTCATTATTTTGTTTAGTCAACAAGTGTCGTAAAAATAACTCGAATATTCCACGATCGTAGATGTAACCATTTTTGAAGCGACGAAATGAGAAACAAATTACTGGCCTGGAGCGCAAGAAAACGCGTTCAAGTAGGTCGCTATTGGTTTACACTGTGACGCAAGGTTTTTGTTTAAGCCAATCACATAGCAAAGTGCCGTAACCAAAGCAGCAGCTCATCATAGCCTGCGTTGCTAGCGGTCTGCGATTTTGGGAACCCAAAATCGCAAACCGCCAGCAACGCAGGCTACGGCTCATCACAGCAAACTACATATCACAATGGGCCAATAAGAGCGTAAAGTGAAAACAACAAAACTGCTTGAAAGGCGGGAAAACGCAAGTGACCAGTCGCGATTGGATTTAATTTGCGCATCTGATCGGTTGGGAGATTGGCGCGAGTTTCTCCACTAATCCCAGAGTGAAGTAGACTTAATCCATAACTACACCTCATTGAAAACAGAACGATAGGTAGTCTATAACTAATTCACTTTCAATCGAAAGCAGTCCTAAACTGCCCGATTTTGCACAGTTGACACTTTAACTCCCAGGATCCGATTGTTAACTTTCCCCTCTAGCTGCTACACATTTCTCTGTAAATAAGTCACAAGAATTTATGTTAGATCAGGACCACCAACTCTACCTGATAAGTTTGAATATCCTCATTACATGTTGGCTGGATAATGTATGGATATCATAGGAAGAAATTACCAGTTAATCACTTCTGGGTGTTAAAGGGTTAACGACCAAGCTTGCTCACATTCTGCCAACTCGATCAGAGAAAACGTTTCCTCATAAAATAATACACCCACCCGAAAGTTTGCGTCAATCCATAACTGCCTTGAAAAGAAAACATCTTTCTGCACCGGCTCCATCGCATCCCATTGGACAGAGGTTAATCCCAACTTTTTCCTAATAAGGTATGCCTTTTCCTTGTCCCCATACTCCTCTCGTTTGATGTTAAACTTCCAATACCAGTGTATCAGCCAGGCAAAGTAACTCAAAATTGTGTAAGGACTAAAAAACGTAATGCAAACAAGAAAACAGCATTTTAACAAATGGAAACTAATTTCACTAACAAGGAACAAGACAAATCTACGTACTTTAACCCTAAGAGGACTAGCATGTAATTTCCCCCTACAATATCGGCCCTGACTCACTCGTTAAGGTCATGAGAATAAAGGAAATGGTCACCAGGGAAGGAACCTTTTGATTGGCAAACAAATTCTCCTTGCCAGTGCGTTAGGAAATGTATAAAGAACAGTGTGGAGAACATGCATACTGATGTTAAGAGTGTAAAAGGTTAAATCTTAAAATAAGGAAATCATATGATTAGGGAAGTTTTACATGTACTTTGACTGGTTCCTTCATCTACTTTGGAGGACAGAGGCATGGATAACGTCACCATCGACAAGTTTTTGCTTTTTCATAATATAAAAGAAATAGATTCCATGTTGCTGGGGGTTTGTACGGAAATAGATTACGGATGACGTCAAAATGCGGTAAGAACACACAAGAAGCACAGTGTGATACCTATGTTTTCTTAAATAGTTATCAAGGATATCTGAAACAATCGGAAGGGAGGAATTGACTTAAATCTTTGGTCGTAACAAAAGGGATGGAGCTTACAGAAGGACAATCCTGATCCACAGAACATCAGCTATTCTGGGCTTGCTGTGACCTCCCCTAAAAAAACAAAAAGCAAGGAATCAGAGAGAACTGATAATTATCATTACAAACACAAAACAAAAGCATTAAAATCACTACTAATGAGTACATCTTGAGACAGCTCCTTTAAAACAACAGATTCTTAAAAGATGCAGCAATTAACTAGAGTGTTGGTTGTGAAAGTTAAACAAGTGAGCTAAATTGCAAGAATTGGGACAAACCTTATGTCCAAAGAATTCTCCACTACCCCCCTAAGAATTGACTCCTCTTCTTCACGGAATTCTTCCTGTGAGTAAAATAGTGTTGACCATGTTTAGTGACTGAAAGTCTGCTGAAATGGTGTGTTCTGTATGTGTAAACCACACAGTGTATGTGTACAGACCCAGGCCAAGTTTCTTGAAGAATGAATAGCACTTATCCAGATTTTTTTCAATGACTATGTCAATGTTATGCACACAGTATGTACATGTATGCAACCTCTTTATATTGGTTTTAAATAATCAACAAGAAGCCAAATGATTACTGTCTGTGGTGGAGATACCACAAGGATTCTGGATCAGATTTGTACATGTAACATTCAAGACCTTAGAAGTTATGCTTACCTTGGATTTCTTGCCTTTTTTCAGGTTATTAAGAAGACCTTCTTCTCTTGCCCTTTGCATGGCCTTTGTTAGAAAAGAGGGAATATTCAATTTTAAGATATTATTCTGGGCTAAATTAAGCAGTCAATAAATTGTGTATTAGCAGTTATTAAAAGTACATGGATGTATGTGTATGTAGACATTAAGCTTGTTCCAGGCCTCCAGTTAGTAAAATGGAGCCGAGTAAAAGCAAGGAAGGGTTTGGGTCAACCTCAACCCAAGCCTTCTCCACTTTTCACTCTACTGCTATGTTTTCACTCTGTTTTACTACCTGAACACCTGCAACGGGCTAGTGGAAATTAAGAATTAACCCTTTACACTCAACCATCAGTATGCATATCCTCCATTCTGATCTCTACACACCTCTTAACCCTTTAACCCTTAAGTGTGATTACTAACAACTTTCTCCCAACAATATCACCCCTAAAACAAACATTGGGGTCATGAGAATAAAGGAAATGATCACCAACTAAAGAAGCTCTTGATTGTTAAACAAATTCTCCTTGTCAGCACCATAGGAAATGTAGAGAGAACAGTATGGAGAAAATGTATACTGATGTTAGGGTGTAAAGGATTAAGGTGCTGACAAGGAGAATTTGATGATCATTTCCGTTATTCTTGTGATCTTAGTGTGAGATTCAGAGGTGATATTGTAATGAGAAATTACATGTTAGTCACTGTAAGGGTTCAAAGGGTTTAACAACATTTTCATTTTCTTGTCTCCTTTGAAACTAAAACATATTGTGACCAATGATCAAAGATCTCTTCCAGAGGGAGAGCAAAATAAGGCAGCATAAAAGTTGGCAGATTATGAGAACGGACATCTGAACACAAGCATCGCTGACAGGAAAAAATTCTCTCATAGAACAAGCTGTAAAGACATCTGGAATGATTTTCACAGGCTCACAATGTATATCCACATGGATAACACCTTGAATTCTAGTGAACCATTCCTAGTGATAAACCTTGTCAGGGAAAGTAGTGAAAATGAAATTAATTTGAGCAAAGCAGAGGGGAGAGATTTCTTCCAAGCAAATGGCGGAATCACTGCATGGGAGTGCATTGCAAAGAATACATTGACTGTACCTTGTTTCTGTATTTGGGCATTGTTAAGGCATATTTGACAGCTTCATTGTAGCGTGACCATCCATGAAGATACTGTAAACAAAGAACCTCAAAACATCACCATTGTTGATACAAGCTAAGTATCAACTATGAGTAGAAAAATAATCTGATTGCTTCTCCTAAATAGGTGGTACCATGGCTAATTCTTTACATAATTTACTATACAGAAATCATCTAATTAATCTCATATAAATTGTAAGAAAGCCTACCCTCCTGCAAATCAATGTGATCAGAAACTATCAGCTATTTGTTAACCTATCAGTATCAAATGCATATTCTCCATACTGTTCTCTATACATATTTGAAGGTGTTGACAAGGAGAATATATTCAACAGTCAAGAGTTTCCTTAGTTGGTTATAATTTCCTCTATCCTCATGACCTTAGTGTTTGATTTGGGCGTGATATTAGAGGAGAAATAGGATACTAGTTAACCCTGTCACTTCCAAGATCTAATTAGTAATTCTCCTTACTATCTGCCTTACAATTCTTATGATGTTAGTTCACAGAATTTGGTATTGGATCAACTAATAATTCCATTATTGATATTCTTCTCTATTCTCATCACCTGCCTGCTTGATATTGTATTGTTATTGTAAGGAGAAATTCTGTCTTGGTCACTTGTGGGAGTGAAAGAGTTAATGAGTTACAGGAAACATTGAAGGTAACATTGAAACAAAAGAGAGGAGGTGAAATTGTAAAGATAACTGTAATAGAAAACCAATAAAAAGTTGACATTTAAGAAGTTTCCTTCTCCCCTTCTGTTTCAATGCCAGACTTTACAGGTTACACTCAGTCTTAAATTAGCTACAAAATGACTTCAAATTTGTATGTTCAAATCCCCTTTGTGTTTTTCCCACAGCTTACTGGTTGCACTCATTTCAAACTATTTCATAAAAGAGCATTAGCTTCATAGGCCAGAAATTAGCTATCAAAAGATGACTATGAGTGACCTAAATTTGAAAATTAGAATTGATAAAGTAGGGAATAAGGATATTTTACAAAATAATATGTTATTCTTTACTACCTGGAGCAATGAGACAACTGTGATTGACACAGCTATAACAACTCTCACATCCACTTTTGGAGCCACCTGTCTTCTGTAGTAGCGATAATAATGGCCATAGGTCTCCTCTGTTAAATAAAGACAATAAAATTTAATAGTAATAACATCAACACAGGAAAATTGAATTAAATGTTTGTAATCATTTCAAAATTCTTGAATCATATCAAGATGTTCAGCTATCACATCATAGTTTTGAGTGAGGCCTCAAGCTAGCTGTTCTGAAAAATAATCTTCTGAGCTCTCACTGATCCAAGGTATCATCAGTGTGAATCCACGAAAGCTTGGAATCTTTTTTTAAATACATTAGCTTAAGGCACATGCAATGGTTATCTTCAGCTACAATGTAAATTCAAGAGTTGATTCTTTACACCCCAACAACAGTATGCATATTCTCTGTACTGTTTTCAACACAGTCACAGAATGTACATTTCCAAAGGTGCTTTAACAAAGAGTTTTTTTCAACAATCAAGAGCTTCTTTATTTGGTGATCATTTCCTTTAACTCTTGTGTCCATAATGGGTGATTTTGGGATGAACATTGTAAGAAATTAGATACTAGTCACTTTAAGGGTGTTAAGGGCAGAACAGTACTAATTCAAGTATCTATCACACTGCCTAACCTGGATTGTCCAACATATAGTCATAGTCAGCTCTTTGTTCATCATCCTTCAAAACCTGGAATCATTGAACATTCATACACAATGTTATCAACAGTAAGTGAAACAAAATATTATCAGATCTAACAATGAGTTTTGGCAGGGGTAGAAGTTCTTGGCAAGGTTAACAGACCAAACTTGGACCCATAGACTGTTCTTAAACCTGATAAACTTGAAGGATAATGTACCCTGGGCTAAGCTTTTTGACTGGCAGATGAAAGGCATGTGCAAATTGCTTGACCTTATGATGAACATTCCAAGACCCCCTAATCAAACAAAATTTACAAGAAGCCTCAACAATAATGATACAAAAGAGTACACAAACAATAAGCAATGGTATACTGGATTTCTCTGATTGGACACCCAACCTTGAATAAGGGCCCACCCAGTGGGTAGGAAAAGTTAATAAGAACCCAGTCTCCCTCCAAATCCCTTCCATTCCTCCCCTTACAATTTCTGAAATTACTCTCTATGGTACATCTTAACATTTTGTTATCATCTAATGCTCTGAACATTGCAACATAGAGTTACTACTAGCTGAAAATGGTGAAAATTCAATAAGCACCTGGCTTAAATAAGCATATATACACTCTCAGGGTCCAAAATTTAACCACATTTACATTGAATCACAACTAACAATGATGGTATATCACAAAATATCAATTAATAATAAAATAGACCATACAAGCACCTAAATAAGATATTGTTTAACAAGTTTTTTTGTTATTACACACTTGTCATCAAGTCTAGCTGTGTGTATTAATCATTTAGCTAATGAAATACACAGTGCATCTACAATTTTGGAAACACAATCCTTTGGTTTCATTCCATAGTATTCATTAGACAAGAGGTTGACCATGCCAGAGAACTTAATATATAAATTACTGAACCTTGAGTGTACCCATAAATTTTTCTGGGATAAACATTTCTCACCTCATAAGCTGTTGCGATAAGTTGAAATTTGGTTTCAGCATCTTCTCCCTAAATAGGAATAAAGAAAAATAACAATTGTTAGAATAATTCAAAAGCTTGACACTGAAGTCAATGCTAGTAGCATTCATTTGACACAGGTTAACATCAGAAACTTAGGTGTTGAATGAAAGGTAACATACAGAAGCTAACTAAAAAGGACCACTTTCTTTACATTGTACACAAGTCTTGCCTTCTAAGCCCAATAAAAATTTTGATTAAGACGCAAAACACAAAATGAAGAAAAATTCCTTTTATGTGAGTAGATTAAATCAATAAATGTTTGAGAATTATAGTAAAGAGCCTACAGCAAGGGACAATAAAACAAATTAAACTATTTCAGAATCACCTTCTGTTCATGCACTCCCATTTTTCAATTATTAATTAAATAACTATTTCATTTCCAAGGTGTAAACCTCAGTTCCAACAGCATAAATGAAGCTCTGATGGTAATGTCAGACCTGCTCAAACTTGGAATAATTTTAGCAATATAATCAATGTTCAGTGTAAATAAACATGTAATGTTAGAGATATGTCTCAAGAATGGACAGTTTAATCCATTCAATCACAAGATCTCTGTAGTAATTCTCCCTTGTGTCTACCATACAGTTCTTATGATGTTAGTTCAGAGAATTTGGTGTTGGTCAGCTTATTATCCCCTGATTGATATTTTTCTTTCTTCTCATCACTTATCATCAAATTTTGTAAAGTATATGTATATGTACCTTGTATCTATCAGGATGGTACTTTCTGGCAAGTTTTCTGTATGCTTTTGCAATGTCAGCCTGTAAAAAAAAAAACAAATTGTGATCACCATGTACTTGTCAGCTGGAGTATATCATGTTGTGTAGTACTTAACTCTCTAAAGGTTCACAAAGCGTTTTTTGACTCAGAGGATTGAAGACAGCTATCACAAACCAAGTAACTAACAAAATCACCATAGAGGTAAAGTTAATGAGTCTTAATAAGTTTCAAGGATAGACCCTTTTCTTGGTTAGCCTGAGTGACCCCTGACCACTGGAGTGGAACTATAAGATATGTTTCAGAGGTTTCTTGGGAAGGTGGACAAAGTTGGATAAGTCAGAATCAAAGTGATTTAACAGAGAAAAAAAAATCAAAATAAATTACTATAATGGTTGGGATCTGTTAAGAATTGTTATCAGACTTCCACAACTGTTATGAATCTGTTTTTGCTTGTTTCAGCTGAAACCAATATACCAATTGAAAATACTTTTAAGAATGGTTTTCTTGCTGGCATTTTAAAGTTAAATCAAGGTCTTGCTATGTGACATAAGAAATACACTGGATTTGGAGCAATAAAAGAACATTAAAATTTTCCCCAAGGCTCCTTATAATTTATTCATGCTTTTGTCAACCGCTATATTGAACCTTATGATTTAAGGTCAATTAGTAGATAATTCAACACCTAAAAACCTACTGAACTGTGTTTTGTATGAGTGAGTTCTTCCTAATGTTGAGGATTTAGGCTTTAAATTATCACTCAGAGAACAAATTGCTGACGTAAAACAACAATCACAGAATAACAAAGACGAGCTGATTTCAAGGGAGTTACAAGATATATAGACACACGAATAAAAATGGTCTGCTGTATCTGAGGGGAATTGATAGTGACAAAATGTTATAAAAGTATCATTTATTTTTGAACTGTTTTTTCAGTAAGATATTTAAATGAAGCTTTCTATTGGATCAAAATAACGTTGGTTTGTTTACATTGTACATCTGCACATGTGGCAACCCACGAAACCGTTCTTTAAACAAGATTAAATTTGAAGTGATTTTTTTTTCAATTTTTCACACACACGTACTCGTGTAGTATCATAAGTGAACACAAATTTCTCATTTATGAAGACACATTATCTACATCTGTTATAGATTACCTTTGAAGATTCTCTGTAGACTCCGAGCACTATAATCCAAATACAAAAAGAGAGATGTGTTAACAAATAGGAGTACATACAAGTAACACGTAAACTTGAAATCGACACCAGCTTTGACTGTAGTTGATCGTCTTCGTTTGCCAACAAACTTAACCAAAACAAATTCATACCGTCGTAACAGTTTTCTGTTCCACAGTAGAGCCCCTCGATAAAGCCATAAGCTGACGATGTGAAATATATTAGAAGGAAAATACAAGGAACTAAAACCTTGAAGGTTGTCATGACCGTACCAGACAAGATTGCAACGAGCTCTTTAACATTCAGTGAATCTGCACATAGTCAGCGGTTAGATAAAATAAATCCCACAATACATCCCGAGGTGTGTACTCTCCCCAGAGCCTCGCATTCAAAGAGCTTGGTTCTAGAACTTGTTGAACTTCCGTGACTGCGAAGCAGTAGGACGCTGAGTGAAGACGGATCTATTTCATGCCTTTCGCCTTCTGTTAAGAATTTTCCAACGAAACTGAAATATGGCGGATGGGGTAGCACCGAATCTGCGTTACGGTGGAAAAGTGGCCATCGTTACCGGAGGCTCCAAGGGAATTGGGGAAGGAATTGTGAGAGAATTTGGTAAAAATTCACCCCTCGTTATTCTTAGAGGGGTGTTGTTACCTTCGTTGAAGCAGTTGCTCTGTAGAATTTACGTAAATTGCTTGAATGCGGTTGCAATTAAAAGTAAATGACTGCAGCTACTTGTAGAGGTGTCACGGTGACGCCTAAAAATTGCATGAATTATTGGAGAAAATTTCTAGCGTTAGAATTAGTGATTTTACCGGATGAGACTGAATATATAAATTTCCACACTGGAATTTATTTCGGCATTGTGAAGACTAGATGATAGCCTCTTTTGGCTTTTCACTTTTAGACCACCTTGCAGCACTCTAGCAGATTGGGGCTTTCAAATTTGCAGATATTATTTTCTGCGTTTTGGGCGGATGCAAAACTGTTCTGCAAAGAGTATCATGTGACCTGGCTGTGGCAACAAAATCAACAAATTACGTCTACAGTGATAATGGACGTTAGAGAGTCAATAGGATACACCCAGTCAGCGGGTTTAAAAATTTGCCAGCTCAAAAAGAGCACATACCCCAGTATTTGCACAGTGATGTATGATTTATTTCGAATGATTTTTCATATCTCTAGTGAAAGCTGGTGCCAAAGTGGTCTTCTGTGCAAGAGGTGGTAAGTAGTAACTCTGTTGTTGTGCGTACAATAAATACTTATGGCTACAGCTGTATCCAACTTCAGCAGATTTCAAACTAGATCAACAGCTTGCTACTTCAGCTAGTTCACAGATACTCCTTTAAAAAATTGTGAATTCAAAAATTCAAATTGTATGTGACATTTCTCATTCATAACTTTTTCAATGGTAACCTAGTTCATAGTTAAAGGTCAAACTCTTATGTTGATAGAAATAAGAGAGATGGTAAGTTTTGAGCTCAGTAAAGAAATAAAGAAAGATGTTTTTCATCCTGTCACAAGCATGGGACAAAGAAAAAATTCTGAGTCCTCGTGAGGAAGCAAACCTCAGACCTTCAGATTCCACACTCTGATGCTCTACCACTGAGCCACAGAGACTCCACAGTGAGTGAGGTCTATTATTTTGTCCCCTACTTATGACAAGAAGAAAAACATCTTTCTTTAAAATCTTATGTTATTTGCTGAATTAGTTGGATTCACATATAGAAGGAAAAAATAAACTTGCAAATCCTCCACACAACTTTCTCTCTTTCCAGCTCTTACAGTGTGGCCTTATTTGTCTTGAATATGATCTGTAAGTGGCAAAATGATCAGAAATTGAGGCAAGAAAAACTCATGTGAGCCAAAATAATGGGCCTGGGGTGTTCTGGTCAAAATTATCATTAACCCTTTAACTCCAAGATCTAATTGTTAATTCTCCCCCCCTAGCTGCCACACATTTCCTTGTAAATTAGTTATGAGAACTTGGTGCTAGATCAAGATAGCAGCTTCTACCTGATGAGTTTGAATATTCTCATTACCTGTTTGCTGAATAGAGTTATGGATATTGTAGGGAAAAGTTTTATGTTAATCACTTCTGGGAGTTAAAGGGTTAATTAATTGGTGTAAATTGAAAAATGCATTTTTCATCTGTAGGTCAATCCCAAATTGATTTTAGCGACCAAATTAAAAATGATATTAATGCTAATTAAATTGAACTCAGAATTGAATCACAAATCAATTTTTGTTCTTTTTACATGATTTTAGTTGAGGATGGAAAAAAACTGGAAAAAGATGTCACTGAGAAGGGTCCAGGAGAAGGGTACTTTATAAAATGTGATGTTAGTAAAGAAGAAGATATTAAGGTATGTTGGATCCATTTAAAACCTATCTGTCATTGTATGATTTTAATTGAGATGGGTCTATTTAAGTTAGTTGCTTATCAACTAATTAATTAGAACTAACCTCTACCAAACATTAGTGGATTTTGTGTTTTTGTTAACCTTGTGTTGTTAATGAGAAGCAGGCCCTAAATGTTCCAGGTCTTTTGAGTACATTAATGAGGATGGTCTGGTCCTATAGGCTTTTGGGCTTCATTGAATTTGCTTTTTACTTTATAGAATTTGGTAGATAAGACTGTGGAAAAGTATGGCTGTATTGATTGCCTCATCAACAATGCAGGATGGCGTAAGTTCATAAAACTGTGATGTCTGATTGTTTATCAAAAAATAGAATGTAGCATATGAATGAAGCAGATTATGAGAGGTGTTATTACAATATCCTAGAAGAAGTCCTTCCTAGCACTGGTTCCTTAAAATAGTAAGATGAAGAAAATCCAGGCAGATTAACAGTTTAATTGCTTTGTAGAAGTTTTTCCATGGCCTATTTGATATGCCATAATTCAATCACTCATTGAATCTTCATTAGACAATTTGAATTTCTTGATAGATCCTCCGGAGGGAAAAACAGTGGATCACACCACAGTTGATGAGTTTAAAAATCTGCTAAATCTTAACCTTGTGAATTATTTCATCTTTTGCAAGGTAAGTGTTAGCCAAGAGACATGAAGTCAAATGTTGTAATTAGGGACAGAGCCAGGTTGTAAAGCATTATGTAGCCTTGATTTTTAGTGGGTACAGTTCATTCATGAGAGTGGCATGTAGTTAACATGGTGATGGTATAAATTTTGAGTCCTGTTTACATTGTACTTTGTGACTCTGTGTTAAATTTTGCCATTTTAGTTTGCTCTGCCTCATCTACGCAAAACAAAAGGGAGCATCATCAATGTTTCTAGTTTAGTGGCACAGATTGGTCAGCCTGGTGCTGTGGCATATGTAGCAAGCAAGGTAAATGCAATGTTTAGGAAAAAAAACTACCTCTTGTCATGGAAAAGTGTGATGCATATTCTATTAGGTGAGGTTTGTGTTTAGGGAGAATGACCTGAGTTGTAATAACTAGCATCTTATGATTAGTCCAAACACTTAGCCTATAACTCCTAAGATCTGATTGTTAAGTCTCCCTCCCTAGCCCTGACACATTTTCTTGTCAATTAGTTGCAAGAATTTGATGTTAGATTATGATAACAACTTTTATCTGATCAGTTTGGGTATTCTCATCACCTGTTTGCTGAATAATTTATGGATTATCATAGAGAGAAGTTGCATATTAATGATACTACATGTATATTATATCGATGATATATTAAATGGTAAATATAAACAAGTTTCACTGCTCTTTCCTTAGAAAAGAAGTAAGTCAAAAACATAATTAATTATAAAATGAAATAAAATTAGGGCAATTTTGTGCTGTAGCAGCCAACTCTGTTATCAACTGAGACATTTCCCAGGTTAGCATTAACTTTGTGCTTTTAAAGAAAACTGACAAAAATGTTACTATTACCTTTGTTCAGTCATACTTAAATTGTTTTCAAGGAGTTTAGTCTGTTTCAAATCCCCACAGTGTGCACTAAGCAGATAAAATCAAGACACATTATTTGGAATGCTTTTTCACAGGGTGCCATTACTTCAATGACCAGAGCTCTAGCAGTTGATGAGGCAAAACATGGAGTGCGAGTCAACAGGTACTGAAACATTTTTAACGAAGTGAGGTAATATTTGCACTCACCAGAAAACAGAGAGTGCTATTTGACTGAGAGTTATAAATCAATGATCAGAGCTCTAGAAGTTGATGTGGCAATACATGGAGTGCAGATCAACATGTAGCATTCTGAAACATTCTGAACCACTAGATGAAACATTCCAAACCAAATTAGACAACACTTACCTCGTTGAAATAGTATGCTTTTTGATTGAGTGTTGTTAATTGATACAGAATGAGTTAAATTGACTGCAGAGGCAATCAGAATGATTAAATACATTTAACAATAGTAGATGTGAATGGAATATCAAGCCAAATGAATGAGAATTTAAAAGTAAACACAATCATGTAGCTGACATTTAGTAATAGGTTATAAGAAAGGGGTTAAGTTTTCCAACCAATTTCTAAGGTAAGGAAAGCAAAATCAGTACTTTGCAGGATTTTTTTTTTAGCACTGAACTAAACATTTCTCCAATCTGGTCAGTTGCATTTTTTTAATAGATATTCTCCTTGCATGTAAAATGATACATACAATACATGCAACAGAGATTTTGCAACTTAGCTTTAGGAAAACTAAATGTGTAATAATACTTAAAGGGAGCTACTGATATATCAAAGAAAAGCAGGTAATACAATATTAGTGTTAGTAATATTTACAATGTCTTAAAAAGCTAACACTATAAAAGAAAAAAAAGGGAAAAAATTATGGTGTTGATTTATTCTCATACATTTACACTTAAATGAAATTGTGGAAATATTGGTATAATCTGACTGCGATGAGGGAGAAATTTAACTTATGGAGTTCATGCAAAAATGAATTTGAAAAGATGATGTGTTTCTGTTCAAATTCAGTGTCTCACCAGGAAATGTATGGACTCCATTGTGGGACCAGTTAGCCAGAAGTTCAGGAAATTTTGAAAAGAGTAAAAAGGATGGTGATGAAGCACAGGTAACTCAAACTGATTTTTTTCTAGACTTATTCTAAACCTAAAGCTTTCTTTTCTTATTTTCTTGAACAATTTAGCTTTGCCATGTTGAGCTTGGCAATGTGGACTTTCCCTGCTCAACCTTGTTATATCACTTTTAGGGGTGAAATGGTTAGGCTGAAGGTAATAAATGAAGAGGAGCCTGATATTTTGGAAAATTTCCAGCTTCATAGAGAAAACCTTAAAATGATCATTTACTGAGGTGAAAAACATCAAAAAACATGATTAACCAAAAGGAAACTAGGATTTTTAAAATGGAGAGGATGAGCACAATTTATTAATGACAATCTTGGAAATCATTTGCTAAAATTTCCTTGATACACAGATCATGAGGTAGGTTCTTTAACCCTTTAACTCCCAAGATCTGATTGTTAATTCTCCCCTCTAGCTGCGACACATTTCCACGTAATTTAGTTACAAGAATTTGGTGTTAGATCAAGATAACAACTTCTACTGATAAGTTTGAGTATTCTCATTACCTTTTTGCCAGATGATATAATGGTTATTAAAGGGAGAAGATATATGGTAATCACTTCTGGATGTTAAGGGGTTCATACACAATCTGCTTTTTGTTGCTTCTTTCTGACAGTTGATGGGTCGCATGGGAACTCTTGAGGAATCTGGTCAAGCCTGTTTATACCTGGCTGCTGAGGCAACGTTTACAACTGGTATTGATCTGTTATTGAGTGGTGGTGCAGAGCTGACTTATGGGAAGAAAACGCAAGTGGAGAGTGCTTAGAAAAAACATTTATACCAGTATATTTTGTATAATGATCAAATTTCACAACAAGCCAGTTCCAATTTGAAAACTCTTCAATCATCTTCAAAGTGATTCTTTGAGCAAAAACCACTCCTGTCAAAGTTAGTTTCATCTGCAGGATGGTAACAAAATTGTTTTTCCATAGCCTAGTTTTATGACAAAGACTAGCTTTTTGTTAATGGCCATTTGAAATTTAGTAAGGTTTTATCACGTTAGAGACCAGTCATTACTACACTTGGGAGGATAAGGATTTTTGGGGGGATTACATGGTTGCAGGGGGGACGGAGGGAGGATCAGTCATTGTCAACAGAGTACAAAGTGGGGGGCGGGAGAGATGTAAAAATTATCGGTCAAGTAACTGCCATTGAAAGGGGGTGGGGTGGGAAATGATGAGAATATTACAGAGCCTTATGGGAAGGATCAGGAAAATTTTGTCTTGACTCATCCAACTTTCAGCAACCATACTCCCCCCTCCCCAAACCTCCCACTCCCATGGCAATAAGAAATTACCGGTTTCTTGGTGTCATGCTTTTTTTTAACGCTTTGGCTCACACCTTTGACCAAGATCTTACCTCCTTCTTAAATCTTAATATATTGTAAAAAGATTGGTTATGGGAATACAGGCAATAATCAATTCAAGATAGTACTTTGATTATTCAACTAATTCTTAGAACCAAAATGTAGAGAAATGTATAATAGTCACTAGGGAGAATTGATATTAAGATCTTGGTGGTCAGAGGGTTGAAGATGTATTGTCGAGTTAGGTAGTAAACGCTTTTACTTGTAGATCTAAGGTATTGTGAAGTTTTAGTTTGATAACATTTGAGGACGCAAGCGATAAAGTAGAGAGAGGTTACTTATTTTAGAGTGCATCTCGATTGGGTGTCATAAAACCAAAACTAACAAACCACTAACAGTGACCGATAAAAAGAAAACAAATGGCTTGAAAAGCCAACGAGGATTCAAAGTTAAAACACCCAACTGTCTAAAGCGCGGGAAAACGCGGGCGACCCCGTCGTGATTGGTTTTAGTTTTGCATCTGATTGGTTGAGAGAGTGGCGCGAGTTGTCTTGACCAATCACAGATCGAAGTGAAGCAAAACCAATGCAATCCTGGATGACTTTCGACACTCAGTTGAAAATGACTCCATGAGGGCTTTTGGTCTCATATTAATTGATTCAACTTTTACTTGAAATGTCACACAATCTAGTCATGTTCAGTATTTTCAATTTGTATTATTTCTTGTGACGGGTTTTCGACTGCATTTGACAGCGTTCAGATACGATTTCATTAAAATAATTTTTGATGATACCGGTAATTAAATTTTTTTAGTAATTAGATATCGTATGATAAAGCTCCTTTTAAAAAGATAAATTATTAGGTTTGGAATATTAAAAAATAATTGACAACTTTTAAACGAGCGGACTGTGCGCAGATTTCTTAAGGGTGCGTTTTTCAGCCGTAGGTGTACAAACGGGGAAGGACTTCAGGAGTTTGGGCTCAAGAAGGGTTGAGAGAGGAAAACTATCATTACGAGCCTGAAAGTGTTTCACGACTGTTTTGCCATGGAAAAATGTTTTAGAGATTACTTCAGATAATTGCTCCTCTGCCGTAACCCAGGAGTTTCTTTTATTCTTCTACGAGATGTATAAGGGTTGGAGAAGTGTGTGAAAGTTTCCCCTTTTTAGCAGAGTTGAACCAGCCTTTGGACCGGTGTATTTCCGTACGAAACATTGCCAAAGCCCTCCTCTCTCCCGCACCTCCTTTGGTTCCCTTTTTCGAGCTGAACGTTGGCAACTGAAGCTCTTAAAAAGTGCATATATTCGAAGGACATGTGAATAACATGGTAGCGGGGTTTTTTAAGTAAAGCTGAAGTATGTGAAAAACTGGTTTCAGTACGGCGGAAACTGTGGTCAATGTTCCTGACAAATTATGGGATTAAGTATAAACAAGTTATGGATTATAGAAATTGTCTTCAATAAAATGAATACTCGATTTAAAAGTTGGATTACGAACTTGAGACTTCTACTGCGTGTACATTGATGAGAGCGAAGTCGTCCAAAAGTTAACAGCAAGACGGGCCCACGTTTTTTTTTTTTTTTAATTTCGTTAACAACTGCACACTTTTGAGCTACTCTTTGTACTCAGTCTATCACGGAATAGATAGTGAGTGGCGTAGCCAATCAAATTGCAGCATCTGTGGTGGAATGAAAGTAGATTTATACTAATCCGTGATTGACAATGAGCAGAGTGGGTAACTTACGGTTGTAAAACAAAAACAACTACAAAATCACGAGCCTGTATTGATATCAAGGTTTGAACAAATATTGAATTTATACTAAGACAATAAGATTACCCGCTGTCGATTCCTATGCGAGAGGTCTGAAAGGAGTGTGCTCATTTCTCGTGCCAGATCCCTCGCAGACTTCTTGCGCGCTCGCTTCATTTGCCGTTTCGAACCTCAGCTCGTTTCAACGCTTGTGCTAGCACGTTAGACTTCTTCCAGCTGAAAGCTATATGTACGTCACGCAATGGGCAGAATACATCGTAACTGGAAATCTATATTTCTGGTTCGCACGTCAGATTTCACAGTGGATCTCTACTATCTATGCTGGTGAAAAGAACCCCCTTCCTCCCCTCCTGATCACACCTTTGTCGGCGGTAGCGCTGCAATCGCACGTGGAAGGCATAGGTTCAAGTCCTGGTGAAGCTGGGGTCTTGCTCAGACTTTCCTTGCTGCACCTTCTTTAATTGCTGTTTATTTGTAAGGACCGTCGCCCTCTTTTACTGTCACAGTATTGATCACCAACCTTGGTATGTGAGACTACCTGGCTGATTGAGGTACCTCAGCCGACTCGTTTGCTAGAGTTAGAACAGTGGGCCAAACCAATTGTTCTCTAGATCCAAACATTCTTGGATGCCCATTTGGGAGGGATAAACTAAATGTGTAACTGAACACTTGTGGCATTTTTCACAGACGTAGGGTAACGGTAGCTCTGCGAGTAGATGTAGGCGAGAAACACTGGGATCGAAATGGGATGATTCTTTTGAAAGCAGTTGTGAATGAATGGAAGATCCAGTCTTCTGCTATAACGGTATTTGTAACCGCCGTTTTCTGCTTGAAATGAATTCAATGGTATCACGAAGAACAGAGCAATTTTGTTTTCATTTGACTATCCACGTTGTACATAGCTGTAGTTGAACTTAACTTAAGGATCGTTGTGTGTGGAATAGATAAACAGAAATTACAAATGACCAGCTTGAAATTTTCCAAGACGATGCCGGTATATGACTGACTAGAATTATGTATTGACGTGGGAATGAGGTCACAAGCGACAAACCGATCCTCATAACTTTATTGGAATTAGAATATTTGCAGAAAAAAAGGGTGAAAATTTCAGGTATTGACATGAATTTAACCTAATCTACCTGTTACTAGCCAAGTGCGACTTCCAACCCAGCTACGGAGCCTCATTTGCGTGTGGTCTTACGGTTAGAGAGACAATTTTGTTGTGGTGTTCGCGCGGACGAAGGGCTTACGCTCTAGAAGTCAGCTTTAGAAACTCTTTATGGCGGCTAATTTACATCATAAGTAGCTGAAACCAAATTTTGTAACCCCCTTTATTCCTTTAAAGGGAACGTATTACCTCGTTCCTAAAATGCGGCTTCGTACGTAGCTCAGGCGGCCGAGAAAGCGCATAATTTATATTTGGAAGACACAGCTCTGAATCCCGTCGAAGCCTGAATTTTTTTTAGACTTTGTTTTCTTCAACTAAATTAAATTGAATTGTGAAAATCAAATTATCACTAGTTATTTCAAAATGCATCAGCCGTGACCAATTGTTTTAAATGTTTTCTTCTCTTGTGGAATCGTTTGCACTCCAGCGAATTATGGTTTTCAAGACAGCCTTCAGGCTGTGAATCCTTTCAGCTGTAACTCGTTCATCACGTACTATAATGATGTTTTCCAGTAAGTTATCTGCGCGCAAGGGGATTAATTCTTCCTCACCTGACGGTTCAGAACATTCTCCCATGTTTTCGTCTTTAATTCGACGAACGAGGCGGCTAATTGCGAAAATAAGAATTGCCTGTACTACCACCAATAAAACGGCGCTCGTTGAAATAAGTATCAGATTGTATTTATACCAGTTTTGAATATTTATCAAACAGCCTTCCGTGAAAACTGATTTTTGTGGCTGTATTTTGATGATTTCGCCGTCAGGATCGTTTTGTATTTCGTACCCACATTTAATTTTTTTCACAGTGTCATTACAGCACGACACTGGAAGAGGACAGGTTTTCAGACGTGTGGAAGAGCAGGAAAACAAAACGTTTTCATCCCAATCTTTGTAACTATTGAAACCACAACATCCAAGACGTGTTTGAATTGAATCCATGGTGGTTCGTAGATTAGGATCTTCGTGATAATGGCGAATAAACGACATCCACTCAGCCCATTTACTTGTCTCTGCTTTGACTTGAACTTGATAATAAAACGCTAGGAAAGACAAGGCTACCTCGAGCAACAAAAGAACTTTAAAAGCTATTGTTATCATGTGAAGAACTTTAGTGCTTTGTTTAATCGTGCCAACACAGCCGATCGTGGCTAAAACCCACATTGCTCCGGCGAAAACCGTTAAGACAAGGCCAAGTATAGGTGTTAATAACTCCAAGAAAATTCTCTCATTTGTATTCTGTGAAAATTCCCAAACGAATACAAACAAACCGACTCCCGCGGCTGCTCCGCCGAAAAGAAATAATATTATCAAATATCCAAACACGCAACACTCGTCCCTGTTACAGCTCTGACACACGGGAGGGTACAACTCATCAATACTAGTTTCGACTGGTAAAAATCCACCAAAATCGTCCTCTTCGCTTTGCAAATAAAAGTGGTAAGAAACCATCCTCTCAGCTCGTACCTTCTCGTTATCATCTTTGACAGCCATGTTGTTGATGAGGAATTAAGATATTTTTTTTTTCACTCAATTTGCATTTAGGTCATAGCCACGTGGTTGAATGTATAATTCAGAGTGATTAGGCTTCAGTTTTCTTCAGTACTTCTACAAGCAATTGCCACACACTTTGATTCATTGACGTGAGAGAGAAACACAAGAATAACTAAAACCACTCTCACCATTGATTTGGTTTCTTCCCCAAATGCCAACGCGGGGAATTAGACTGACTACTTGGTCTAGTGAGCTTGAAACACACGATAACTTCAGGATCCCCCCTTCCTCACGCCCCATTCTCTCTTTCTCACTATAATTCGGTCGCTTTGACAGTTCTTCATTAACCCTTTCACTGCCACAGTTCTGACAAAGACTGTTTTCTGACTGCCAGGTTTTTTTTACCAGTAACCTCAAAAAATCACTCTCAATCTTTAATGGCTTATATCTCAGTCAGTTTTTAAGATATTAAAATGAAATTTTCAGGATAGTATCTGGAACAAACAAATATTTTTTCTACGTTGTCAGGGGGGGTGATCGGGTCATGTGACCTGACTTTCATTGCAAGGCATTATGGGTTTCTTAAAAATAACTATTTTACATTAAATTTCCCTTTCATTTCTCTTTGTATTTTTTACCTAAAACACTGAAAGGACTTAACTCAGCTGAACAATCTCTTCATCATAACTTTACAAAGTTACATTCAAGCATAAAGGCTAATATTCTTCCTAAAAAGTGATTTTTAGCAACAAGTTTGCTGTTGCACCACTAACAAATAATGACAGTGAATTTTATAAAGACAAAGAAACAAATATGTCTTAATATATTCTCCATCATAACAAACATGAGGGTTTATGTGTCATATCACACAGTGTGTTGTGTACAAGTGATACTGAGCAGTACCATAGTGTAATGTTTACAAGTTATACTGACGCAAAGTGTGATAACGTTCAAAACAAGGAACAATGCATAATGCTATATCACACTGCTTGCAATAAAAAGAAGTTTGCACCCTTTTCTTATTTTTCCTGTCAGAGCAAACCCGACAATCAAGTTTTTGCTTGGGGTTCTCATTTTTTCCTAGGAAATGGCGTCCAGTAAGTCTTAGAGGGCCTGGGGTATCTGAGGGCCTCCCATTTTGAGGCTGAGGCGGGTTCCAGTCCCTCAAAAGCCCAGTTATTACTTGCTCTCTAAACTTTTTAGGGTTAACTCTTTTAGTGGAGTTTGCCTTCTTGTAAAGAATAAACCCATTTACGAGGGCAATTTCCCTGGCCCTATGGAAAAGGGTATGATACCATTTGACACACTTGTGAGGAAATTGGTATGTGCCTAGCATTTGGTCAAGGGTGTCGACCCCACCCATGTTTGAATTGTATCGATCAGCGATTACTGGCTTTTCAACTTCCCTATAACCCCCTTCCCCATTCTTACTTCTAACAGCCTTGTCTACTGTCAAATTATTCTCAACAGTACTCAAAAAGGTAACACGTTTTGTGTTTTGTGTGATTATCTGAACGCATAAAAACAGGCGGTTCTCCCTTTTTTAGAGACAATCTTGATGGCAAGAGCTCTTTTGGCATTTGTTTCCAATTTACTTTCACAGTTCCACAGGCACCAATGTTCTCTTGCTCCAATTTCTTGAATAGAGATGGAGCAGAATAATAATTGTCCATGTAAACAATGTGGCCCTTGTCCTCGTATCCTTGCACTAATGACAAAACAACCTGTTCCGAAAGGCTGACCCCTTTTTATCGAGGAAATGATGCTTTGCCAGTGTAGACAATGGACCTCAGGCAATAGCCAGTTTTTGCCTCAGCCAGCACAAACTGCTTGATCCCCCACCTTGTGGGCTTGGCTGGAAGGTACTGCCGAAAAAATAGTCTCCCCTTGAATTTGACCATACTTTCATCCAAGGAAAGGTCACGTGCTGGCTGATACCACTTTTCATAAGTTGGGTTGACTATGTCCAACAAAGGTTGAATCTTGAATAAAGGATTGTAACCTTCTTCACCCCTGGCAATTTGGTTTTCAATATTGTTAAAATGCAGAAATGCTTGTAACAGTTCAAACCTGTTGCGTGACATCACAGATGAAAATGGCAGGGCTGTCAACCAAAATCCACTCCAATAATCAGCATGGGCTGGTTTCTGGCAAAGCCCCATTGCAATTTGCAAAGCGAAAAAGGCTTTTATTTCATTAGGAGATGTGTCTTTCCAGGCTCGAAAACGAGAACAAGGCTCAAAATCAGCAGGCGTATCTAAATACTGTTGTGCATACCTGTTTGTCTCCCTTGAAATCAGTTCAAAAGCTTCATTAGTCACTCCATGACTATATGCGTTATTGACAAAGCGTGAAGTATAGATGGCTGGATATTGGCCGAGTTCCTTTTTTTGCGCTTTTAGGGACCGAGACGAGGGCGAGGTCCTTTAAAACTATAAAAAGAACGAGGCTAATATCCAGCCATCTTGATCGAACAAGTTTGGCTGAAAAAGGGTCATTATACAGCAAAAATATTTCGCTTTATTAAGAATCAAGAATGACCATTTATTTCGGGAGCCGGGAAAGAAAGACAACTGTGTTTGTAGGGCAATAAACCCACAAGAGTCGTTTATTTCTTCTCTGTTCTGACTACCTTTAGCCGTTTTTTGCGACTCCATCGCCGACACTGTCCAAAATTTACGAAGTTTGTAAGTTCGCTCCACGCAATGTTTTTCTTGCACGGGATCAAAGCGGGCAATTTCGAGCGGGCATGAGTGGCCTAATTTGGATAGCCAATCAGATCACAACATCCGCTTTGTATTACCCAGGGAGAAAGGGAAAACGTTAGACCCCTCTCGCCATAAACAGAAAAAGGCGAACGGGAAACAACAAGGCAAGTTGGAAAGCGAGGCAACCATTTCTCCAAAGTCCCTGTTGATTGCGTTCACTACTTTCTTTCGCTCTTGTTTCCGAAAATCCTTTTCTTGTGTCACAGAGGAGCAAAGGCTTTTCCTTAAAAAATTATCTGTATCATTACTGGATGTAGAATCACTCTTTGAATAATTTCAAAATTGAAAGGTAAAGCGCTGCAGCTCATAATAACCGCGGCGCACACGATGAAAAAAGAAATGCGTACCGCTATAGAGTGCGCAACGAACAGAGGGGAACCTAAGGGAAGACCTCCCAAAGTAAAAATCTCTTGTAACGATGAGCAAGCATTCACAGCACAAAGACAAAGGATCACAAAAAGTTAACATAAGTATGATCTTTATTGTGTACGAGACAAAGTATAGTCGTTTTAAAATGTCGTATTAAGAGCCTGAAAAACTAAAAAAATCATGCTAAGATACCGCAACAAGTACTAACCATCTATTTACGCCGTTGACGTGTAAACATAACGCAAATCACAACGATAACTCGCTTCGCGGGACATAACTCAACTTCCGACTGGTTTAAATTTATGCATACGATCCGGTGAAATCGACTTGTCTTAGCCCGTGCACAGCCCTGATTCCTGTTTCAGGATGGTAAGCCAATAAGCGAGGGCGGAGAGCGAACCGATACGCAAGAGTTCCTCTTGATCTTTTCGCTCCGCGCCATTCATTACGAATGCTTCTTTCGACTACCCTCTTCCAGTACTCCAGCGTTCCATACTTCAATGCTAAAGCTGATAAACATATAAATTGGGTAGACATATGCTACAATGAAAGTGACTACCTTATTGGTGCAACAGCAAGTACTTACTAGACAAAACAGTAAATATGTCCTTTTGCTTTAAAAACAAGAATTTTACGGATTCTAATTGATTTTCGTGCCCGGTTACATTCCAATTTTCTGAGCCTATCCACAGCTTCACGGATTCACATCACGTATGTGTTAAATGACTGTCTAATCAACTGAAAATTACCATCAAGAAATTGATTGTCACCATTTCATCTTCGTGGTCAGATATAAAATCGAATATAACCCAAATCAATGAAAATTCATTTAACACATCTTCACTTCGAACATTCAAAATTTCTAGTAATTTTGTAGTATTTTTTCATTACATAAAAAATTATTTGATTTAAATAAATTGTCGCTTTGACCTTTTTTCACTAAAAACGAGGGCAAGTAAAATTGCCTATCCTAAACTGCTGCATGTCGACGACGTTAACACTAGCAAAATTAAATGTTTACATTGAAAAAGCTACTCAAATTTTGCCGCCATATTGTACTATCATCTTGCCGAAAGGCGGCAAAGTAATGAAGAAATTGTGGAAAAGTAAGGGAAGACGATACTTATTTGCAAGAGACTGGGACAAAGAAATCGTCCATGAACCCGTCTCTGTGAAAACGAAAGAGGTGACCTTTTGAAATTTCTAATTAAAGGTAAAATTATCTGAGCTTAAAATAAAATTTTGTAACATTCCAAAATAAAGGGGGCTTATATTTGTAAGTAAAAGGATCACCTGCTGCAACACTACCATACTTTACTTGGCTTTGCCTGAAAAAAATCCTTGCATATCATAATATTGCTAGAATGAAGGAAGCCAAACTTCGCCTACTTTGAAATAGCTTTTACTAGTTACAAATGGCTCGGCGACTGCTTCAATTTAACGGCTAGATTTTCGGCTATCTTATCAAGAAATTCAAAAGTATTTAGATAGTCCGACCGCTGAACGTTTGGCAATCCCTTTATGCACCCAGCAAGGTCCTTGGTCATGTCACCAGCTTCAATTGTTGCGATGCAGGTCTCCTCCAAAGTGTGGCAGAAGTTGGCAAGATTGTCATTACCTGATAAATTTAAAAATAATATTTTTCGTAAATGAAAAGCTACCTGGTAAAATCGCATATAGCATACAACACAGCGCGAACGGGTAAACGGGCAAATTTGGGCTGCCCAAGGCTGTCGGGGCTATTTTCCCGCGCAAATTTCGTAACCCTTTACACCCTAACATCTTTAGATACATTCTCCAAACTGTTCTCTATACATTTCCTAAACTGCTGACAAGGAGAATTTGTTTAAAAATCAAGAGCTCCCTTTGATAGAGACGATTTCCTTTATTCTCCTTACCATAATGTTTGATTCAAAGGTGATATCGTTGGGAGAAATTACATGCTAGTCACTCTTAAGGGTTAAAGGGTTATAGGAAGACAGTTGGAAAATCCGGTCTCGTGCAGAAGGGAAAAGAAACATTTGAGACTCTTAGAGGGCGACTGGTTCATCAGTTTTTACGTGTTTTTACCCTCATTAGATTAAGTTGGTTATCATCGTTATTCATTATCAATATCACACAAATTTTATTAAGTAACAGGTGTTCTACTGGTTTACCCTTTTGTTTTGAGCTTTCTCAAAAAAGTTTTACGCTTTTAAAAAAACTTGACTTTCTAGTTCGTAGGGTTTCCAGTCTGAAAGCACAATGTCGGGTCGCCTCTAAGATACTTAAAAATCGATTAAATCTAACAAACGCGCAGACGATTGACTGCTGTGCTAAAGTACACAACTCCGCAACCGGTTACAGCCCCCCCCTCCCACCCCCCGTTTTCCTTCTGCTCCAAGACCTCCTCGCAAATCTTAGTAGAGTTGTGCCGTCTGGTCTTTTTAAAGCGGACCCTATTTCAGACCAAAACATGCCATTTTCCAAGCCGTTTTCACACCTAGTCTGCTCCTGTTTTCAGCTTATTTAATAAAAATTCACTCACCATCTAGCTTAGCTCTATGAAGCAATCCTCTTGTCCATGCAAAGATGGAGGCTAAAGGATAAAAGATAATGAATCACCAAGTGTAACAGAAACACGTAAGAAGTGGCTGTAGTTAATAGGGAAGGTAGTATTTAAGGCTGAAAAAAGGTTCTCACAATTTCAAAGAATATTGGGATCTCATATCAAATACAACTTAAACAGCCTCAAAGGCGGGAAAACACAGGTGACCTAGTTGCGACTGGTTTAATTTTTGCTTCTGATTGGTTAAGAGTCGAGGTAATGACGACAGTTTTCTTAACCAATCACAGAGCGATACAAAGTATAGTCAGTATGAACCAGATGCAATCCAGTAAAATTGCCTGACTATTCCAACATCATGACTTCCAGGTGAGAATTGCTAAACAATCTTACCAACTGGATTTGTAGAAGTCTCCTTCCCTTGCTGATGCATACGGTAATGTCTCGTCACTGTTCCATGGGCAGCTTCAGCTTCAACTGTTTTTCCATCAGGACACACCAGAACACTGGTCATCATACCGAGTGAACCGAATCCTGCAATGCGCACAATTAATTCTTAAAGTTAAACAGCTACACTCTGATTAATTCACAGGAAAGGGTCTAAACACTGCCATACTGAGTATAATATTTATTAAACAAGTCAGCAAAAATGAGTTTTGCCTAAACTTATCACTGACTGGTTGGCTAGCTTGCAGGCAACAATGAATGGCACTTTAGTCAGACTAATGGCCAACATGGGTGCCTTAGAATTAATCAACACAGAATTAACAAAAAATAAATTGTACAAAATGAAGCCGTTTCTTCAGGCACACATCCTACCTTGAGCAACAGAATCTGACTGTACATCCCCATCATAGTTTTTACACGCCCACATGAAGCCACCTTCAGACTTGAGAGCATAAGCTACCATGTCATCAATCAGCCTGTGCTCATACCACAAGTTCTTTTCTTCAAACTTCTTTTTGTAGTCCCTGATTAAATATGAACATGGCAGCATGATTAAACGCATGCAGGTACAGTAAAGAACTGGATGTATCATAACAATTTATAATGGTAATAAGACCAAGTGGAGTCCTATTCAGTATGTACTCATAGAGTGATAAACAAAATGGGATGATTGCAAAGTGGGTGTCCAAGTTGTCAATCATGAGTGTGATTAAAGACAGAATTGGATGACACAAAATCCTAATACCAATTAATCATAACCATTAGAATTTCCAAAAACAACAAATAATACATTTAGGCCAAATATATGCAGTAGAATCAATGTCTAAGTAAAAACTTCCTCAGTTTTGGAAGTTCCACAGTTTTTTCAGGATATATGATTGTTGCTATGGTTATTGTGACCAATTCTGTGATTGGTGGATATGGCTGAAAGGACTGAGTATGATTGGGCGCTTCAACTGTGGGATTACAGGTGTCACCTTACAGCCAACTTCCTGATTACACTGTCTGATTACAACTGTACAGAATGATTAGCAAAAAACAAAGCACCTACATATAATGCACCTATCAAATCTGAGGAAACTGTTTTAAGATTAGACTCAAATTTGAAAGTCATACCCTTTTAGTTAGCTGCTTCCCTTATCAAAGGGGTACAAGGATGTATGGCTTGGTAATCTTGATTTCAGAATCAAGGCCAAACCACAACACCTGGAGCTACCTTCCCTAATCTTTTTGTTAAGTCTGTGGGTCCTCTAATGTCCCAAGCTAACAAGTGCAGTGAGGATACAGGAGACAGGGCTTACCATTCTTTGTTCTTATCTGACGAGACTAGAATGTCTAACCATCTGCAGATATAGCAAAGGCAGCACATTCTTCTCAATTATTTAAAGACCATGAGTGTTGGTACAGTCTAAGGCTCGAACCCTTGACCTCCCACATGGCAGTCCAGCACTCTACAACATGAGCTAGCCAGGCCATGGTTAAAAAGAAATATGGGCTCTTTAGCTCAAGCTTGGATCTCTTGATTCAGAATCTAGGACACAAACTGCTAGGCCACTGAAAATGACACCCTGGTCCCTCAATGGAGATTTTTTTCAAAAGGCACTTTTGGACTTTCAAAAGGCACTTTTGGACTTACAAAAGTGGCTACCAAATAGGAGTTTGACCGCATCTAATGATAAAATCATGGGAAGATGTTGAATATGACTTACTTTTCATAGATTTCTTGGAAAATATCCTTGAATCTACCATCATACTTTTTGAGAATTGTATTTTTTGTGCTTTAAAAAAAGAGAAGAACCACAATCAAGAATATGTCTTTCAGTGAAGTTTAAGAGCAAAAAACAAAACAAAATAAACAAACAAAAAACCCAGAACTTTTTGTGGACACACTGAGCAGTAACAAGTAGATACCAACCAGTAACTGGCAGTATTGAATTATTGCAGATAATCCTTACATCTATTTTAGTTACAATGATCACTATTACAAAAAAATTATCATTAACAATGATAACTTCCATTCATTCAAAAAATGAAAACATGAACTTTAAGTTAAAAATTGAATTATAATATAGCAAAATTATGTAAACTATTGCAACTTCAGGAAATTTAGAATCTTTTATCATACTTTTACCTCATGTATAAGGGATACTCCTTCTCAAGTGCATACTGAAAAGAACTGTGGGCAAAGTTCTTAATGGACTGAGGATAAACAGATAATTAATACTTAGATATTTTGTCTTCTACTGATAGCACCAAATTAGAAATAACTCAATAAATCCTCAAATGAGAACAGCAAATCTGGTTTGACAGTAATGACTGTTGATAAAATAACCAACTGTAAATAATTTGCCAACTCCTATAATGGTTAAAAATCTTACATTTATTATTATCTATTTAATAAATGTATACTGACAGGACCACACAATCTTTAATTTGGTTAACCTTTTAACCCCTTAGTGTGATAAGCATCAAATTTCTCCCAACAGTATCACTCTTAAATCAAACACTAAGGTCATGAGAATAAACAAAATGATCACAAACTCATGGAAAACAGCAAGGAGAGCCTGCAAACTGATGTCAGGGCATAAAGGGTTAACACTGCTGAGGAAGGCTGAGATCAAAGCTGGGAGTATCACACAAATTGTGTATAAATCGATGCTAAGAAAATTATAATAACATTCTTTTCCAATTATTGACTCAGTTTTATCCTATGTTACATGTTTACCTCATCAGTGTTGAACATCCCCATTGCAACTCCACCACCATCAGAAAATTCATGTACAACATATTTCACTGGTTCTCCACTGTCAGCAGGAGTGTATATCATCTCCACTTTACCCTTGCCTGGGACAACAAAGTCTGTTGCTTTGTACTGGGAAGGAAGAAACATGCGTTTAATTAATTTGGAATAAAATTTTAAATCATATGTATAATCATGTGTATAATCATATGTATAACATATATCAGTAAGTACCAAGTTGTTAATCCTGTTGACAACTTTATTACTGAAAGCTCAGTCATTCCCTAAGTTTGTTACTTTTGTTCATCAAATCACTTTGTTATCTCTACTGAAAACCACATTTTTTTTTCATGAATGAATGTTCTTTTCAGTTTACCATAAAATTATGTTAATATGAAGTCCAGTGGAATCAATAACATACTTGGTCTAGCTGGTAATTTGATAATCAATGCCACTTCAAAGCCTTTTACTTTGTGTGACCAAGGCAGAATTTGTCCTCACAATTAATCAATACAAAATCAAGCAGACAAGTGACAAAAATAAAGAAACATATCAGTTAGAAAATTATTAGTTGATCCAGTGTCAAGTTCTCTGAATTAAAACCACAAGAATTGTATAGCAAACATTAACAAAAATTACTTACATGATATTTTGGGAGTGAAAGGGTTAAGGCCACTTACAACATCACAAAACAATAAACACACCATGAATTGATGGAATTTACTGATTAATAATTTTTTTAGTTGATCAATACCTGATCAGCATGAGCATGGCGACCAATGATTATTGACTTCATCCAGCCGGGAACCAACCTTGGAATGTTTTTGCAAATTATTGCTTCTCTGAAGACAGTTCCACCAAGAATGTTTCGAATTGTCCCATTGGGAGATTTCCACATTTTCTTCAAATTAAACTCTGAAAGTCAAATTAACAACAAGATGAGTGCCACATACTTTAGATTGAATTTTGTTTGATGAAATAATTACTGTTAATAATAATAATAATAATAATAATAATAATAATAATAATAATAAATTACAATAATTAACAATGTTTTCACCAAGTGGAGGTGAATAGTGATGGGTATTTACTGAACTGCCAGGCAGCAAAGTAAATATCCATCCCTTTCACTGACTCTGATGTGAAAAACTGTTTTTAATTAGTATATACCACACAAAAATTGTTGGAAATTAAACTATCAACACACATAAACTTGTCTTATCCACTACTCAGAGGTTAATTGTTAACTTGCTAATCACTCCTGAACTAGCCAGCCAGCCAGTACGAAAATTACTCTTCACTTGTGTGGTTTGTGATAAAGCATAACAACAATAAGGGATAGCAGAATTATTACCATAAAAAAGGATGAAAATGGTATTTATAAGCTGGGGCTCATGACCCTCTGGTCTAACAGCTGCTGTTATTTTTAATAGAGAATTGGGGTACAGTTCCATGAATTTCCAGATTGTTTTAATAGATAATACATGTATATTGTTCCTTTTGTCATGTCTTCCATTAGAACAAAACACCATGCTACATTCATCCCAGCTTGTACTTTTAACCCCTTCGCTTCTGTGAGTGACCAAGACAGTTACAAGACCAAGTTACAATATCAATACAGTATCCAGCAAACATGCAATGAGAAAAAGGGAAAATATCAATTAGGGGATTTTTTGTTGACCCAATATCAAATTCTCTGAACTAAACTCTTAAAAATTGTGTTGCAGCCTGCAAGGAGAATAACAGTACTAAATATTCTTGGGGGCAAAAGGGTTACAGAAGATATTAAATAAAAAATAACTATTAAGTACTTATATGTTTCAAACAACTGGCATGATAGTACAAAATAAGAACTCAAAATTAAACAGCTATAGCATCTTTTTAATCCATCTTAACTGAACTGAGCGAAAAATTGCAAGTAAAATTGCATACTTCCAGACTCATTTCTTGGGAAAGTTGCTGGCCCCTCTCAAAGTTGGTCACTAAAGTACCATGTACAAACTGAAAATTGACAACATGGTACAGGAAAGAGAGGCAAGATAGGAACACAAGAAGCGTTAAAAAGACATGTCCCAACTTATTAACTCTAAGGGTGTAGTATGCTCTGATCAAGGCTACCCACCTTCCACTCGTTTCTCATCTGGAGTGATGGTAGCACACTTTATTCCTACACTGTATTTTCTTACTGCCTCTGCAGCTTCAACAGTGACTGAGGAGAAAAGCTTCACTTCATAAGATAAAATTTCAAAATTCAGATTGTTAAATAAATTAAGTTACAATTTTTTTTAATAGGGCAGGAAGGGGGAAACTGATGCATGTGTAAGTATGTCTAACTATGTCTACATATAGAGGTATAGTTGTATAAATTGATGGTGTCAAATTTGGCAAACATGGATTAAAAACAAAAATAAATGTATGGATTACAATGTCTGTATTATGATGTCTGTATAGCTTAAACATTAATTAACAATTGGTTCATACGTCAGTGTGTGTTCATCGAGATACGAGGCACGAGGGAAGTTTGGAGAGCACAAAAGATGCGTAAGAGTTGCTTGAGGCATAACCGAGAGCAACTCTAGCTTCTTGAGTGCTCTCCAAACTTCCCAAGTGCTTCATATCTCGATGAACACACAGCTGATGTATGAACCAATTGTTTTATAACATTTTCAACCAGATGGAAAATTTTTTTTTCTCGAGGGATTTGTTTGCTGACATCATGAGCATGCACAATAGGAATATAAAGCACACTTGCGCAATTGAATTTGATTACACAAATTTACTAGCTATGTTATAATTAAAAATCAAATATATTTTTAATTTTTGTACTTCTGGGGTTTGATCTTAACACCCTCTAAATAACAGATTCAATCTAACCATTCCCTGTTTGTGAATAATGCATGATTCAAAATGTCCATTATTTCTAGGAGCTGATGGGTTCATAAAAACCCTATAACAAATTTTTGCTGTGACTCAAATTTTTGTTTCTTTTTTAATCCAAAATTTTGAATAATTTGGTATTTAAAACAAAGGACACCAAAAATTTGGCTAGTCCAAGATATTTTGACATGAGAAAAACTTTAAGCTAAAACATATGCATGTTCTGATAGATTAAGAAGTGTAAACTTCAATAAAATGAAATAATATACCTTTGTCATCTGTTTCATCCCTGTTCTCAATGGAAAGGTCATAAGACTTCACATCTAACTCCACATATGGAAATATTAGTTTATCTTTAATGAGTTCCCAAATAATCCTTAAAGAAAAGGGAAAATAAAGTCAGGTGGTATTTATATAAGCAATCACATGATTTCAAGTGCAATTTGCAGTTACTATATAGGCACAAGTAAATTTTTCCAAGACAACAAAATTAAATGAGCCCATAGGACAAGTGCAATTTGAAGTTTTTGAACAATTTAGAAGTTCTTCACGCACCAAAATGTCAGATGAAAAAACATCACAGAAAGTCAAGACAAACAAATTTTTGAAAGTGTGTGTGCATTGTTTGTAAATTGCATTTGTGTTACAACTTTGCTCTTGTGTTATAACTAACTTTGCACTCATGTTACATGAGAATGCACTTATTTTCAGCTATAATTTTTTCATGTACATAATTAGATTGGGAAATTCTTTGACATGCAAATAGTTAGTTAGAATATGAGAACATCTCACATCTCAAAAGCATGACATATTCCTGACCTTGTTTTCAAGGGCTGTATAACACTATCCAAGGGATCAATCTCTATCCAGTGGATAGGGCTATCTAACCTTTGCATAACTGAGGTCACATTGGGAATAAGAACCGCAAGAGTAGAGTATTCTGCCCACAAATGCAACAAAATGATTCCATGCAAACATCAACCATTAGGGTTTAAAAAAAACAGTTACTAGCAGCTGCATGTGAGTCCTCTGACAGCCATCTTTTTGACCTGCAAGCATAGGCACTAGTGTCTGGGTTTTGCCTCACTACCCCTTTTCAGGCACAGCCCCCTACTATAACATTGCTGGCTGGTTATTAAAAATTTAAAGTTATTGAAACCAAGACCTGAAACCCTTGCAGATCTTTCACTCTCAAGCCCATGTGAAAATCATGAGGTTACCATGTCTTTCAAATTACAACTACCCATCTACCACAAAATTGTGGTAGATGGGTAGTAATTTATACACTACTCTTCCATCTACCACAAAATTGTGGTAGATGGGTAGTAATTTAAACACCACTCTTCCCACTATTAGGATATTTTTAATATTGCACTTCTAAGCCAAACAATAAAACCTCTCAAGGGATCTAAAATTAACATGTCCAATATATAAATAACAATAAATTGTTACAGCAATTGGTTCAGTCTCGCTATAATTACAGCTACTGAGCTCAGTATCTGAAGATCAAACCATAGAGGAATTTCCAATGCATAGTTGCATCAGCGATTTCCTCCGTTATTAATATTCCGGGTTGGAAATTTTTGTCTCGGCTTAAATGATATATTCGTTTGGCAGTAACTTTAATCTATCTTCGGACGTATTTATAAACAAATTTTTAACGGTGTACACCGAAAAATAAACTAACTTTAAAAAGCAATATGGCACATAAATAAAAAAATCAAGGTATGTTTTCACTACCAAATGAGATGGTGAAATAAACGTCTCGTCAGGGCATGGCCTACACAATCTTGTCACGAAACAAATTTCAAACTTAGTCAGCGAAAACTGACACTCCCAGCCATTGTCACACACAGTTGGTTCGTCCACGCGAGTTAAATCAGCATGTAATATGTACAAAATCGGCAATTTCAGTCCAATATTTTTAATTCATCGTCTGATGAATGACAATTTCTGTGAAAAAAAATCCTACAGATCTTAGCTAAAAAGTCACAGCACATTTAAATGTACATTTCTTTTAAATTTGACCCTTGCAAGTATGATGTTATTCGAAGACAACTGCAATTTTAAGTGAACTTTGTCCTTCAATCCCTTGAAATTAATATCTACATACCGCGTCATCTCGTCTCCTTTCATTTCGACCACTGGACCAGCTGGAAGGACAAGAAATGAAACCGATTTGTAATTCTCCCTGTTCGACTTAGGAACAATGCGATGACATATAAGCTCACATAGTTTTCATACTCACAGAAACGCCATCGAAACGAGAATTGTTAGACCATAAAATAAATTGCTATAGCAGCTCAAAAATCTATTAATTTAATTTAAGAAAGGATCGTTACGCTAATACCTTGTATCTTCGCCATACTGTGTTAAACAGAACGAAACGGAGCTTTTACTATCAGCTGACGGCTTACTCCAGACACTCCTGCAATAAATTACGAAATGTACCTAGGCGAACGTCACTCAAAGTATTTATGTTTCACAACGATTTTCCCGTGCAACCTTGCGTGTGTTGAAGTCGAAGATCTTATAAGGAAGAGCTCAATATCGTTTGGCTTGCTGTTTGGATTAGGCCAAGCCTCGCTAATACTAGAACCGAACAAGAGAGACTGATTTGTCATGATAACTAAAAATGTAAGAATTTAGAACGCTCTGAATTATCACTTCTGTCGCATGTCGAGGAATCAGAATGCAACGTTCTGATGCATGTTAATTATTCAAACGCTTTTTGTTTGACAAATTGTGCTGGCAAGACCGGACAGCGCTTCGAACACTTTCGTTATAGGAAGTTTCATTCTGCTTCAAGCCAGAGTCTTGGCGTGTTCCGAGCGTCCAATTTGCAGTGATAACAGAAGCTAAGCCCTCCAAAATAGTGGATAAATTTCACAGCTGCTAGTAACTAAGTTCGAGTCAGGAGACGCCCCTTCCTTAAAAAAACAAAACAAAACAAAACAAAAAAAAAACAGAAACAATAAATAAATAATGACGTATTCGGGATTTCCTTTCAAAGATGATTATGTGTTTTTCTTTTTTTCGTTATGTTTATTTTAACTATTATGATGATTTTTATTTTGTTTTGTTTTTTTCTAGTGGTCTTTTGCATTTTCTGAGCTTTGTTTTCTTTTCGATTGCGAAATCACTTCAGCGAGAGGAAAATTTTATAACGAGCCTTTTACTTCTAGGACCTCAACATCAATTATCTTTACTGTCTGCCATAAATATCCTGTAACTTAATGGACTCTAATAATTTGTCAGTAAATCCAGCAATACTACCAAGATGATGTTTCCTTTTCTTCTGCCCGAATGATGAAAGGAGAACTTACTTATTGGTCATCCCGAGGTTGAAAAGGTAAACAAATTTAAGACAATATTTCAGATTTATATGCACTTCTTGAAAGCGAAAAAAAGCAAACAAACGAAGAGAAAATTAACCTTTTCGTTTGTCATGGCAATCTAGTGACCAGAATTATCGAGACCGTATTCCTTTGTTACCAAGGAGTCTTTTTTATTCTCTAAACCTGAATCCTTGACTTTGTATTAAACATAAGGAGAGATTTACAAAGCGAGCACTCCTCACAACCAAAGAGTTGATAGAAATAACTATAATGAATAATAATAATAAAATAATGATAACAAGAATAATTGGCTGGACTGGGCAGGTTATATCAAAGGGGTAATTTTCGATTAAGGAAAACAATGATCAGATTATTTCTAAGTTTTACGAGGAGCTACAGCTGTTGGCTTCTGTTTTATCGCAAAGGCCTTAGAATTCAAAAGACCTTACCTCTTCAAGTGCATTTTTAAGACAGGATGCTGCTTTCGGATTTGTTTCAGAGAATTGCTTTGAGCAGCACTTTGCATGTGCTGCGTACCTACTCCGAGGAAACGGTTGTCATGGTAGTATCTAACACAAGCTGACTCCAAATAAGGCTAACAACGTCATTACTGAGGAAGATGGCGGTCACATACAGAGACTATACCCTAAATTCAGCTGTGATTTGCTAATATTTCCCCATCAAACGCTTTTGTAAGAGCAGTGTTGTGAAAATACAGCCACATTCTGTATATGTGATGATGTAAACCAAGATCGGTCGTTTTTCTTTGTTCGCAAGGTTTTCCCGAAGATAGTTATGCGCACAGCATGATGCGGTTCGTAGAGATCCGAAGATGAGTTTTTCAGCTTTTTACAGATTTAGCCCTTAGCGTGGTGGCACAACAGAAAGTAGATTCCTCGAAAAACCTCAGAAGTCGTGCAGTTGATTCCAACTAAAGGTAAGATAAATGAATCCCTAAACTTAAAAGGAAGTCTCACCACCTCAATTAAGATCTTCGTGTCATTAATTTTTCCACGGTTTCCATGATACCATTGTTTTCACGCTTGATGTAATGTCAATTTTCTTCGTTAGTTGTTTTACTCTTCGATATAGAGCGAACTTTTGAACTAGTCAATTCAAGGATGCAATTTTTCGCGAATAAAGGGAATGATACCAATTTTTGCTCCAAACCAAATAGTATGAACTTACACAGATAAGCTTTGCTAATAATTTCTATCGAGGAAAATTCCATGAAGGTCGAGCTAAATTATTAATCATATTTGACTTGGTTTAAAATTGAGGTACAGCAGGTCGAATATATGGATCTTCCCTGGGAACGATTGTGTGACAGGTGTTATACCAGTTTGTGCAACTTAAGTTTGAACACACATCATGTACTCAAGGGCGAGCTTTTAACTTCAGCCCCATAGGTAAATGTGTGCTGAGTTATCACCTGAAGTATTATCCCATTTATAAATAGGGTCCTCGATTTGTATATGACCATTTTCAATGGTGGTAAAAGATGCTAAAATTTAATTTTTATTTCACACTAAGAAATTGGGTTTCGTGTTTGTTGTCACATTTCATTAACCTTGCAGCTGACCAGTGCAAACTTCAATGCTAAAATTTTTATTTTTTAAACTTAATTTAAACACGGTGTTTTCATTTCAGGTACAATTTCTTAGAGAATTAAAACCCTGAACAAACTAACAAAGGAAAGGTTAACTATTTGTTATAAAATCAGTAAACCTGCTCTACAAGGATGTTGATGTACAGTATGTAAGATAGTGCTGATTAATCTGGCTTTGGAAAGTGTGGTTTTTCCATTTCATTTTTAATTCATTGAGAGAGTTTGATTCTTTTACCTTTATTCCATAACACAGCTTCCCTATAGCTAAAACTTTGTTTACAATGATTAGTTGGAGGTTGAGAAATAGATACCTTTAGCATCCAGCATTTCTGAGATTGTATGTTAGGACTTCATCATGCAGACAAAAGTGAGAACTCAAGTAGATTGGAGTCTTCTTGGTTATGGTGTTCTTCTTCATAATTGCTTTACTTATGGCCTGTCAATGATATTAAGTTTATTTTAATTTGAATTACTTAAAACCTCATTAGTTTAACTATCATAATTAGAGAAGGATATGATATGTGCTGCACAATTCTGTAGCCTTTTGCAGTTCCTGAGATAGTATGACACATAGAAAAACAAAAATCAAAGTAGAGCAGTTTGAAAAAGATTCATTCTAAGCCAAGGAAAATTTTGATCCATAACATTTATATCTACCATGGTATTACACAATATATGAATCTCTTTGGCTTATTTAACAAAACTTCTCATTCTTATTTCTTATTCGACAAGAATCATGGCTGAAGCAGTCAAGGTGATTGTTCGTTGTCGGCCTCTCAACCAGCGTGAAAAGGACTTGAATTGTGAGGTTGTGGTTCAGATGGATTCCTCTACAGGGCAGTGTGCTTTAAGCAAACCTGGAGATAAGACACAGCCACCAAAAACTTTTACGTTTGATGGTGCATACTATATCGACTCTACTACTGAGACCATATACAATGACATCTGTTTCCCACTGGTCGACGGAGTGTTAGAGGGATACAATGGTACTGTGTTTGCCTATGGTCAGACAGGATGCGGAAAGTCATTCAGTATGCAAGGTATAACTGACCCTCCCACTCAAAGAGGTGTTATCCCACGCGCATTTGAACATATTTTTGACAGCATTCAAGTTGCAGAGAATACCAAGTTCTTAGTTCATGCCTCTTATTTGGAGATTTACAATGAAGAAATCAGGGATCTTCTTGGAAAGGACCATAAAACAAAGCTGGAACTTAAGGAACATCCTGATAGAGGGGTCTATGTCAAGGATCTTACCATGAACCCTGTGAATAGTGTGCCTGAAATGGAGAAGGTTATGGACCTTGGAAGTAAGAACCGTTCAGTAGGTGCTACTCTAATGAATGCCGACTCATCAAGATCCCATTCAATTTTTACCATAAACATAGAGATTATGGAGACAGCTGATGAGAAGGGAGACCACATTAGAGCTGGTAAACTCAACCTTGTTGACTTGGCTGGGAGTGAGAGACAATCTAAAACTGGCGCTACAGGAGACCGGCTGAAGGAAGCCACAAAGATTAATCTGTCACTTTCAGCTTTGGGAAATGTTATATCTGCTTTGGTTGATGGAAAGTCAACCCACATTCCATATCGGGATTCCAAGTTAACCAGACTGCTTCAAGTAAGTATATTGTGATTTCTGTCAAGCCAAAGTATCTATCCTCTGAGCAGAGTTCTTTTGATCTTAGAAGATATTGGAAAGCTCTAGACTTTGATGAGTGTGCTCTACACTTTAAAAAGTTTTAGGGAATGTGAAAGGCAACTTTTCCTTTGCAACCCCAGTAGCACACATGTGCCTCATTATGTTTTTTTTCTGAAGTATAAAGTGAAAATATTGCCAATTCTACTTGATGGGTGGCATCATTTGCATTTGGAAATAATCACCAGTTGGCTGGTATCTAATTATTCATGCTCCAAAGTGGAGGGAGGCACTTGGAGAATCAAGTGTCATGCACATGGATGCATCAATATAACTCTAAATAGGGCTTACCCCTTTGCCTCCCAGAAGTGATTAACGTGTAAATTCTCCTTGTAAATTCAATACATTATCTACTACTCAGGTAATGAGAATACTCAAATTTATCATGTACAAGTTGTTGTTTTTCTCCAACACCAAATTCTTGTAATTGATTTACAAGGAAATGTGAAGCAGCTAGAGGGGAGAATTAACAATCAGATCTTGGGAGTTAAAGGGTTAACTGGGAATCTGTTGATATGGAGTCCACTTAGTGACTGTGTCTCCTGCAAAATTCATGTTAGTTATTTAAAATCCCTTTGTGCAAGGTCATTTCATCAATGGTCAAACCTAATGGAATCATTGATAGAGAAAAATGTTTTGACCTTTTTAGGATTCCTTGGGTGGAAACACCAAGACATTGATGGTTGCCTGTCTAAGTCCTGCAGACAACAACTACGATGAAACTCTGAGTACCTTGCGCTATGCAAATCGTGCAAAGAATATTAAGAATAAACCTAAGATCAATGAAGATCCAAAAGATGCACTTCTAAGGGAATACCAAGAGGAAATCCAGAAACTTAAAGCAATGTTGATGGGGCAGATGGAAATTCCAACTGATTTTGCAACTGGTAAGGACAATTTAAAGTTGACTTTGAACGTTGCCATAACAGTTTATATTTAATGTAAGTATATAACCTCTTGTGTATGAACTTTAGCAGGAGGCCAGCCCTCTGTTCCCGCCCGTCGTATAGATGCACCACCACAGGATCACACTGCCGTTGTGGCCAGGGAAACTGAAAATCTCAGGAAAGAGTATGAGGCAAAGCTGGCTGAGATGAAGTCATCTTATGAAGCAGAACTTATGTCCAAACAGAAGCTTCAAGAAGAAATGGAACAACTACAAAATGATTTCAACAACAAGGTACACAATGTTGAGGAACAATACAGTGGCAAGACTGCTTTGACATCAGTCACCCCAGGAGGGATGGGGACAGGTGGCCAACAGGAAGAGGGTGCTATTGGTATGATTGCCTCGGCAAATGAGATGGTGGGTATTTATAGTTACTTATGAGGGCTACCAAACAGTGGGGCAGCTGTAGTTTGGTTTACTGTTGACAGAAATGTAATGTCCTGATTAATTGTGGTCACCATGCTTGTTCAAGAGCTAATGACCATCACACTTCATCACCTGGTCCATTGACTGAAAAATAATACCATGTTCTTGGATGCATGCACGTTTATCTGCCTGATAATGTGATTTTAATGCACTGTACAGGGTGTGCAATGTTATACTGGTTGGTGGGACAAATGTTACCCTTTATTCCTGCAAGAGGTTTTAGCCAGATAGTTACCTAAATTCTCAGCCCAGTCTGTTTTCCCTTTGCTTGCATTCCATCCACATAAGTGTTTTTGTTTGTTGTTGTGTCTTTCTGTTTGTCTACTGTTTTTTTCTTTGTTTCACTCTGTCTGTATTTCTTTCCTATATTGGTCTGTCTGTCAATCATTTGTGTGTGTTCATCCTATTTCTGTCTATCTTGCATGTCTGCCCACTGTGTCTGTTTATCTGTTTGTTGATTCTCAGTCTGTCTTTCTGTCTGTCTGTCTGTGTATTCTCTCTCTGCTTGCTCTATTTCTGAAGTTGTTGTGATCTCTGTTGATTGTTGAACCTAAAAAAACACTCATATCCTCAAAGAAGGTATTCCTCTTCCACATTTTGTTTTTCTGTCTGCATGTGTCTGTCTATTCTCTGTCTGTCTGTGAGTCTCTCTGTTCACTGTGTGTCTGATTTTCTCTGCTAGTTTGCCTGTCTAATCTTTGTCCATCTGTTTGTCTGTCCGTCTGTCTGTCTATTCTCAGTCTGTCAATCCTGTCTTTCAGTCTTTCTTGTGTCTTTTTACTGTGAGTCCTTCCAACTGTCATGTCAGTGTGTCTATCCAGCACCAACGCATGTTTTACGATGACAGACGAACACGACATTTTAATTAACCCTTTATTTCCATTGATTCCTGCCAGGATCAGCGTCCAAACACAGAATTGGATGTGATAACAGGACCTTTACAGGGCATGCAGGACTCTAGCCACCATCAGAGTACGTTTCAGGCAGTTCAAGACAAGGCTATCAAAAGCGTCCAGGAGGTAAAGAACCTAATACCCGGACTGGAAGACTTACGCTTTTTAAGTCAAGGCCTTCCAAACGATGTATTGGTCAAAAGATTGCAAGAACTTCAAGAAAAATTTGTGGGTGGCGAGAGAAAAAATGACCAGAAGTTAAAGGAGAAAAGAAAGGTTAGGAAAAACTATGCTCTGTCACAAAGAGAAAAACTTGCCAAGGCAGTCAAGAAGATGGAGGATGATGGCATAATGGTGAAGGTTTACGATAATTTACAGGATGAAATAAAAGCCAAGAACAATGTCATCAATGAGATGGAAGGGAAATTAAAGTCTGCGCAGTCAGAGATCGACGATCTGCAAACTGAATTCGAACGTGATCGTGAAGATTACTTGGAAACGATTCGTAAACAAGAGCAAATGATTAAGCTTCAGCAACAGATTTTAGATAAAATCCAGCCGTGCATTCGCCGCGACTGTAACTATTACAACATTGACAGGATTCGCTCGGAGAGCTCTTGGAACGACGAATTAGGAAAATGGAATATCCCTGAACTTGTTATTACGAAGACGACTCTTCCAACCCCTGGGATTATGCCGGGTGCGGGCACCCCCGCCCGAGGCCGGAAGTCCCCCATTAATAGACCCCAGATGAACAGTCAAAGCCAAGCTGTCAACGGACACGTGGGGGGATACCCTGAGGAGCCAAGTGAAGATCTCTTTCTGAAACATCTTTCGCGGAGCTCTCATGCAGACTACGCATCGAGTTATTTTAAACCTAAGAGAGCTGACCGCCTTTTGGCTGAGAATACCCGGTTTGAACGATTTGACAGACGAGAATCACCTCCCTCAGGGGGGTCCCGCCCTCAGCTCGGATTCCTTGGGACCGGAGGATCCAGCGGAAACTTAAACAATGGGGCACCCCAGGGAAGCGGTGGAAGTGTGGGAGGGATGCCCGCTATGGGAAGACCGGTTAGACTAGAATCACTACACATGCCTGGGGAAAAGGAGAAAAAGAAAAAGAAACATAAAAATGTGGACGAGAAAAGAAAGGACGACTGGTGATTAATCTAATTGGCGTGCTATCCAAATTGTTAATCTCCGAATGTAATCCCCTTTTTTAGGGGCAAATATGTTTGTTATATAATTTGATTCCTTGTAGTTCTTCAGCAGAACTGTCACATTAGGCGGAAGTTTTAAAGTTTGACCAAAACCTCTGAATATCGTTGTGCGATTTGACTTCTCTTTGTTGGAGTGTCAGGCAAACATCGATGAGTAGACCCCAGGAGAACCGTCTAAGAAAAAAAACACGCGTGAGAAGCTAACGATAGACATACACACAGAGCTATGTATCAGGTCTTAAACGTGCTTTTGTGCGAAAGCGCTCGAGGCAGCTTTCACAGAATCCTGGAAATCAGGAACTGAGAAATTTCTTAGGAAATTCTTATTCATTAGTATTTGTTGAAGTGCTCGTAGTTAGATAATGTTCACTGACTTTACTTGTAAATTGATCGAGGGCTAGTTTTGCACAGCTTTTAAAATTTACTATAGATAGTAACTTCATTCAGCAATGGCTGAACTTGTAAATGAGTTATATAAGTTAAGTCTCTTATTGATATTTTGACAAGAAATTGTAGAAAACTTCGCCCTGAGAAATAACGTATTCTATGAAGTCTTAGACTAGATTTGTCTGTCGTAATGGCGACTCTTACGTAAAAAGTCGGAGTGACGTGATGCGATTGAGATCTCAGTGAAATATTTACAAAGACTTCCTTTACATGACAATTCGAAGTTCGGAGGTGAAAGCTCATTTTCCGTGAAAATGATATTCATGTCAAAGGTTCACATTTATCTATGTGTACACGCAGTAGAGATACTCGTAAAAAATACCAAAGACATTGTAAATAAAAATAGGTCTGTAGATTAAAACAGCTATACAGTGGTATCTGTTGTACAGAGGAAGGGAATGGTTTCTGTGATTTAAAAGCGATATTAACTACGTGCATAGCCACTATTTAGGGTAAATCGACACTTTGTCAAAGTTGTAATGTATATTGAATATTCAACAGACTGTCCAGCCTGAATCTCTCGGTGACCGTGTGCTAGAGATTTCCAAGTTCTATATCGTGTACATTTTCCCTTTCTGGGGAAAAGGCTTCGCAAGAATCTTTGTGTAGCTCGGTGTATTTTGTAAATAAAAACAAAGTGTGGAAGAGGAATACCTTCTTTGAGGATATGCTTTTTTTTTTCGTTTAATAATCAAGAGAGATCGCAACAAATTCAGAAATAGAGCAGAAACATTTTCACAACAGGAGACAACGAATTAATTCGTCCACCGTATTGTTAATTTAAGCATTGGTGAGTGTAGTACTTTCTCTAGCGTATTGTTAAATTGCATTACATTTTCAGAGTTTGCCCAAAACCTTTGAATGTTAACGAGCAGTGGTTTACGTCGTCAGTATTTCAAACATGATTCGTAATTCGCTTAATACTCTTCTTCATACCAATCTTTTTTAGCTGTTTTTTCCAAATTTCGCGAAACAATGGTGATTTTATGGGTGAAATACAGAGACATCATCGATCTATCAACTTACTCTGCATAATATAGCACGACGGGTAGCGAAAATATGTACATCAGTATTTGAACAGGGAAACTGTTTAGTGTAAATTTTGTCACATCGAGTGGCACTTCCTTTATTACTGCAGTGGGCTGGGTCTGATCCTTAAGTTCTGTTGAATTCTGTTACATAGATGGCTTCCAGGGAAAAGTTGCTTGACTGCAAGGGACATTTTTAAAGGGCATGTAAACCCAAAAAACGTTCATTTTCTTTTCACATAGATGTTTAGTAAATATATCAAGTACATCAAAGGTACCATTCGTTTATTCTCAAAAGTCCATTTTCACTTTGTAAAAGCTCTTCCAAATTCGAAACATTCGCCATCTTGAATGGCGCCATCTTTCCCGTGACGTCACGGGTGGACCCTCCAAAGTCTCGTTTTATAATCACGTGAGGCACGAAGGAGTCTTTTCTACAGCCGTTGTTTGCTGGTCTCATCATGATTTTTTTACTTACAGTTTGCTTCAATATATTCGATTTTTTCGTAATGGTGAAGCGTTGTGTCGTCCAGTTTTGTACTGATTCAAACAAAACTGGGCATACAATGCAAATATTTCCAAATGACGCAAATTTGAAGCGACAATTTGTGAAATTTGTACAAGTGAAAATAGCCGATTTCGTCGAGCCGTTCGAACGTTCTGTTGTTTGTAGCAGTCATTTTTCTTCTTGGTGCTGTACCGACGATTCAGGCCTCACTAGAAGCAAATTATTCGGAAGTATAAAAACGATCCATACAGTCGGCAGACGACGAGGATTCGGAAGTGGCCGACCGAACTGAGAAAGAAGTTGAGCTCTTCAAAAGTTAGAGGTCAACAGAGAAAGTACAAAATCGATTTACATGAAAACGTTTCGTTAATTAAACAACAATAGCTTTATTGGTTCTCTAAAAAGATCTTTTTTCTCATCTAATGAAATATTATGGGGAAGCCAGTTGTTCGGGGGCCAGCGCTGAGCCGTTAAAGACACTGACATGTCTGAACCTTTGCCTGAATTCGAAACACGTATCAAAGAAAGAGAATTCGTTGATATCAGTGTGTAATAACGTGATCTGGAATTTTGTCGGTTCGATTCAAAGAATTCTATACAGGATCCCATAATCAACCCTTATGTTCTATAAGAAAATCCAAGCCAGCCCCGCTTGGTGCTTCCTTTGAGAAACCCTGCAGAGAAACAGCAGAAGAATTTGTGTCACGGTTTTCACAGCAGTGAAAATAAATTCAAAGGTCAGTAGGACAATATTCATCATTTTGAGTACAACTTAAAAGATCCTGATTTCAGCTTGCAAAACTATCTTTTCAATATTTCAAATCGAAGCAAACACAAACAGGGTTGGATAATTATGAAGGCCACACAAGGAAATGTACATGATAAAACTTGTTTATCGATGGAAATGCTTCTGAGATGAAGGATATTGTTTACCGCACAAGATAGCACAGCGACCCTAAAGAGTTTGCCGAGATATCCCCAACACCAACGAACAAGCTATCTGTAGGCAATTAAACGAAATTTCCTGCCAGGAAAGAAGCGAAAAACAACTAGCTCTAGTACTGTATTATTAAATCAATGGCAGAAACAACTCAAGTAAATCGTTCTCAAAATGTAACAAAACAGATGAAACAGAAAATATTTAGCTTAGTCGTTTCCGGTGTGATTATCTGTGCTTTGCTGCTGCCTGTACGCGTACTTGGCCGTCTCCAGCACCCAGAAATCGAGGCAAATTGACTGAAAACCTGGATGCTCAGTGATATAACTTATCTGGGTTTCAGGCCATTTTGCCACAATTGCCCGATTTCCGTACAACAAACACTTTCATGAGTTGTCGGCATTGGTTGACAAGTTCCACACTCGCATCTTTGATAATTTTATATAAAACACTTTCAGAAGCTCAAGTTAAAAAAAATTCTGTTGCATTCCTTTAGATTGTACCCTCGCTTTATTGCATTTTCATGTTAAATACAAATAAATCACAAAGTAAATTAAATACCAGTCTGAGTTTCCGAGACGGTCGCATCGCTGTCGACATGTTCTGTACTGTCTTCGTGCGGATCGCTTCGGTGAACCCTTGTTATTGTTAAGGACGTGGTCCAGACTCTCCTGAAGATTCTGGATTATCCCCAGCGCTGTCATGTACTAAGCTTAAGGCATTCGAGTCGCTATCTTCTGAAAAAACATCTTCCGAACTACCGCTACTTACACGAACTCCCACACCAGTTCTACTGGGGAATATGTGTTGCGCAATATTTTGGTTCCACCGCTTACGTCACGACTTCTCGCTATTGTTTTTACCGGAAATGGAATTTCAGTTGAAAATGCCGATTTTCTCCTAAAATAAGTCGAATTGGACAAAACTAATTTCTAATTCGTTTTCTACGCCACTTTTTACATAGTATAAGAAAAACATGTATTTTGGGGTTTACATGCCCTTTAAGGTTTCCGTATGCTGTGATCATTTAAGTGTGTCATTGCACAAGGCGAAGAGAACTCACGCGATTACATTTTACTAGCAAATGGAAAGGCCTTTCATTTGCTGGACACTGTTATCATAAAAATCACCTTTCCTCGATTGTGATTGGTTTAAAAAACTCTTGTTTTTCATTAATTCACTTATCAAGTTGTTATCAGTCAGTTTGTTATCAGTCAGTTTGTTATCAGACAGTTTAATAAGCTAATCACATTCAAAGTTGTAGTTTAAATCAACCAATCAAAACCTTGGTTTCAATCACAATGACAATATTTTAGAAGACAGAAGTAGTTTTGTTTGGAAATTGTAATTTTTAGGATTAATTGGTAATAAGACTTCATGTTGTCCAATTCGGTCAGTAACTACACTCGTGTCGCTGGAATAATTCGTTCTCTTATCATGAGGTAGCCACGCTTGATACGTTTTACCGAATAGAATAGTCCAGACGTTTATGCATGTTTTCTAGACTAACTGATCTGAGATACTACAATAGCAGGCGAAGGTGAACCTCATCTCTGTTACAATGGGCAGATCTTGATGAATACCGAAACGGTAACAGTTTTCCAGAAATACACACGTTTCCTAACTGGAGAGGCTTATAAAATATGTCGGTGAAGTTGAGTCGGTGTAGACACAAATTCCGTGACTCAGTGCTATATGTTGTCACGCAACATTCAACAAGTCATCAAGGAGTCACGGAATGGTTTTACTTCAGTATTTCACTGATCATTTCTCTTTCTTTTTGTGGCATAAAGGTCGCTTATAGAATGTCGAGCCAAACTACTACTACTACAAGGAGTGATCAATAACAATGAAATATATTTTTAAAACATTCAGCACTTCTAGCCTGCGGCAAACATTACCTTATCACGTGACTGGCAAGCTTAGCTAGAATGCAAAGGCGGGGCTTGGCAGTTTCCTCGTGAAATCAGCAAGTTGATGAAGTGAAAGTCGCCTTTCAGCTAAAGAATCCTCGTGTTTCATCCTTTCTGCTCCGCTCTGAACTTGTAAAACAATTCATTATGTAAATTTCATTTAATCAAGTTGAAGTTGTACAACAGCTGTAGCTCAGTTTCATCAAACACGGACATGTACAATTGTGGAGTAAAGGTGAAATGGAGGTAAGGTTGTAGTCAGCTAACTCAAGCGAGAATGCATCTATTAGATGGTTTTACTGGATGCTCAAGATTTCTAACTCATGAACGCACGAGAAAATGTAATATTGCATGTTTCATTGTGGCTTAAGTGATTTTTGTAAATTGGCATTTACAGTAGTTGTTTACGTACATAAAAGATCAGCAACCTTCAATGCGTCATCACGAAAGAGAAAGTTGCCTATGTCATCATGTTCCTGTTTATCTATAGGGAGCCTTGCGCATGAATTCTTTGTTTTTCCAGTATCTCATTGTTGTCTGGTTGTTCGTTTGTTTTATTTCAATTACTTGAGACTGTTCTTTTAAAATCGATGAACTTAGAATTCATCGGTAACTGCTTGAACACAGTGCATCAACTTCAACGTAGTGAGTATCGTTTAATCGACATCAGTTTACAAATTAAAGCTAAATTCACCACATTTAAAAGCATCTCGGCCAGGAGAAATAGTCTTAATACAAGTAAACCGAAATGTTAAAGCCAAGACAACCGATATGAAACATTACTTAAACCTGATTCAAACTTTGTACGCTGTAAATTACCATTAAGGAATCGCGCCCATTGGAAAACGTCGCACGGGAAAATGCAAATAAGCTACAAAAGAGAAAGAGAGCATGCATAACTTCACACAGGCCTGTCAATCTGACTGTCAATCATGTAATCCTCCGTGTATGCCGTGTTCCCAAGTATTGTTTCTTGCTCAGACAACCGAAACGTAGCGCTATTCATCGATGAAGAATAGAAGTAATTAATAGCGTTATCTTGATTAGTCTAAATTGTTTAAAAATCGGTCAGATGTAAAATTAAATTACCCTTCAAATGTCGAGTTTTTAATTTGTTTTAAGACTAAAATGTGGCAGATTTACGAGGTTTGACCATCAAGTTCGCCATGAAAGCAAAATAACATTACAGAAATATTTCTTTTTAGCCAGTTATTGCTGTCAGTTTCAGATAACACGTTGGCAAAGTCTATTTACTTTTCAAAAAGCTTAAGTATACCTTGTAAATTCCCACTCCACGTAAGTACACGCTCAGTTCCAACTCAGCTTTACCAGCATTTCATCTCTTTCAAACAATACTAATTGCTCCAATTGTATCCCCATTGTCTCTAAAGGACGCAAAGTGAAATTTTACAAATCCCGTTTAGGAATTTGTCAATTCAGATCTTAAGAGACTGATGCTGGTGGTGAGCTTCTGCATCCTCATTCCCAGGTCATTATACCCACAGAGCATCATCGGTACCCCACTTTTCCTGGGTGATGCTTTTCAATGGGCACGATTCTGTAATGATTTGTTGATGTTTAAGTTTCTTAGAGGTGTGTTAATGTGACAAGCATTTATGATCACGACTTTGCCCAGTTTCCTTTCCTAACAGTTTATGAATTGTTAACTGTCAGTCACTTTAGTATTGACTTAGATTGAAACTTCTTTTTCTTAATGTTGATTTTGATATCTTGAATTTGCCATTTTGACAATAGTTTGATATAATTTATTTTTCAAATATCACTGCTATGACACTGTTGGGTATATACTGATGAGTAGCACAATCACCATGCCTATAGGGGGTTGACTGCAAACTGTCATTGATTTCGTCTGTTTTACATTTTATTAAGGCCAAATCTTTGCTTAGAGGTATGGTTGTTCATGTTGATTATTGTAAAAGCATAAAATCAGAAAACCGCATTACCGTCGAAAATACCCGGGAAAGATGACAAATTGAGCCAATTTTGGTTGTAATACATAACACAATCTCAGTGGTAAAAATTTTTGAAATACATAATTTTCAGTAAAAAGAAAGCTTGTTTTTAGCAAACAAATGACACCCAATGATAACGCACAATAAACACTACATTTGAGCAAAACTTTAACATTTCAAGTTTATTAAAACACATAGAAAGGATTCATCATTCCTGAATATCCTTTGTGTAACGCTGAGTTTCAGAATTTGGAAGTATACCAAGTTGTTGTCCACAGATTGACTAAACTGGAATCCTGTGGGAACAAAAACACATCAACCAAATGCTCATACTTGGTGTTCTAAAATAGTGAAAAATCAGTCTAAAGGATTGACCATAAACAGAGAAATATCAGTGTAAAACAGTCGCCACAGTTTTCTAAAATCTGGTTATGCAATAATATTTTTCATCAACTTACCTTCTCCTTTGCCACTTAATACTTCAAACACGGCAAAGTCGGGTTTCGAAATTGATTGCACTTCAATGCTCATAAGTTTCCCTTGTCATTTCCAAGTTTTCGTGTCCATATCTTTAGAAACAGCCAAAATATTCACTTTTGACCAAGTCGCTACACTTTTTACCATGTTGACGCCATATACTGAGAATGGAGTCTTGCCACCATTGCCACCAAAAGCACTATGAGATCTGCTGTTTGCTCTGCCATTTTCGCTTTCATCTTTTCATCTCGTGTTGAAAACAGCTCGGTGACCTTTCCTGTTTTGTGGGTTTCTGCGACATTATCAAGGTTTCAGGGTGTTCAAGGTAAATAGTTTTTCTGGGATTGAGCAATTTGTAAATATCGCTTCAAGTGCGCAGGAAAAGAGGTATGGCTAACGAAAAGGAAGAAAAGCTTTCGAGGATCAAAGAGTGGAGGAGGAAAAAGCAGGAAAAGAATAGGCTAAAGAATCTAAATTATAATGAAAAGAATTGCAAAAAGAGAATTGAATTTGCAAGAGAAGAATGGCAATGTGATCTTCAAGTTGTAAAAAGAGACAGAAAGTCAGTTTTTATAGTGCCAGTTGATCTCAATGAGGAGATACTAAGCCTCCATGTAATACAAAATGGTATTATTTTTACTTTTTACTGTATCAGTGAACTCGAAATTGATTATTTGTGAAAAAGACCACACCCACAAAGGATTATTGGTAAATACAAATTTGAATCAAATGCGACAAAAATGAAATAGTTTGAAATAAATCAGTTGTAATTATAGTAAATGTGAGTTTAAAACAGACCTAAAGAAGTGATTTTGTCCCAAACTAGCAACTTTCACATTTTCCATACATGTTACAGAAGTTGTTATGGTGATTGTGCCACTCATCACAGTTAAGTTTGAATCCTATAATGGTGAGATAACTCCACCTGTAGTTCTAATTAACTCTCAGTGGCTTCACTTCAAACAGCTTTGCTTTGCCCAATTTTTGTTAACTCAGTATTATTTCCGGTGCCTAGGCACCGGAAATAATACTGATCTTTACTATACTCTGACAAACTTTCAAGTCCACATATATAATAAAAATCATTAAAGCAGTAAATTAAAATAAAATAAACACCACACAGAGGTAAGAGACTGATAGAAGTGATAAGGTAACAAGTTATGCTCCCTTGCATTTGATGTAGAATGAACAAGAAATTTTAACAAAAATTGGGCAAAGCAAAGCTGTTTGAAGTGAAGCCACTCAGTTGTTGTTACTAATCTGAGCCACTTTGAAATGCTCTCTTGCTTCTTTTTGTATTTCAGTGTTAACCCTTTAATCCCTAAGAGTGACTAGCATCTAATTTCTCCTTTCAGTATCATCCCTGAATCCAACATTAAGGTCATGAGAATAAAGGAAGTGATAATAAATTGAAAAACCTCTTGATTGTTAAACAAATTCCCCTTGCTGGGACATCAGGGATTGTAAAGAGAACAGAGAACAGTATGGAGAATATGCATGCTGATGTTAGGGTGTAAAGGGTTAAATCAGGGTCTAGAATTAACTTTTTTATATGGGTGCCAAGTGTCAATTAAACAATTGAATTCAGTCACCATTTGAAGCAAATTATTTGGTTGATACAATGTAAGTCACTCAATGCTTCCTAAAAAATGTTCTCTTCAATTGCAAGAGAAAAAGTTTCAAAGACCCTGACACCTAACTGAAAACCAGTGTTAGAAGTTGAAGCAATACATTATGGATTCATTTCTGCATTTCTGAGTGCTGGTTTACATGAAGAATACTGAGAAAACCTTAAACAGATACCTACTAGGATTACTAAAATTAACATTCTAGTGCTAAACAGTCAGTTTCAGTAGCATTGACAGTGGACAATTCAGTTTATCGTATAAATAATGATAATTGATCCATATGTGTTTTACTTCCTTGCAGCTGAGTTCCAGAATATTTTGAATTGGGGTTAAGTTCCATTCCAACAGCTGCAGGTGTTCTGATTCGCGACTGACTGAACAGCCAGAACTTACAGTGATTTTGGCACAGAACAGCTATTTTTCCAACAGCTGGTTGAATTTTTTTTCTGTCCACCAGATTAATCACTTCCCAGTAGCTTGTTGTGAATGTAACCTGCCACACAATCTGCTGGGTCAGTGGTTTATCTGGTGGATGGTATTGTTGATTCAATCCAGCAACAGCAAGTACCTGAAAGTTTAATTCAACTACTGCTACCATCTCACAGGGAAAGCAACTTGAAAAGTGAGTGTTTATCTTGTATGTATAATTGAGATCTAGATATAAATTTATGTATAAAAAAATAAAGATAAAAATAGTAATAATGATAATAATAATAATAATGATAATAATAATAATAATAATGATAATAACAATAATAATAATAATAATAATAATGATGATGATGATACTGATGATAATAAATAGACCTTCTGCTGGCAATAGAGCTTCAGTAGTCTGCAACAGAGTGCATCAACTGATAACCACAACTACTTGATTTGAGCTTCATTACACAGTGCATGTACATGTGTAAGGATACATTGTACACCAGTATGATGGTTAACATTTGCAACTTTGTGTGTGATAACATCATATTCAATTTTATATGTAAACAAGAATTAGCATGACACAGCATAGTAAGGTAAGAATGTTCAGGAATATAAGTACATCACAGACAATTTACAGAGTCAAAACAAAACTAAGCTTACATGTACTTGGATTTTGTTCCACTTATTTTGAGATGGCCAATGAAAGAGTTGCCAGTAATCAGATAGTTGTGTTCGCACAAAGATTTCTGGAATTGCCACAGGGCAAAGAAGAAATAAGTGATGAGGAACATGAGGATTAATCCCTACTAGGTCAAAATTTATACCTACTCATTGTTGATGATGAAATGGTTCAGATTTAAACTGATTTTCAATGCTAACCATTCTCAACAATCACAACAAATAAACAATGTAGGTGTTTTATTAACTTTAATATATCATGATTGATAATGTTATGCTCAAGTAAACCATTTCAATTTCCTGCTGACTTGATTGAGGTACAGCTGTAGCTGTTTTTGTAGCACTCTTTTGTATTACCAAGCCATTAAAAAAAAGCTAGAAGTAGCCTTACTACTAGTAAACAGAACTTCATTCTTTTATTTCAGAGCAATTTATGGCTGATTTTTCACAATTTTGAACCCATTAAGTGATGTCAATTTCACACTAAAACTTAAAACATACATGCATGGAGCAAAGTTTACTGGTGGGTTTTAAGATAGCTCAGATGTTCTCCAGGCTTGATCTGTTTTTAATGCTTTTTATAATCTTCCATAATTAGTCAGTTGGCCTCTGAGCTACAATCTGTTTGCATAGTTTTGCTGGCCACTCACAGCTCTCACCTTCCCTTAGCTGAGGGTCCACCAGGTGTTTGGTATGATCACTGTCTGCTCCTGAGTATATGGGATATATATAGCTCATCATCTGATTTGGAGTGGTTAACTTGATTGAAAGTCCTAGCAGATTTCTTTGACACAGTACGTTCCACTCATTTTGAGTTGGCCAGTGAATGAGTTGCCAGTAATCATGCAGATACTGGTGTTTGTGCAAAGATTTCTGGGATTTCCAAGGGGCAAACATTGCAAGTTGTTAGAGGGAAATAGATGGCATGAGGACATTTCTAGGTCAAGTGATGGATTGTTTGAGAAAATCAAAAGGTTTTTTAGCAGCCACTCAACTCCTTCTCCTCCAGTTGTGCATTACTCCTTCAGCAACCCATTAGTACCTACTCATGGTTGCACATATAATGGTTCAGCTCCTTTAAGTCTATGTTCTTCAGCTCAGTGGTGTATATTTCTACAGCTCTGATTACATCAGTTGCCTTATCTAGTGACTCAACCCTTTGATTCATTTTCTGACTTTAATTTTAATTTGAATTAATCATCTAAACACATTAAAAATTATCACCTAGTGCTTTGATAAGAATATGTTTTAAGAAGTGTGAATTAAATAATAACTGGCTGCCTTTAAGAAAGAACCTCTGTACATTGGGCTTGAGACAAAACCTTGGGTTGATTTTCTTTATCATGTTTTTTGATCTGAGTACCGTATAAGCTTGGTTGTACAAACTGGAGATGTGTCCAGTTTTCTTTGATGTTTGCCATCAGATGTGATCATTCATATCTTTGAGGGATTTTACATCTATTGGGTAGGAGGTCAAAAAACACAAATCTTTATTTGTATTTGGGCTTTGACATCCACTGAGATTGATTTTGTATTTTTCAGTTATTATGACTAATGATTCTTGGTAGATTTCTGCAGTAAAGCAGATTATCTTAGTTTAATATAATTCTGTCCTATAATAAACTAACATTAACTTCTACAGTTGCATCAATTAAACATTGCTTAAATGGACAGGACTGGAGGCTAGTTATTGTGTCCAGGCTTCATTATGGGAAATTAAATTGCATGGTAACAAGTTGCTGAATTTTAGTTTTTATGTTTTTCTGTATTTTTTTTTTTCAGGAGCTGATTGGCAATGTCAGAAACTGCGAAAACTGACCAGAGCAGTTCAAAGAACATTAATGGTGACCCACCAAAGATTAATATTAGTCTTCCAGAGATAAATGAACTAACCCAGAATTCTAAACGCTGGAAGGATGTTCAACTCCCAATTGACATTCTGTTGTTAACAGTAAAGGACTGTGAGTTCTTAAGCTGCTACTATTACATTGCTGGTCCATTCAGAAGCTATTTTAAAGGGATCGGTCATGTATACTTTGGGAGCATTGGTGGAGACCAGGATGTTAAACTGACAGTTGCTTTGATGAAATGCTCAGAGGGTTCTAAAGTTCCTGGAGGTGCTTTGACCATTGTAAAAAATGCTGTTAGTCAGCTGAGGCCAAAAGCTGTCTTTACTGTGGGCCACTGTAGTGGTATGAATCAGGAATCAACAAAGCTGGGGGATGTGGTTGTATCAGAAAAGCTCATCACCTATTCCTGTCAGAAGGTTAGAAAGGATGGAAAGAAATTTTCTGGGTTCACAACTCCTGTAAGCAGAAACACTGCTGAACTCATCAAATGTGCTTGTGATGGTTGGAATCCACCCTTACAAAATCCTAAAAAAAGGAAAGTTGAACTCCACTGTGGTGAGGTTTTGAGTGGTTCTGAGCCCTTACAAGCTGAGTGGCAACGAGACGAACTAGTGAAGTCATTTCCCGAAGCAATTGCAATTGAAACAGAAGGAGAGGGTAAGGTCTATTTTTCCTTTGAAGTAACTTAATTAGCGTAAAATCTGCTCAAAGAGATATTTGCATATATTTGTATCCTGAAACAGAGAGAGTTGATACTTATGTGGTGGGTAAGCTTTTTTACCAGTGTCAAGAGATGCACTGGCTTGTGTGTGAACATACTCAACTTCAGATCAAGAGGTCTGGTTTCAAGCCCTGGGCTAAAATGATTGTGTTGTAGTCTTGGCTGGGAGGCTTAAATACTCTCACAGTGCATCTCCACACCCAGGAGTATAGACGGCTACTGATGAACTGACCCATATTTCATATACATGTGGAGGGAGTAAGAGTACAGTCTTAGTGGCTGAATGGTATGGGACCTGGGAGAAGCTTGTGCTACAGGGATTAGCTCTGCACTTATAGTATATGTAAGGTGACTTTGCAAAATATATCTCCAGTTCCTTACAAATCTATGATAACAATGATAACAATGGGAGAGGTTAAAATCAATAGATGTTGGAGCAAATTTGTTGTTTTATTCATAAAAGCTTGTTATTTTTGTTTCAGAAATTTTCAGTGCAGCACACGATCTGAAAATGGAGTGGGTTGCCGTCAAGGGTATTTCAGGATATGCAGATGGAACTGAAACAAAAGAAAACTGGCAAACATTTGCAAGTGTAACAGCAGCTTCTCTTGTTGTCAGCATTCTAAACCAGTGCAGTATTTTTGAAGATTGGCCACATTACAAAGGTAAACAGATCAGCTTTGGTCTTTGCAGTCACTAGCTAGTCTTGTATGCTGTTTAGTTTTAATTTTTTATAAATGAGTTGCAACCGAATTACCAAAACTGAATTAAAAACATGATTAATGACCTATGATCATGCGTGACCAATCAGAACAGCTCTTGCATCACAAAATTAATGTTACCTGTTTGTCAGCAATTTCACAGCCTCTGCTTATTTATGGGATGCTTTCAAGCTTTTGATAGCATTTTCGCTCTGGGAAGAAGACCACCGACCCCCTAATAATACACTTAGAAACTCCTGCCCTAACCCCTCTTCTTCCCCCTCCAGCCCAACTCCCATTTTATAAACCACACACAACCCACATTCCCCTAATCGGTCCGACGAAGTGCTAACAGTTGAAACATCAGCTTTAGAAATTCTTCACGAAGGCCAATTTACATTATCAACCCAGTTAATAAAACCAATTTATCATTGCTAACTGAACATTTGATTCACATTTCTTAATAGTAGTAAGAGTAATCCTATGATAAACTCCTGTTAGAAATGGATGCAAACCCTTACGAACTTGCGATTTATGTTGGAGCAAATTTGTTGTTTTATACATGAAACCTTGTTGGTTAAAGTGTCTTGAGTTGTCTGTGTAGCACATAATCCCTTCATAGAGTGGCTGTGCGCTGTCATCAAAGGAAATGTTGAAGAAATGATGAACGTTATTATTACAAAATTATTGAATGAAACTGGACAATACTTTATATTTCGTTGGGGCAAATTCGAGTTTGGAAGAAGTGTAGTCTCCATGCATGCTAATGGGAGGTCCAAAGAGTAATGTTCCCTTTGGTGTAGGGAAGAGAACATTTATCAAGCTATTTGCTTGCTTTCGAAACTGGAAAAGTGTCTCTTCATTTGTCGGTAGCCAAATCAAAGCGAAGGAAGATCATTTGATGCGTTTGTATATTTTCACGTAGTTTTATGGTAGCGCAAAATTCACTCACTACTCAACTGCCGACTGTAAGCATAAGGCTGCCACTATTTCCTCCTGCGTTTTAGGCTTCGGAATCTATTGAACTTAAGAAACAAACTGGTGAGTTGTTTTCATCAGCAATACATTTTTTGACGAATAGCTTTTGCTGGAAAGAAATTTTCCCGCCTACTAAAATGCAAAGATACAAGAAATACCGTCGCAAACTTCCTTTTTTAATGCCGGTCTCTGTCTTTCTACACTGGCTGTTTATTTTACAGAAAGGGTAGTTTTTTCCAAGTATTTTGTTCGATAGGTCACCAAACTAGAAAAAAAAATTCAGTTTGTGTATGTGAGCCTCCTTATCATGTGTAAAACGCTATATATATATATATATGTGTGTGTGTGGGTATATATATATATGTATGTGTATGTGTGTGTGTGTGTGTGTGTGTGTGTGTGTGTGTGTCTCTATATATATATATATATATATATATATATATATATATATATATATATAAATATATATAATATGTAGGGATGCGTAATGCAATCACGAGAAATGGCCGTAAACGACAGAAAAACCTTTAAACTTTTAAACGGAAAAGGAGAGTCGTCAAGGCTATGTACAAGCTTATTTATTTAGAGTGGCTTTTCCCAAGCTGCTCGTTGTATGGAAAAGAGTCTTTTTAAGAGCCTTTTGCTCGATTGCAAACTAAAATCCGTTTACATGGCGATGAAAATTTTTCTTACTGTGCGAAAAAAAAAAGAACAAGGAATCTTCTGTTCGCGTATGTGGGCGTGCATTTTTCGTGTAAAATGATGCACAGTAGGGATGCATAATGCAGTGGCGCGAATTGGCCTTGAAACAAATCCATCAGGAGATGCTTCATGAGGAAAGGAAAACATTCCCTTGCTACAATGAATCTGTGGGCTCAAATATTATGTTCTGGTCTAATTATTTTTGTTCATTTGTTATCATGCAGGTAGATCTACTAAACATTTGCGTCGGCCAAAGGTGAAACGCCGTGATGAAGAGTCGTCTCCGAGTGACGCCCTAGCTCCGAAGAAAAGAAAAACTCGTCTCGCAGGTAAAATGAGGACATATCTATGGGCGTGCCGTCAACTTCCACCCCTTAACCTCATAGTTCTTCCCACGGCCTTTGTAAAAAAAAAAGATGCGCGGATCCCAACCTAATGGCATGAATAGATGCGATACGCGCTACCTGCTATCTTCTCATCTTGATGCTTTTGGTTGATGTTTCATTAGGAAAGGAAAAAGCTGCATTGCTACAATGAGTCTGTTAGCTCAAATAATCTTTTGGTCTAATTATTCTTTTTACAATTTGTTATCATGCAGGTGGTTCTGCCAAACATTTGCGTTGGCCAAAGGTGAAACGCCGTGATGAAGAGACGTCTCCGAGTGACGCCTTAATTTCGGAGAAAAGAAAATCTCGTTCGGCAGGTAAAATGAGGACATATCTCTGGGCGTGCTAGGTAACCTTCACTTCCCAAACCCATCTTCCTTCCCCCTGCCTTTGTAAAATGAAAATGCGCGGATCCAGCAAAATGGCATGAATAGATGCGATACGTACTACTCGTTATCGTCTCATCTTGATACTTTGCTGTGATGTCTTTATGTTTGTAGTCAAGCATGAAGTTCCCAAGCGACGAAGATTTAGAGTGGCTGTACCCAAGTTGCTTATTGTTTAAAAAAAAGGTGTGTTGTAGAGCTTTTCGCTCGATTGCAAACGAGAGATATAAATGGTGTGTCACTAAATCCAGTTACTTAGCGATGACAAATTTACTTACTGGCTGGGAAAAAAAACCATATATCTTCTGTTCGCGTATGTAGGTGCGTATTTTTCGCGTAAAATGATGCACAGTAGGGATGCATAATGCAGTGGCGCGAATTGGCCTTGAAACCAATTCATCAGGAGATGCTTCATGAGGAAAGGAAAAAGCTCCCTTGCAACAATGAATCTGTGGGCTCAAATATTATGTTCTGGTCTAATTATTTTTGTTCATTTGTTATCATGCAGGTAGATCTACTAAACATTTGCGTCGGCCAAAGGTGAAACGCCGTGATGAAGAGTCGTCTCCGAGTGACGCCTTAACTCCGAAGAAAAGAAAAACTCGTCTCGCAGGTAAAATGAGGACATACCTATGGGCGTGCCGTCAACGTCCACCCCTTAACCCCATAGTTCTTCCCACGGCCTTTGTAAAATAAAAATGCGCGGATCCAGCAAAATGGCATGAAGAGGTGCGATACGCGCTACCTGCTATCTTCTCATCTTGATGCTTTTGGTTGATGTTTCATTAGGAAAGGAAAAAGCTGCATTGCTACAATGCGTCTGTTAGCTCAAATAATGTGTTCTGGTCTAATTTTTTTTTTACAATTTGTTATCATGCAGGTGGTTCTACCAAACATTTGCGTTGGCCAAAGGTGAAACGCCGTGATGAAGAGTCGTCTCCGAGTGACGCCCTAACTCCGAAGAAAAGAAAAACTCGTCTCCCAGGTAAAAGGAGGACAATTCTATGAGTGTGCCGTCAACTTCCACCCCTCAACCCCATAGTTCTTCCTAAGGCCTTTGTAAAATAAAAATGCGCGGATCCAGCAGAATGGCATAAATAGATGCGATACGTACTACTCGTTTTCCTCTCATCTTGATACTTTGCTTTGATGTCTTTATGTTTGTAGTCAAGCATGAAGTTCCCAAGCGACGAAGATTTAGAGTGGCTGTACCCAAGTTGCTTATTGCATGGAATAGGGTGTTGTAGAGCTTTTCGCTCGATTGCAAACAAGAGATATAAATGGTGTGTCACTAAATTCAGTTACTTAGCGATGACAAATTTACTTACTAGCTGGGAAAAAAAATCATATATCTTCTGTTCGCGTATGTATGTATGCGTATGCGTATGCGTATGATGCACAGTAGGGATGCATAATGCAGTGGCGCGAATTGGCCTTGAAACCAATTCATCAGGAGATGCTTCATGAGGAAAGGAAAAAGCTCCCTTGCTACAATGAATCTGTGGGCTCAAATATTATGTTCTGGTCTAATTATTTTTGTTCATTTGTTATCATGCAGGTGGATCTACTAAACATTTGCGTCGGCCAAAGGTGAAACGCCGTGATGAAGAGTCGTCTCTGAGTGACCCCTTAACTCCGAAGAAAGGAAAAACTTGTTTGGCAGGTAGAATGAGGGTATATCTATAAGCGTACCTGGTAACCCCCACCCCCCAACCCCATCTTCTTTTCCCCCGTTTTTGTAAAATAAAAATGCGTGGATCCAGCAAAATGGCATCAATAGTTGCAATACGTACTACTCGCTATCCCCTCATCTTGACGCTTTGATGTGATGTCTTTATGTTTGTAGTCAAGCAAGGAGTTTTCAGCGGCGAAAATTCAGAGTGGCTTTACCCAAGTTGCTTATTGTATGGAAAAGATTTTTTTAAAGCTTTTCGCTCGATCGCAAAGTAGAGATATAAATGGTATGTCACCAAATCCGTTTGCGTGGCGATGACAGTTTTCGCTACTAGCTGGAAAAAAAACAAGAAATCCTCTGTTCTCGTAGGAGTGGATTTTTTTGTGTTAAATTATGCACAGTAGGGTTGCATAATGCTATGGCACGAATTTGCTTTGAAACAAATTTCATGAAGAGTTGTCTCCGAGTGACGCCTCAACTCCTATGGAAAGAGGTAAAGTGAGGACATATCTATGGGCGTGCCTGTTAACCCACACCCCCCAACCCCATCTTCTTTCCCCCCGCCTTTGTAAAATAAAAATGCGTGGATCCAGCAAAATGGTATAAATAGCTGCGATACGTACAACTCGTTATCCCCTCATGTTGATGCTTTGCTGTGATGTCTTTATTTTTGTAGTTAAGCAAAGAGTTCCCAGTGACAAAGATTTAGAGAGGCTTTCGCAGAAACTCGATAAATGGAAGACAGTCGGGCGTCGTCTTGAAATTGAGGAGGCAAGATTAACGGCGTTTGACAATGAAAATAGGGAATGGTCTGAAAAAATCTACAAAATGTTATTACATTGGAAAGAGAGGAATGGCTCAGCTGCAACATACACGGTCCTACATGATGCATTGTGTCATTCATTGGTTAATCGCACAGATTTAGCCGAGCAATTTAGCACTGGTAATATATCACTAATTTTGCAATTCAACAAAAATACAATTACCTGCAAAGTATAGTGCCAAACTCTCAGACACCATGCTTTTTGGCCACTGTATCTTTTATGTACGTTTTTGACAGTGCCTCGAAACTGGAAAAGTGTCGCTTCATTTGTCGGTAGCCAAATCAAAGCGAAGGAAGATCATTTGATGCGTTTGTATATTTTTATGTAGTTTTCTGGTAGCGCAAAATTCACTCACCACTTAACTGCCAACCGTAAGCGTAAGGCTGCCAGTATTTCCTCCTGCTTTTTAGGCTTTGGTATCCATTGATCGTAAGAAACGAACTGGTGAGTTTTATTTCATCAGAGATAAATTTTTCGATGAATACACAAACTTCCTATTTTAACGACCATGTCTTTGTACACTAGCACTAGCTTTCTACACTGGTTTTTTCCAATTACTTTGCTCGAATTTTAAAAAGACAAGTTAATGATAGGTCACCAAACTCGAAAAAAAAGGCCTCCCTATCATGTGTAAAACGATATATATAACATGTAGGGATGCGTAACGCAATCGCACGAAATGGTCCTAAACGAGGGAAAAACCTTAAAACTTTTAAGCGGAAAGTTTTCATTTTTAGTGAATGTCTTTTTTTTCCCGCCAAGTTGCTAATTGTATGGAAAATATTTTTTCAAGCTTCTCGCTCGATATGCAAGAGATATAAATGGTAGGTCACCAAATCCGTTTACATGGCGTTGACAATTTTTCATCCTGGCAGAATAAAAAGAACAAGAAATCTTCTGTTCGCGTATGTTGGCGTGCATATTTCGTGTAAAATGATGCACATGACACAAAGTGGCCTTGAAACAAATTCCTCGGGAGACGTGGTATGAGGAAAGGAAATAGCTCCATTGCTACAAGGAATCTGCTGGCTCAAAAAAATCTGGTCTAATTTTTTTTTTTGCATTTGTTGTCATTTAGGTGATTCTAGCAAACATTTGCGTCGGCCAAAGGTGAAACGCCATGATGAAGAGTCGTCTCCGAATGATGCCTTAACTCCGAAGAAAGGAAAAACTCGTGTCGCAGGTAAAGTGAGGAGATATCTATGGGCGTGCCCGTTAACCCCCACACCCCCAAAGATTTAGAGTGGCTTTACCCAAGCTGCTTATTGTATGGAAAAGGTTTTTTTTAGAGCTTTCCGCTCGATCGCAAAGTAGAGATATAAATGGTATGTCACCAAGTCCGTTTACGTGGTGATGACAATTTTTCTTAGTGGCTAAAAAAAAAAAGAACATGACATATTATGTTCGCGTATGTGGATGTGCATTTTTCGAGCCTAATGATGCACAGTAGGGATGCATAATGCAATGGCACAAATTGGCCACAATAAATCTGTTGGCTCAAATAAAATGTTCTGTTCTAATTATTTTGTTACATTCGTTATCATGCAGGTGGTTCTACTAAACATTTGCCTCCGCCAAAGGTGAAAGGCCGTGATGAAGAGTCGTCTCCGAGTGACGCCTCAATTCCAAAGGAAAGAGGTAAAATGAGGACAGGTCTATGGGCGTGCCCCGCTAACCCCACCCCCCAACTCCATCATCCTTCCCCCTGCCTTTGTAAACTAAATATGCATGGATCCAGCAAAGTGGCATGAATAGATGCAATACGTACTACTCGCTATCCTCTCATCTTGTTACTTCGCTGCAAGAAGTTACCAGCGACGAAGATTTAGAGAGGCTTTCGCAGAAACTCGAAAAATGGAAGATGGTCGGGCGTCATCTCAAAATTGTGGAAGTAAGATTAACGGCCTTTAACAATGAAAATAGGGAATGGTCTGAAAAAATCTATGGGCGTGCCCGTTAACCCCCACCCCCAAACCCCATCTTCCTTCCCCCTGCCTTTGTAAAATAAAAATGCGTGGATCCAGCAAAATGGCATGAATAGATGCAATACTTACTACTCGCTATCCTCTCCTCTTGATACTTCGCTGCAAGGAGTTACCAGCGACGAAGATTTAGAGAGGCTTTCGCAGAAACTCGAAAAATGGAAGACAGTCGGGCGTCATCTCGAAATTGTGGAAGCAAGATTAACGGCGTTTAACAATGAAAATACGGAATGGTCTGAAAAAATCTACAAAAGGTTATTACATTAGCAAGAGAGGGAGGGCTCAGCTGCAACATACTCATAAGACACCTAGAATCTCCCGCCTTACCCCTCCCCGCCTTTTAGCCCAACCCCTATTTTATAAACCACACACAACCCAATCGGTCCAACGAGGGGCTAGTGTTCGAATTTAAGCCTTGGAAACTCATAGTTACTACAATACTTGAGGTTTTCCCTAATGTTTGTCTAAATAATAATTTCACTCCCACAGTGCAAATCAATATATTTTTTTAAGATTTTTGTGTAGCGGAGCAAACAATAGCCTCGATTACCAGCCGCTGTTCGTGAAATGAGCCCACGCTTCTCTCCTTCACGTGACGAAAGACTCGTGAATTAGGGGCAAATCGAACCCCCAACATCTCTCCCAAAAAAAAAAAAAAAAAAAAAAAAAAAAAAAAAACACCGTAGTGAGCTGATAGTGAAAATGTGAATACTTATCTTCGGAATTAAAGAGTGACGTCGTCAAAGTTACAAATTACAGATGGAAAGAATTATTCTCCTTATTGTTCAAAAACCCTTCTCGAGTGATTTTCTTTTCGATGTGGGAGAAAGAGAATTTTTACCAAGCTACTTGTTTTTTTGTTACAGACTCGTCTGTAACAGAATTTTGGGAATGGTGCCGGAATCAGTTGAGGGCGTTTTACAACACCATGTGTCAAGTGAAAATAACACCATGGGACCCAGACAACACGGTACACATTGATAGCATTTACATACAAGTAACGTTTTTACAAGACCACAGGAAACCTGACGGGACAACGAAAAAAAAGCTGGGAGACAGCAGTGAAGTATTTGAAGGTGACGAAGATCATCCCATCCGTAGACGAATTCTGGTGTACGGAAGACCTGGAATAGGAAAGTCTACTTTCACTCAAAAAGTAGCTGTGGATTGGGCAAATGGCAGAAAGAAGATCCTCAAAAAGTTCAATCTTTTACTGTTAATCAGGTTACGAGACGTTTGTGGTATTTCGGACCTCAGTACCATATTAAAAACAGCGGAACTGTTGTCTGCTGATGACCCGATGGCAGTCAATAACTTGTGTGAATATGTCCGTCAGAACCAAGAGAAAGTGCTGCTCATTTTGGATGGATATGATGAGTACAGCGGTGGAAAATCATCCATAATTCACCAGATTTGGAGAGGCAGTCAACTGAGAGACTGTTGTGTAACGATCACAACGCGGCCAGTGAAAGAGGATGAGCTTAGAGTGCCAAGTCACGCTCAGTTTGAACTTAACGGGTTCGATAGCTGGGAACAGAAGAAACAGTTTGCAAGTAAGATTCTTCCTGATGAGGAGGACGTTAAAGGGCTACTTGAATACCTGGAGGAGCATGACCTTGAGGAGATGGCAGAGATTCCGCTATTGTTGTTGATGTTGTGTCTTCAGTGGAAGAAGAAAAAACCTCAATTACCAACATCTCGTGCGGAAATTTACGTAGAATTTATTCAGACTCTCTTGAATCATATGGCTACTAAAGACTCGGAAGACGTCGCAACAGATGAAAGCATAGATAAATATCAAGAGGAACTTTCCAAAATAGGAAAACTTGCCTTTGATGCTCTTTTGGAGGACTGCCTTCATTTTGACTTCACCAAATTTCCGCATGGTGATCTCTTCGAGAAGCTTATTCATGTCGGTTTTTTCCAAGTTTCCAAACTTTCTGCTTGGAACCGTGAGAAGATCGTGTATTTTCTCCACAAGTCCGTTCAGGAGTTTCTCGCCGCCTGGTTCATGGTTCAAGAACTGAAGGTTAAGAAGAATGAAACCGTCACCTTCTTGTCGGGAATGGATACGTTTAAAAAATCAAGAAAGATGGCTGAAGTTCTGAAATTCGCTTGTGAGTTGTCATCAGATGCTGTCGGCATTGTTTTTGATCATCTACGTTATGTCGGAGAGAAAGAAGGTCTCACAAATTACAATTTCACTAGGACGCCTTCTGTTCATGATTTGTCAGGTGAACAATACGAGTTTATTCTACTCTGTGTCGATTGTTTGTTCTGTTGTCCGGCCTCAAACAGACCAGCTGTGTATTCTGCATTTCTCTCTCGTGTTAACCATGTTGTAATACTTGATGAGAAACACTCGTCTATTGCTGCTAAAACGCACTTCTTCAATAACACCGACAGCTTTCCAAACTATTTATTTTGCTCACGTTGGAACACTAATTATGATGATCTTCTATCCATATGGTTTGACTTGAACGCGGTCGTTTTAACGTGCTCTGGAGAAATTGAAGATGTAAAAAAATACGCCGATTTACGCGATGCGGACTTTTTCCTCAAAAAAAGCGAAAAGAGAAACTTTATCTATCTTCGTTGCATAACAAATCCTGTATTACACTTTAACCTGCTTTCTGAATTGATCTCAGCGCCGGTTTGTCCTTCTCAGCCACCTGTGGATAATCTGGGAAAGAATAAAGACAACAACATTGCGCTTTCTTTGACTGAGAACAGATCTGACCAGACGCAACAACATTGTGTGTCACTGGTGAGAGAGGTTGATTTATCGGTGAAAAAAGTTGAGGATTTTGTTCTGTTGAAGAACTTGTTGCCTTTAGTAACAGCTCCTCGAGATATTGCTATATGGGGGAGCGTGACAGATGCCTTGGAAGGTAATTCGATTGAGAACGCGATTCACAGAATTAATTTTACTGACAATCTCCACAGTTTAAAACTTCGTGGTATCAATCTAACAGCAAAGTGTGCTGCTTTTATTGCTGAGTCACTGCACCACTCTCCAAACTTGCATGAGCTCTGCTTGTCAAGGAACCCCTTACACAGCGGTGTGAGTCATTTGGCTGAGAATCTTCATCACGTGCCACAGTTGACTGAGTTAGAGTTAGTTGAAGTACAAATGGGAGAAAAGGAATGTGCTGCACTGGTTTCCTCACTACAGTACTTAAAAAAGTTAGAAAGACTGGATATGTCAAACAATGCACTGGGTCACGGGATTATTGAACTGGCCAGGAACCTGAATAGTGTACCCAATCTGACTTGGCTGAAACTACTGGATACAAATATAGATGAAGATGAAGCATCAGCACTGGCTTGTGCACTAAAGGATGTACCAGAGCTGAGCATTCTTAGTCTAGGGTCCAATCCACTTGGCAGAGGAGTCATGGACCTGGTCCAGCATCTCTGCAGTGTTCCTAAGCCGAAGAAGGACCTATCCCCGTGCCTGGATGGTGTTCAAATGACAAAGTTGACTGACTTACAGTTACACAGCGGTGTGAGTCATTTGGCTGAGAATCTTCATCACGTGCCACAGTTGACTAAGTTAGAGTTAGCTGAAGTACAAATGGGAGAAAAGGAATGTGCTGCACTGGCTGCCTCATTACAGTACTTAAAGACATTAGAAGAACTGGATATGTCAGGCAATGCACTGGGTCACGGGATTATTGAACTGGCCAAGAACCTGAACAGTGTACCTACTCTGACCAAACTGGACCTGGAGAACACAAATATGGGTGAAGATGAAGCATCAGCACTGGCTCGTGCACTGAAGGATGCACCAGAGCTGAGATATCTTAGTTTAATGTCCAATCCACTTGGCAGAGGAGTCAGGGACCTGGTCCAGCACCTCAGCAGCGTTCGTAAACTGAAGTCCCTGGATCTGGATGGTGTTCCGATGACAAAGACAGGGCTTAAAATGCTGTTTTCAACCTTAAATGGAAGAGAAATTACATTGTATACCGATTACCATGTAAGTGTCTCGTTCTTGTTTCACTTAGTCGTATCTAATTTTTATTTTGGTTCTCTTCAGATTACACTTGTTATTGTTTCCAGCAAGTTGCTTTGGAGACAATTTATTGGAGTAGTCTGCATGGGAAAGAATGTAGACATCAGGAACAGTCACTGTTTTCGACATTTACTATTTCTATGTTGTGACAACAGGAGCCATTGTTGGGGATGGCGGAGACCGTAAACAGCCCATGTTAAGTACTTTAATGGTTCATGTATTGCTTCTTTAACTATGGTTTCCAGAAAAATATGTTTAAGATTAAATTAAGACAGAAACAAATTTAGCTTTGAAAACTTTGATATTATTTATTTACAGACAGTAGTTTCCAGTATAGTTGATGCTTGATTACTGAAACTTCATTGAAAACTTTGGGAGTTCGATTCCTTCGAGTTCATTCGATTGGCCCTTCGGTTTTGGCGAAATCTTGTAGAGAAATCTTTTGTAGCTATGCCTTACATAAGAGAGAGAAAAAAAGATGAATTGTGAGAATTTTTCTCGGACCAAACTTCTTTGCGCAATGTTAATTTTTGAAATTTTTGGCTTGTGTTGTTATTATGGGATGCTTTCTTTTGGGTTTGATTATGTGACGTGAAATTACTGTTAACCTATACATGCTTTGGATTCGATGACGTTGTTCCCTACGATCTGTACCAGTATCTATTCGCTTTTATTAACAGGAAGCGTTTACCCAACAAAATAGAAAGAACCAAACAAAAAAGGTTTTTTCTTGTGTTAAATCCAAATGCGTGTTTTGAAAAGCGAAAATCATGTTGATTCTATTGTCATCAATTTACGTTTTAAAGGTTTGTACTGATGATAGGAAATAATTCACCAAAAGTTGTCGGTGAAATGATTAACATCCAAAAAGAAACTGACACGGTGCTATAATTTACTTACACTTAAATGGTTTCATTCTTCTTATTTATCAGTTGGATTCTTTTTGTCTTTAGCTGCACTGCCCATGTTGAGTAACTCCGTCAGATGCTCGTAGGGCCCTCGGTCGCCTTTGTCATAGAAGCCTATTTTTTTTCTTTTAAGAAAAATTAAAGAAAAACATTGTAAATAGCGAATTTGTTAAAATGACTATTTCAAACCTTACACTCTAAAACCTTTTTGGTGTGTTGAACGAAAATATAACATAGAATAAAGAGCAAAGTACTCCGGGGTTGGTAATAAGGCAAAAAGAGATAATAGCGAGAAGGAATTGGAAAAGAAGACAGGCGGGCACGAAATTCAATGGATAAATACATATATATATATATATATATATATATATATATATATATATATTTTTGGAGGGGGAGGGGGGTGGGGAAATGAGCAAAAAAATCAAGAAAGTGTTTCACATGAGTCACCTCTGATTAGCGCTTCGGCTCGATGTTCCCATTCTGTATCCAAAATAAGACCAATATTACCACGTCCTAAACAAAATAAAGCGCTTGCACTAGTCGTGAGAAGAAGCCTTTTGGAGGCGAAGTTTCCATTAACATCTCATTCAGCTGAAAGATCTGGGAAAGACGTTATGTTATGGAACCTGTGAAATTAGCGCTTGAAGAATGAAGCATTACTGTGCGTCAGGCGAAAGCGCCCTGCTAGAAAACAAACGAAAAATCAAAAGAAATCATTTTAAAAGCTTAAACTTTATAGGCGCGACCCGTGACACGCGGCTACTAGTCAAACTCGGCACTGCGCTATAATTTACTCGCTCTTAAATGGTTTCCTTATTCTTATTTATCAGTTGGATTCTTTTTTAAGTGTCTCGTATATGATTCAAATGGTTTTGTCAGAAAAGTATGGTTACATTGAGAGGAGAGTTCTTTACTTTTGGGAAAGTCAAGGAAAACATTACATCGAGGACTCCGGGTCATCAAAAAGAAATATTTAGGGTTGTCTGTCTTTCAATCGTGTAACAATTATGTTGGTTGAGAGGTGAACTGGAGTAAAACCCGTTGCGTGTAGTCGAGCAAGGTTGGAAAATTGTTAAATCGTTGATTTACTCTCGGGAAGACAATAACTTAGCTAATACTTTGTTTGTGGAAAATTAATAATTTCAAAGATATTAGACAGTTTTCCTCCCCCTAAAAAAGTTAGTATTTATTGTAATTTATGTGTTTGTTTGTAAACCTTCACCTCATCTTAATCGTCAGGGAGCATTGTTTTTTGTTATTTGTAACTGAGATCGTTTTCTTCGTTGTAAAATGATCTTAGTCACTTGTAGCTATTTGAATTCAAAAGTGAATGTCCTCTTTTACTGCTCGCTATATGGACTAATATCTTTGATTGCGAGAAATATTTATCTTGTGTGTTAAAATGTAAGTTGAGTGTTACATAGAAATTAATGAAACAGGTGTATTTTGCCATAGCGAAGGAAACGTAATATTCCGATATACGTGGGGAGAATCAAGATCCTTTAGATATTTATCTGGTGTAAAAATGCCAGTTGAGAGTTTCACATAATTGGTGCTGTGGTTGATGTTGTGTCCTTTTTTTCTCCTGTGATAGGAAGTTGAAAGGAAAGGTGGAGAGTGGATCAATCGACTTCTTACAGAAGCTGAGCTGAAAAAAGAAGGAATAAGGTTCAGAAAAGAGCCATATGATGATGACGATGACGATGATGATGATGGTGATGATGATGATGATGATGATGACGAAAGTGAGGATGATGACGATGATGACGATGACGATGATGATAATGGCGAAGATGAAGATAGTGAGCATCTCGATGATGATGATGATGAGGATGATGGCGATGATGAAGTTAGTGACGATCTCGATGATGATGATGATGATGAAAATGAGTAAGCGCTCAGAAAAAACGTTTCTGTGGCAACTGATTTAGCGAGAAGTGAGAAGATTAATATTTCAGAATATAATCCATCAAATATTTTTGCTTGCGCGCGCGGGATTGGTCTAAATGCATCACGTAACCGAATATACATCAGCTAAAACTGGAGAATATCCGTGAATATACCCTAAGTAATATTCCTCAATTTTCAAACCTTAACGTCCACAACAAAAGTAGTCTTCGTTTTAAATTTAATTCAAGATTATTATCTGTTGCTCTAAGCTCTCACTTTTCCTCGAGCTTCACTCTCGGAAACTGTTCGCATCTCGGAACAGATCAAGTCCGAACAGCAACAAAAACAAAAACCACCATGAGTGTTACATAGAAATTAATGAAACAGGTGTATTTTGCCGTAACGAAGGAAACGTAATATTCCGATATACGTGGGGAGAATCAAGATCCTTTAGATATTTATCTGGTGTGAAAATGCCAGTTGAGAGTTTCACATAATTGGTGCTGTGGTTGATGTTGAGTCCTTTTTTTGTCCTGTGATAGGCAATTGGAATAGTAGATGAAAGGGTGATCAATCGACTTAGTACAAAAGCTGAGCTGAAAAAAAAAGGAACAAGGTTCAGAAAAGAGCCAGATGATGATGTTGATGATGATGATGATGATGATGATGACGATGACGACGACGATGATGATGATGACGAAAGTGAGGATGATGACCATGACGATGACGAAGATGAAGATAGTGAGCATCTCGATGATGAGGATGATGGCGGTGATGAAGATTGTGACAATCTCGATGATGATGATGAAAATGAGTAAGCGCTCTGAAAAAAGGTTTCTGTGGCAACTGATTTAGCGAGCAGTAAAAAGATTGATATTTCAGAATATAATCCATCAAATATTTTTGCTTGCGCGCGCGGGATTGGTCTAAGTGCGTCACGGACCGAATATACATCAGCTAAAACTGGAGAATATCCGTGAATATACCCTAAGTAATATTCCCCAATTTTCAAACCTTAACGTCCACTACAATAGAAGTCTTCGTTTCAAACTTAATTCAAGATTAGAGGGCGTTTGGTGTTCTTACAGAAGAAAGGACATGTTTTTGTGTTCATACAGCTGTACCAGCGAACACTGAAAAGTGAACATCCTACGTAATAAACGGTGAACTGGTCGTAAACACTTTCCCCGCGCGTTGCAAAAGTAATTGAAGAAAGAAAAACACAATAACCTCTATTTTGCGCAAAAATATTCTCGTATAGTTGTCCTTAAACATTATCTGTTTCTCTAAGCTCTCACTTTTCCTCGAGCGTCACTCTCGGAAACTGTTCGCATCTCGGAACAGATAATGTCCTAACAACAACAAAAACAAAAACCATCGTGCATGTATTTGCGCCAAATAAAGACTATTGTTTATTTAGAATTTCGGAAATTGCTGGACGTATTTCCCGTCTCTTACGGCGCTATATCTTTATTTCAGCATAACGTATTGGAGTAGCGTCCAGTTCGAATTGGAAACTTAGATAATTTTCCGACGGTATTTCCCTTCTAAGATCACGAAAATTTTGGTGATTTCACGTTGTTGTTTTGCAGTGGACGGCTTAGAAATGAACAGAGTTTTAAAACGCACGCGCTGAGCTAATGTTCTGCCCATTATTCAGATCTTTTGTTTTGCCACATCCTCATTGCCGTTGTCGTGGTTTCCTGAAGTTCCCAAGTTTTTAGTCCCGCGTGAAACGTCTTATATTGTAACCGGAAATGCAAGTTCTTTTCAGCATTAAAGTACCGTGTTGTTACCCAGTTTTTTTGCCGATCAGAACGCGAAACGAATTTCTTAGGATATCAGAGTGAAATAGTTTAGCATACATCCCAAAAGTGACTTTTTTACGCGGAGAAAGATAGGCCCCTCTATTTGTCTGTGCCAGTCTCCTTTTATGGAGACGGCCAAAAAAGGGGTAAGCTGAGACATTGGAGGTCTCGGGAAGAGTGAGAGTAGCTTCCTTTCCTGCCCAAACCCCAATTTTCACTCTCCCAATAATTCGAACTTTTCAACCAACTGAGACCCTGGCAGAAGACAAGCTCAAGTTTTTCAAGTTAATTGATTCAAATTACGCAACTCAATTAATTCAAACTTATTAATTCAATTAATACTATTGATTCTAAATAGCTGACAAGCTCATTTTGTCCTCACAAAAAAAGCCGACTTTGAGAAAAGGAACAGATGAATGATTCCTTGAGCTTGGATCAGTTCACAGGCAGCGTTGTGCTTTCAAGTAGGCTTATTTTGTGATGCTTTACATTGATGATGCTTGAAACTGGAGATGTATGGAAAATCTTTCGTGATCAGAAAAGTTTAAGTCGATATTTGGTGTTACAAACTTTAAAAGTGCTTGTTCGTCTCACTTGTCACTGTAAATAGCAATTTAGTACGTCAATTTTTACCCAACGTTGTCACTTTTTTTACCCTTACTTTATTGATTTATTAAAAGAATTTTTATGAAATATCTTTGTCTCTTTGTAATTAAAGTACAGATCGCATAAGTGCTTGAAAAAGACCCTGTATACGACCTGTATCCTTGTTGCCTGGACCCCAAAGCACATTCATTTAAATATTTTTTCACAGCTGAACGCACCACGCACAGAATGATATTTTTGCGCAGAATTTTTTATTACAAAGACTAGTATGTAGTCTTTAGTTCGATATAGGCAGCCCCTGGATGAGAGGAAAAACTTGTAAATTTTCATGGTTTTGATTTGCTTTTTTTTTTTTTTTTTTTTTGGATAATTTATCGTAGAATCTGTCGGCCTGACTTGTGTAACAATAACGGCTTTTGTGTCCCACCGACCGACCGTTTTCAATATTATTTTTTGATTTTTTGTTTGCATGTTTGTTTTTTTCCTATAACCACTTGTTTATTTCCACAAGCCGCCCGTCGTTCCTTAAGTTGTTCTACTCTGTTTCACTCGATCAGCAGGCATTAAAAGCTTGGCATCTAAGCATCCTCTTCTTTTTACTGTTGTGATTTAGTTCTATCAAGTGTTAAACCTGGCGACGAGAAAAACTCAAAAGGCGGAAAAAGGCCGAAATCCTTGCAAGCAGTCTCCTTTTTTGTCGTTTGCCCCCTTCCTCCCCCACTTCTCTTCCGCTAGAGCACACCAAAACAAGCTTGATATCCCAACCTTTATCATATTTCTTGTACACAGAGCCTACGATGGTTAGCTTTCGGGCTTAACTCCTCGAAAAGGGGATTTTGTGTGCGCCAGCTATTAAATAATCAGAAGACCCGATTGGTTTCTTTTTTCAAGTTCTTTTATTTCAGATCACATTCAAGTTGTTTTGCAGCCTAATATATCACAGACAATACACGATTTTCACTTTATATATAAAATTAACATCATATCCATCGGCAGAAAACGTGTTACATAACTTTAAGGTGGTTAACTCGTTGCAAAGTATGGTTAACTGTAAGCTGATACAATGCAACCGGTTAAAAATTGGACCAGTGTTCATGATAAGGGATAACTTTAGAGGCTTTACATAACGCTACACTTTGATAAGGTGCTAGCGACCCCGCCTAAGACTGGTATCATTTGCAGCGCTCTATCAAAGAATCCCGGCTTTTGAACTTACTGTTGTCGGCTCTGATTGAGTAGCAGCTGTTGTCTCAAGCTCTCCACTGTCTTCTCCATGCCTTCATTTGATTTTTGCATTTGTGCAAGTCGTTGACTGAGTATCTGGCTTTCTTGCATGAAATTTCGTCTATGTTTTTTAACTTCCATCATTCTCGCCTTTACCATGTTCTCCATTTGTTGTCGTTGGACCGCTGCTTCAGCTTCCATCTGTTCACGAAGTTTCTTTTTTTCTTCCTCCTGTTTTGCCTGCAGCTTTTTTCATGTAATTACCAAACAGGAAAAAGTTCAGGTCAGACAGCTATAGGAGAGTCATGATGAAAAATAATATGGCATCTACTCTTGTTCACCTCTGTGCTAAAATCATCAAATTTCTCAGTTACTCAGAATGAATTTCTGATAAAAATACTGTACAATCTTTCACAAAAAACACCCAATGGGATATATTCTTGCTAGCGTGATTTAAACTAAATATATATTTTAAGGCATTTGAAGGTGAAAGTTATTATGAGGCAATATTCCTATAACAAAGAAATTAAGGAACAATGAATCTAATTTGACACATCACAAAATTACATTGGAATGGAACCAAGAGAAAATAAGCAGACAGAGAGGGCGGCCCCAGCACCAGGACTCGTTCAGACAAGATGTCAGCATTTTGTTTGTTTTTATTTCACCTGCCCTGGTACCAAATCGGATGTTACTCAAAAAACCTAGTTCCCAGGAATGAGTGTGCTCCCGCTTAATTAAAAGGCTTACTTTTCTACGTCTTTAATTGGATTTCACTATATTTGATCGCCATAAAATTCGTGTGTCTGTGCTTTCTGGAATCAAAGATGTGCATGTTTAGCGCTTCCGTCTGAGAAGGCAAAACTCACAAAAAGCAGTCAATGGTCCTCTTTGTTCTTTTATTCTCTTTTTGTGATCTGCACAAATGGAAATCGTCAAATGATAGATTTGACGATGGCAGATTATTTTTGAAGCGTAGAGGGATTTCTTAAGTGATTGTGAAAATGTCGGATCAATGTCAGAATCTGATCAACTGCACATTAGCCCTAACTTATTATTGTTTGATTGTTGTTGAGTTAGGGGAGGGGTAGGTGTGCAGTTTCTCAGATACTGACATTGACTCAAAATGTCTTACTTCCTTATGGCGCTGACGATTTTCTTGTTGCAAACGTTCGTGTTCCTCCCTAAGAAAAAACGAAATTTAACGTCAGTTTAAGCTTTGTCCAGCAGATGACGAAATTCTATTGCGTGTAAAAAAAAATTTTCCCTCTCACCAAGAATGAATCATATCCTCGCCATTACATCTGAATTAATCCAGCAATGTTTTTGACAAAGAACAGAAAAAGAAAGCATGAACTTCAATCAGCTTTTGTTCTCTTAATATGAAGTTGATTGAGTTTGAGAAAAAAAGTTGTAATTATTCCATAGATTCTTTTCCGTTCCCTCGAAGAACGGAGCAGAACTTCAAGAAATAAATTTCCATTTCATTTCCCATTCCCTATTTCTTATTCTCCTTCCCTATTCTAAATTCCTCTTTCTCCATTCTTCATCTCCTATTCTCCGTTCCCCATTCATCATTCGCAATTTTTTCCCTTAAAAAGAAATATGATTGATAAGTCGATTAAAATTGCATCATGAGTACCTCAAGTTTTATCTTCTCTTGCTCTTGATAGGCTTTGGCGGCAATTTCTCGACTCAAGTTCTCGTCAAAGTCCTTTAATTGTTTCAGCACGCCCAAGTATTGTTGCATTTCTCTCATAAGTTCCTGTGATAAAAGTAGAACTTTCGTTTACATCGTTGCTTTGTCTGTTGGTTTTATTTGTGGTAACTACCAAGAGATTATAAAGTTATATTCTCTTGTAACTACATAATAAATACTAAGACCAAGAATCGCAATGTTCTTGTATTAAAGGAACTGAATTCGGTTGGTATTTTCTTTTTGTCCGTGAAACTATTAATGTCATGGAAAAAAAAGGAAGGCACAGATTAGAAACCTTTTAACTCATTAATTTGTCTCATTTTTGGTCTGAATTTTTAATTTTGATGGTCCTTCTTGATCAGTCAGTAAAGTTAGGTCGTTCTGTTCAGTTCGTTTCTAATGTTAATGTCGTGAATGAGTCGTTTGTATGGTGCCGGTAGTGGTTGACACCTGTTGAAGGGAGTCTGTTCTAAGTTAGTAAGCCAGCTTTTCAGAGTAAGTCGTTGAAAGTAGTTGGTGCTGTAGGTTTGGCATATAAATTTCGCAGCGTCCCAGTCAGAAGCGTGGTTCGTAAGTCGGTATTGTTCATCAATGTGATTGTTAACATGTGACTGTTAATGTTTACCCCAACAATATCAACAGTGACGATGGAATAGAAATTTATGAAGCGTGGATGCCCTCGATCAAAAAACACAACAACAGGAGAGCCGTAAGAAAGCGGACCGCCGTGGGAACAATGCACGAACATCGAGGATCGAAACGCGCTAATCATAGCTGTGAAAAAAAATAAACAATCACAGCGGAGCATCCTGCTTATTAAGAAGACCCGAAACCAGTCGAACTTATCGCCTGATGAAGACTAGCAGTATGCATTCGTGATTCACATTAGAAGTGACCACATCGTGGGACAAACGATAATACATTATTATTATTGTACTTTACCACGATGAACAAGCACAACCTTTATGTCATTTGTGTAATTTAGAATTAACCTAAATTATTATTTTGCCGGCACGCAACGGTGAACTGGGTTCTAGTGTAGCGCGCGTGGGACCGCGGCTAGGGGGTTTGAAATAGTGACCGGTTAGTTATGCGTGTCATTCTATCGTCAGCCTCGCCGCGTCATCTTGCTTGGTTTAGTTCTCTCTGTTTTTTCCTTCGCCGTGGCTATGGATGAAGCTAAAGTTTCCAGCGTGATTACGAACAGCAACAAAGAGCTCATATTTATTTATTTTTTGTTTACGGGTTTGTTTGTTCCTTACCGTCTTTATTACGCCCTTAATGGGTTCAATGTTTATACCCTTGGTTGGTTTATTCTTGTACCCCTGATGGGCAGAATAAAGATTTGGATTTCAGGTTGATAGACTTACGAAGCTGTCTTTAGATTATTTAAATGTTCTGGCTGGTTATTGACCCTGGGTGGGTTCTATATGCCTATGCCGTGGACGCTGTCATTGCCGTACCCCGGACGGGCTCTATTACCCGAGTTTTATACCCCGGATGGGCTCAACTTTTTCCTTGCAGTTTGATTTTTTCTGCGTCATACCCCGGACGGGTATTGACCTCTTTTGTTATCCCCTGGGGGTCCCGCATATGGGTTAGCTCATCAGTGTTCTTACTTTATTGTTTAAGATATCTTCTCCTCTGGGTTTTGGTCTTCTGAAAGCTCCGACTACTGCCAGGTCAACCAGCCGAGGCGAAAGCTCAAGCTTACGGTGCTTTCTTCGAGGGCGTCCGGGTCATCGGAAAACTATTTGAGGGCCTTCAGCATATGGGCAGAGTTCGCCAAGGACGTGTTGGGCGTTCCCACTTTTCCTGTCGGTCCCATGGATTGTGCCCTCTATCTGCAGTTTCTTCTACAGTAATCGGAATAAGTCGGCGTCTGCCATCAACTGCGCTTTTTACGCTTTCAAGTGGCTGCATCAGGTTGCAGGAGTGGACTCTTCTACCCTACACCCCACCGTTATCTCCGCGAATGAGGGAGCTCTTCCTCTTGTTTGCCAAACAGCCTCTCATAGGAAAGAACCCCTCGAGGTGACCCATCTCAAGCAACTTGCTGAAAGGACTGACTTTGGCAATATTTTGCATTTAAGAAGCTTAGTTATGTTCGTCCTCGCCTTTTCCGGGTTTTT